AAACCTAAATAGAATTTCTGAAAAAATATATTAGAAAAATAAAAAACTAAAAATATTTAATTTAAAAATAGAAATATTTATTAATTTAAAATTCGAAACTTTTATAACTTTAATAAATACTTTAGTAATATTTATATATAATAAAAGCCTTAATAATATAGCTTTATAAATTATAATAAATAATATAAAAAAATATATTATTTAAATTAATAAATATTATTAACTAATAAACTTTAAAATAAAATATAAAATATAAAAAAATATTAAATATTAAAAAAAAAATTTATTAAATAAAAGGCTTATATAAAATTATAAAACAAAATAAATACTTTTAAGCTTAAATTTTTAAAGTTAATAAAAATATATCTAGTATTTTATATAAAGAAATTATATAAAATTTTAAATAATTTTTATTTTAAATAAATAAATCTAAAGTTTTTATTATTAGAATTATAAAATAAAAAACGAAATATAATATTTAGAAAATATTAATAATAAAATTATTTTATAAAAAGCTCAAATATTAAAATTAATAAAAATAATAAAATTCAAATTTAAAATAATATATAGCTTTTTTATTAAATAATAATTTCTTAATTCTTTAAAATATTTATATTAAAATCTACTAATAATTAAAATTACCTTAAAACTTATAATATTAATTAAAATATATTAAAATATATTTTTTATTATAATTATATATTAAAGCCTTTTAGTTTTTATTATATAATTAATAAAAATTTATATATTTTAAAAATTTATTATAAACTTTTAAAGCTTAAAAATAAGTTTTTTTATAAAAAAAAAGTATTATTATAATTATTATAATATATAATATTAATAAGAATTAAACTAGAATTAGCTAAATATATAAAATTAAAGTTAAAAAGTAAAAGTAAAATTATATATTATAACTTTATTTAATAAATATATAGGCTTATATATAATTTATAATTATTTAAATTTGAAACTTTTTCGAGAACTTTTTTTCTTTTTTGGCTTTAAATTATTAAAATAAATATAATTTAATTATACTTTTTAAGTTCTAGATTTTATACTTATAATAATAATAAAAATATTTATAATTATATATATAATTATTATAAAAGTTATTATATTAGTTCCTTTATTTAAATTTCTTTTAAATATTATTTATATAACTTAAAGAAATGATTTTTATTATTAAAATATCTTAAAATTAAAGTAATAAAATTAAAGTAATAAAATTAAAGTAATAATTAAAGGCTTAAAGTTTAAAGAATTTTATATATTAAAAATATTAAGCTAAAAAGAAAAAGAAAGAAATTAAATTAAATAAAGAAAGATACTACTTAAACTACTAAAATACTAGCCAGCCAAGTAAAACTAGTTATATAATAGCTTACTTCTTATAATACTAGCTAGCGCTATTATATTACCCCTCCCGAAAACCAAATCTGAATGCCCTTATTTAAATATATAACAAAAATAGGGTTTTTAACAAAAACCCCCAAAATGGCTAGCTTTTAATAATTACTATTTGACTAATAGCTACCTTTACTAGAGACCTCAGAACTAACTTTAAACTCAAAATTGTTGGCAAACCCCAAACTGTTCGTAAAGCCAGAATTAGCCTTCACGTTTGACTCAATCTCGGCCCCGGAGCCAGGATTAACCTCTATGTCTGACTCGAACTCGGCTCCAGAGCTAGATTTGCCAGGGTCTTGTTAGCTCTTGGTCTCCTCAGAGGACAAATCATTGGTAAGAGGATATTGTATATGAGCTTCTGGAGTAGAATTGTCCGAATTATCCGAATCGGAAAAAGGGTATTATAAGGGGCAATTGCGCAAGGGGCAGTCATGCAAGGGGCAATTATGCAAGGGGCAGTCTTGCAAGGGGCAGCCGAATTAAAACAGTTGCTTTTGTTTTGAATTAGCAAACTAGAACTAATTGTTATATTGCTTTTGTTTTAAGTTAATAACCGGAAACTAACTATCGTGACTCTTGTTTCAAATCGGAGAGTTACTAATTATTAGAGAAAGGGAAGTATACTAGTTCTTTTACTCTTTTTAATATCGAGAAAGCATTATTTGCTTTAGTTAAGGATCAAGTTCCGAGATTAATTAGGTAATAAAAAAACAAAAGTCTTTTTTCTTGTAAAATAATAATGAATTAATTATTAAAAAGAAAGCATTATTCATTTTAATTAAGGGCTAAACTCCAAGATTAACTAAGTTATAAAGAATATTATACTTTTGGCTAAGTTTCTAATTCTTTCTATTTTGAAAAGATTATTAAATATTAAAAGCAATATTTTGTCTCTGCTTTCCAAGAACAAATACAAGTCCTTTACTAGTAATATTATATTGCCTTTATAAGCCAAGTCAAGTAAGCTTAGTATTACGTAATAGCAAGATTAATGCAATAGTTAAAGGCTCAAAGTTTAATAAATCTCATGTATTAAAAATACTAAGCTAGAGAGCAAAGAAGAGAGGAATGCCTTGATCTTTAGTAACGCTTTGCTTATACCTTCTGGCTTAGTTCCCTGTTTCAGACTTGTTTCCTAATTCCTATTCCCGGCAGATCATGCAGTTATGCCAGCCGTCACACAATCCAAACAAGCAATCGGAAGCTGAAGACAAGCTATATGCGCTCTGTTAAGGCAACAATTACCTCCCTGCCTATATAGCCAAGTTCGAGCGCACCTTATACAAAGCAGACAGGTAAAGCTGGCCAGATATTAATAAAATCTCCAGTTTTCGCAATGGCCTCAATTCTGCAATTCGCTCTCGCCTAGCCTAATAGTTGACTCTACCTGGGGTTTACGGCAATTTCCTACAGACCGTCCAATAGCTCTCCTCTGAAACTGTTGCTCCACCGTACGCCACTGCTCCCAAGATCGCTAGCGACCCCATATACGTCAGTGAATTGATAATTGGTGCCCTTACGTTGTTTGGTCCACCCTCACCGGCCATACCAGCTCGTTTAACCTCAAAGGGGCTCCGCCAGCTATACCGTCAAACCGGTAAATGTATCAGATGCGGATCCCAGGATTACTTTATAAAGAACTGCAGCCTAGCTCCTGCAAGCACTGCTTCTTCCGGTTCTGGCAAATGAGTCACAATCGCCGCAGTCAACGATAATAATTACTCTGGTACAGAGAGCGATTCTGACGAGTCTGGAGGAGCACGCCCGGATATAGACTGGAGAAGAAACATCACCACTGGCATCGGGAACTGGTCCTTTTCCTTTGTTTCGTTGATTTATTACACTCCTTTTACTTTCCCTTTATCTACTTCCTCTCGTAGCACACTGGCGCTCGGGTTCGAGCTGTTTGGAGAGGGGGGTAATATAACGGCTAGTGCCACACGGTTGGTTTCAACTAAGGTTTTAGCTAAGGTGTCAAGCTAAGGTTCAAACTAAGCTCGACGTTTCAGTGGTCTTGGCCGCACTTACTTATCCACTGCCACACCTCACTCCATCTCTCCTTAGCTTTAGATTCTAAAAGACACTGGAATCTTAGATATTTGAGCCTCGTTCCATTGCTTTGTTCCTGCCGTCACACTACCTCTCAAGATACTAGAAGTTTGCTTTAAATAAATAAATAATTGACTGCGTATTTTACTAAAATAAATTAATGGATCTTAGAAACAAGAACCCTTAAAGAGGGTATAATTGTAATGTATGCCGCGCCGCACATGACTATATTACATATAACGAATGTTATGAGGCCTGGCTCTTGGTTTGGAAAGCAGGTTAGGGTGGCTCTTATTTCGGGAATACTAAACTAGGGAAGGAGATATATAGTATATGTAATAGCGGGATTAAAGCAATAGTGAAAGGCTCGAAGTTTAAAAAATCCCATGTATTGAAAATACTAAGCTAAAGAGAAGAAGGAGAGAGAGGGAGAGAGAGAAGTTAAAAGGAGAGATACTAGCTAAAACCACTGAAATGCCGGCTAGCTAGGTGAAACCAGTCATGTGACAGCTACCCCTATATAACCCTAGCCAGCGCTGTCATAGTATAAGTGTATGTACGGCAAGTAAGCAGCAAAACAGCCTAGTATGATATAGCCTAGTACATTACGTATACTTAATACGTAATAACTATAGAGCCTGCAATTATTTCTTTATCCGCTAAGACATGTCTAGCGCTAGTAAGGGAGCCACGCTCGGGGTAAAAAGGTAATAGATAACTAACAAATTTATAACTAAAGGTATACTAGTATAATCTGAGTAAGGTTCCTTGCTAGTACTAGACATATCTCAGCAAACAAAGGGATAATAGCGAGCCTCGGTTATTAAGGAGATCGGTAACTCTTATATGTTATTATTTTACTATTATAGGCTATAGGTTTATAATACTCTAATTATATATATTATTAGCCCCCTTATTTAGAGAAAGCTTCCCTAAACCTTATAAGAGTAATAGAAATTAGTTTTATACTAGATTAATACTAGTAATTTTTATACTTTACTAATTAATTCTATTGCTTTATTATTTACTAATAAATACCTCACTAAAAGCTTTTATTCTTTTTTTAATTTAATTCTTTTTAAATATAATAATTTGAGAATAAGTAATTAATTGGTATTACAAATTTTTTATTTTTTTTTGGTTATTCTTGGGTCGGACCGACTATAGAACTTATTGCATATTTAAAGAATATAAAACAACAAAAATTCAAAGTGCACTTCCTTTACTTGCACAGCAAGAAATTCTTGCCTCATCATGGGAAGCCTTCACCACCCGCTACAGTGGCTAAGTGCTCCAAGCCAGTTGGAGCAGACCAAACCACGGAAACAGTTTCATCAATCACAATTGCTGATCAACCGAGTCGAGCTCTCTCCTGCGCTACCAAAACAATGCCTAGCACATGCAAACCAAAAGCAGAGTAGCAAGTCCACTTCTCCGCAGGCAAGTCTTCATCATCGAAAAACTTCTCCAGCGCCAGACGGTCTCGAACTAACTTCACTTCTAAATAGAGAAACCAAGAATCCCTCATCCACTCAGCATGTCCAATTCTTGCCCCCACTGGCTGCACCCCCCAATTCTGCGTTGCAGGTCGTATGATCCGCCCTCTCGACCCACGAGTAGGTGAGAACCGTTCAATTGAAGTCATAAAACAAGAAGCAGAAGCTTTTCTTAAAGAAATGCTTTCTGAAGGCCTCTTCGATTCCTCCGAAGTTTTCGAACAGAGACTCAAGGAGGTCATCAAACAGATTGAGGGAAACAGCGTTAAATGTATGGTGTGGGGAGATAGTGCCGGAGATGATGGAGTACAGAGAAGAAAAGTACAAGGAGTGAGCAGCAACGGATATGTTCAAACGAAAGAAGAGATGGAGTGGGGAGTCAGAATTGCGTGGAGGAATTCGAGGAAATGCATTATGCGAGCTCACTGCTGGGACTTGAAATGTCTCGACTTGAGAGACATCAAGACAAGCAAGGGAATGCTGGACGCGATCATTAAGCATTGTCCCACTACATACAATCGCGGCAGGATTGTACCCACTGGTTTGTTGCCCCCGAATATATTGCACAATAAACACTTAACATGCGATAGTCTTCATCTTCCCTGGACGTCGTGTTGACTGCAGTGGACCCATGTTCTGGTCACAGCAGTTTTTGAATTTCGCAGGAGTAAGTACTGATTACCCTACATCTTCGGTTTTGAGGTATTGGTACTGACACTTGTCTTTGCACAGTATGAGCTTTCACCTGGCGAAGTACTAGGCGATCCAGCTCAAGTACAGCTGACGAAAGACATCATCGCGTTGGGTTGGCAACCACCAACTCCCAAGACAAGATGGGACATTCTCCCTCTCGTTGCCATGGCCGAGGGCGACGAGCCTGAGTTCGCAACACTGCCGCCTGAACTCACACGACCGGTCTCGATTACCCACCCACAGTACCCCAAGGTCGCAGATTTAGATCTGAGGTGGGGAAAATTTCCGGCCTTAAGTCGACTCGGTTTTGATATCGGAGGAGTTCAGTACACTGCTTCTCCCTTCATCGGATGGTTTATGGATGCAGAAATAGGAGTCAGAAATTTGGCCGATACATTCAGGTACAATGTCCTGCCAGAAGTTGCGAAAGCCATAGGTTGGAGCAGTCCCAGCCACACATTTGGCGAGCTGCCAGACCACGAGCGGCTTCTGTGGTTGTCAAGGGCTCAAGCAGAGTTGAACTATGCAGTGTATTGCTCATTCCAGAAAGCTGGTGTAACTTGCACAAGTAGTCTCACGGCTTCGCATTCCTGGACCACGTTCGACGATCAACATTTGAGGGAGAAAGGATACAGACTCAACGCGGATCCTTATTGGATCTCTCCGCCACAAGGCAGTGTGGTGCCCCTATGGCACCGAGGTGGCGCACCGAATTACCAACCAAAACCGTTGATTGCGAGGCATAGGTGCGATCCGGTCCGAGTCTGGAAGAGACGATATAACGCACTTACACGAGTAGAAGGACAACTCGACAATGCAGACTATGACGAAGATAGACCTGCAGGTCCTCAATCGGAGGTACACATCTTCTATTGTGGAACAAACGGTACGGCTGCAAAGTTGGCAGAGAGCTTGCGAATATTCATGGCAAAGAAGTCGTCGAGGATAGTCGGTGAATTTGGAACCTTGAATTCCTTCGATCCCTGCAAAATATACCCAGGTGACACAGCCCTGTTCATTGTTTCGACGACTGGAACGGGCGAGATCCCTTCCAACGGCCAACAATTCGTCAAGAAGATGAATGTCGAACTGGCTTTCCCCTTGTTGAAGTTCTCCATACTTGGAATCGGTGATAGTGGCTACCATGGAACCTTCAACTGGGCATGCAAATCTGTTCAACGAATACTCAAAGAGAAACAACTCAAGCCGCTGATGTTGGATTGCGTAACAGAAAGCGATGTTTCTGTGGAGAACCCTCCCTGGACCGACTTCCGAGTGTGGTGCAGTCGTATTGAGCGGGCGCTGGACGGTGAGACTGAAGAAGGAAGCCTCGAGCCCGGCAAGCCGGACCACATCGACAATTTATATGAGAAACAATACAGCATTCTGAAGGCATACAAAGAGGCTACCATGCGATTCGATCCTTTCATCCACAGGCCAGGTGAGATTTTGAAGTTGTCGTTGGAGATCCCAGAGTCCGATTATGAACCGATGGGTCACATCCGTCTTCTCCCTCGAAATTCTGAAGTGGCAGCTCAAAGAGCAATGAAATTGCTCGAAATCGACGACAACCAAACTATCGGCACGGTTGCCAAGGAGAATCCGGCGTATCCGAGCCAAATTCAGGATCAGAGACAAGTGCAGTTACTTGCAGTTCCGATCCGTCAGTTCTTGAAGGACTTCGTTGACCTACACAGCCCATTTCTCTCTATGGATTGGGCACAAAATCTGTCGAACGTCAAAAATGGGCCCGCTCTTCAAGTTCTCGAACACTTATCTCGGTCACTTCAGCACCTATCGCCATCGATCTCACCAATGGAACTCCTGCTCTCGTTGACCCCGCTCCGTCCACGAAGCTATTCCATCGCCTCATCTTCTGAATATACCGTTGATTCCGATACGAGCGCCGTAGTGACTACGCTTGACGTCTTCGTCCGTATCATCCCTAACGGACGATTCAGCCACCACTGTTTATCTGAGGTGGGGAACGGAGGTAAAATCCTCTATAAATTGACCCCAAACAACATCTGCCCTCCTCTCCTGAAATTGAATGGTAAACCTTTAGTGGCAGTTGCTTGCGGAACGGGAATTGCGCCTGTCCGCTCTCTGCTTCAACATCTCATCCACGCTAATATTACGGAGTCGAAGATCAGCGTTTTCATAGGCTTCAGACCTGATGACAGCAGCACTGAGCTGTTCATCGAGATCGTTGAGCAAGCATTGGAGAAAGGAATTTTGGATATCTTGGACGTTGTTCCGAGTAACAAAGAGAAGGTGAGAGTTCAGGACCATTTTGGAGACTGCAAGGAAGCTTTGAGGAGAAAATTGGGGGAGGAAGCAGGATACTTCTACGTTTGTGGCAATGCGGTGGTTGTAGGAGTGGTGAAGGACAGATTGAAGGGTGTTTTGGGACCGGAGATATGGACAAGAGTCCAAGAGAGGATTTTGGAGGAGACCTTTTAGGAAGGGTTGCTTTGCCATCGGGCTCAGTTGCTGGGCATTCGGTGATTCGTAAGAAGGTTCTTGGCCTTGGCATTATAAACAATTTCTTCCTCTGTATCTGCAAAAGCTTGTGATAAGTATATACTTGCGAGCCATCGGTAGCCATATCAAAAGAGGCTTCGCATTCTCGCATGCATGAGAATCGTGCACATGCTCAAGTGAGGTTGGCAGGCGAGAAAAGACCCCAGAAAACGCCACAAACAGGAGCCGAGGCAGGTTCTTCCCCGCAAGCGAAGCAACACAAGCTTCACCGTCATGTACCCCATAACTACTTTGCCTGACATGTATCTGCCTTACGCTTTCTTGTACACTCCTTCTCTTCACCTCTTCATCCTCAAACCGCCTTGAGTCTCAATATAGCTTCTGAACAATCGCAACAATGGCTCCCTCAGGCCCCATAACAACCCCGCTCACCACCCTCCTCAACATCCAACACCCCATCCTCCTTGCCGGCATGGCCCGAACCTCAGGAGGCCCCCTTGCAGCCGCAGTGTCGAACGCCGGCGGGCTAGGTTGCATCGGAGGACTGGGCTACACGCCAACCCAGCTCCGTGAAATTATCCACGAGCTGAAAGCCAATCTCTCTTCGCCCTCTCTATCCTTCGGCGTCGATTTGGCACTACCGAAAGTAGGAGAAGGTGCACGGAAAACAAACCACGATTATACGCACGGCCAGCTTGATGATTTGATCGCGGTTACGATTGAAGAGGGAGCCAAACTGTTTATCAGTGCGGTGGGAATCTCTCCTCCGCATGTGATTAAGCGGTTACATGATGCGGGGATTTTGATTATGAATATGGTTGGGGCGCCGAAACATGCGAAGAAGGCGCTTGATGCTGGGGTTGATATCGTTTGTGCTCAGGGTGGAGAGGGTGGTGGGCATACGGGCGATATTCCGAATTCGATATTGATTCCAAGCGTGGTTGATGTTGCACGGCAGTATCGCCCGAAATTGCTTGGGGGTCAGACGGCATTGGTTGTTGCTGCTGGAGGGATTTATAATGGTAGAAGCTTGGCAAGCAGTCTGATGCAGGGTGCTTGTGGAGTTTGGGTTGGAACGAGGTTTGTTGCGTCCACGGAGGCGGGGTGCAGTCAGCAGCACAAGGAGAGTGTAGTGAGTGCTGCTTTTGAGGATACCTTGAGGACTCTGGTTGTTAGCGGAAGGCCATTGAGGGTTAGGAGGAACGAGTGGGTTGATAAGTGGGAGGCGCAGCCCGAAAAGATCAAGGAGTTGACTGAGAAGGGAGTGGTTCCTATTGAATTTGATTTGGAAGCTGGCAATGATGTGGATATTCCTCATTTAATGGGTGTTGTAGCTGGCGTTATCAAGGACGTCAAGCCAGCGAAGGCGATTGTTGATGATATAGTTTCGGAAGCTGTTGAGATGCTGGAGCAGGGGCAGACTTTCTTAACAGGAAGGAAAAGTAAGCTATAAGCTTTGACGTTTGTAACAACATTTCCAGATATTCAAATCATAGATCAACAAGAATTAAAACGGGTTGAAATGCTCAATTCTAGCAAATGCTACCTGCCAAACACCCCAAAAAACACCAGCAGCGAGCGCTTCGCATGCTTCTATGACGCCAACCATCTGCTCAACCCTAAGTCTATACAAGAAGGGGGCAATAATAGCTAAAGAAATGTGTTGAGGGCTAACCTCAACTGAAAAATGGTAACCTTGCTGGTACGAAGGTATGCTTCGAAGGCTCCAGCGATTTGGTGGTCTCCATTGATCGAGAGCTTGTTGGAGCAGAAGAGCCAACAGTGGGATCTGCGGCCTCAGCAGCTGCAGCGTTCGCTTCACCGGTTTCTTCTTCTGATTGTGGCAGAGGAGGTATGTCATCAACGACAAGTGATTCTTGCTTTGTCTCTGAAACAGGCACCTCAGCCGAATCTCCAGCATGAAGTCCTCTTTCAACTGCCAATTTGACAGCTGCCAGCCTCTTTCTTTCCACTTCGAGTTCCTCTTCATGCCTAACTCTCTCCTCCTCCTGTTGCAAGTCTGTTAAGGATGGTGTCTCTGCCATATGCGGGCTGAGTATATCCGGAGTTTGAGCTATCGATGCTCCCGAACTGACACGACGACCAGATAGAGAAGGTCTCGAGTTCGATGATTGGGTGGTCCTCGATAGATTCCTCGAAATGTTCCTGGATACAGCAGGTCTCTTGCCTTTGCTACTCCTCGTCTTCCCACTGCTTCTATCGTCGGTATTTACGGTCATCCTCCTCTCCAGGACCATGGCGAATTCATCACTCAATGGAACTGCATCATCTTCTCCATCGCTTGGAAAGAGGTCTCCTCTCGATCTGAAAGAGTCTGATGTTTCGCCAGAGCTGGTAGTCGAACTTCGGTTTCTCTTATGTCCTTTTTGGTTGTATCTCTCATCCTCACTGTGCTCATCGGAAATGAGCGGCTCCCCTTCCTCTTCTTCTCTAATTTCCGCACGCGACGCTCCAGGATGCTCCTGCAGATCTGCAGCACTTGGTTTATATCTCAATGTCCCTCCCAGCTTGAACGGCAGCCGTCCCAAGAATCCCAAAGCGCTTGTACTAGGTATGACAGTCGGATCGGGCTCCAGACTCTTCCGCCTTGCCCTATTAGTGCCATAACTCATCTTTCTCTTCCTCCTCGGCTGCTGATCAATTCCTTCACTCCCACCACTATGTGATCCGCTGCCTGCTAGCAACCTGTCCAGTTCGTCGTTTCCCCAGCCTCCCAACAAGCCTCGACTCGCCGCAGAATCATCCTCATCCCAATCATCATAGAAATCGAAGCTTAGCTCCGCTCGTCCTCTAGTCCGCCCTCTTTCCCTCAATCGCCTCGCTCGATCGTCGCGGTCAGGGAAGCACTGTCCGGCGCATTGCTCGAAGCCGGACGCGATTGACGCAAAGCAAGGGTTGATGTAATTGTGCTGGAAGGTCCAGATACCGGCAGCAGCGGTCTCAGTCGCTTGCTCAGCATTCTGCGAAATCTGATTCCAGGTCTGCCGGATTCGAGGGTCTTCGAGGAGGGGCGCCATGGTGAGGGTTGTTGGGTTGGGTCGAGGTCATTGACAGCCTTCAGCCGGTGAGGTGATGCATGCGCCTCACGCAATATGTTTTACTGCATCAAGTTGCTCGGCGATGTGTTAGGAACAGAGCATTGTGCGGGCAATTAGACATGATGGTGTGGCTGAAGGTAAAGTTTTGAGCATTGTCTCCGAGCATCGTCTCCGACGCTTGCGGCGAGAGCTTGATTATCTGCACGTGATGAGAACCACGATCCATTATTCTCAGTCTTATGGCACGGCTGAACTATCTTTGACTATTTGAACCTGCAATATACCGAGTTCACAATACCTGAAACATCGTTCGTAAAGTATTGGCGGAAATTGAGTTGTTGTGTAAGCTTGGAGGCTCCATGTTGTAAGGACGCCGTCGATTGGGCGAAGAGCTTCCTAAGAAGCACTGCTTTCATTGACAGCGGATAGACCAGTAATTTCATCAGAATTAGTAGATTGATTCTGTTATCTAGCGACGTGTGAGTTTGTCCATAACGTGGTGGGACGTTAAACGAGGGAAAGTGTCCACCTAGTTCAGCAGGCCTCTTTAAGGCTGCTTGAGGTACTCCACACCAGGGCCTTCCTTTGAGAGACGTACGTGAATGTAAAAAGCCCAAGAATGATCAGACCAAACTTCTCTGTGAAGAGTGAATTAATCCAGAGCCAATTCGTGTGCTTGTATGCATTGTGCCGCGACTTGTGGTACATTCGAAAGCTAGCATCCACGCTCGGATTCTCCGTAATATGCGAGAAGCTCATTTGGGATTGCTGATATTGTAGGTTGTGAGAGGGTGGTATTGACGTTGCCGAGCAAATACTACATACCAGGAGCCAAAATATAGCCCCAATAGCAGACGCATATGCAATACAAGCCAATGTGAATGCTCATTTCATTGCTCGATCAATCAATCAATGCTTGACCCCATTTGCTGGAGTCGTCACCCCATTCGCAACCGCAAGCGTCGGCGGAGGCACCGGTCCAAATGGCTTTGGGCCTTCGGGATGCAACTCCTCCTCCGTATCTTCGTTGTAATCCCCCTCACTAACCTCATCGCCTTCTTCCTGCTCTCCATCACCGTCCTCTCCTTCCTCGTCTTCATATTCGTAATCGCTTTCCGTACCATCCATATCGCCCTCGACGTATTCTCCCTCTGTACTGCCTTCGGCCATAGTAGCCATGCCACCAGCGACTCCTCTCCCTTGCTTCTGCATCTGGTTGATGATACTAGTCAGCTTTTCGTTCTTCTTCCTCAACGAATCCATTTCTAGATTGGTCTTCGTCCTTTCCTCGGCCATCTTCAAGATGTTTTGATTCGTCAAATCATGTTTCCTAGTCAGGCTCATATTCTCCTTCTCAAGTCGCTTCGTCTTCTTGGACATCTCTTCCATTTCTTTCCGGAAGGTTAAGAATAAGTCATTACTGTTATTGAGCGTGTCCTCCACCTGGGGCGTGTTAGCTCGACAATATATTATCCATAAGGGAATAGTAGAGTATTGATGCCCCTGTACAGAATAGAAACTTGATACATACCTGCTTGAACTTTTCAACGTAAATGTTGAGCTGATTGCGCAGTTCTGTTTCCGTCTTTGAAAACGTTAGAACCTGCGCATTCAAAGCTCGGGATCGTGTAACCTCTGCCTCAGCTGTTTTCTTCTCTCGGTCAAACCTTGCCATATTATACTGTACTTCCAGCTCTTTCGACCGTAGAAGGGAGTGAAAATGCAGCTCGCGCAGTTCGTATTGATCAATCAGGGATTTGAACCGTTGTTTGAATCTGGGAGGAAATTAGCACCAAGGGTTGTACCGAGAAGAGGTGGCTAACAGATCGTCGACTTCGATATTGACAACTTGCGCTTGAGGATGGTCCTTGGCTTCCTGGTAGTCTTGTAACTGCCATAAAACTTGCTTGAATTTTTCGTCCCATGCTGCATGGTTGTCTTTCTCCGCATCTCCCAATGTCTTATTCTCAGCCTATTCCAGAGTCAGAACTTCCAGAACCACAGCACCTTTTCCGGACAAAAGCCTCAAACCTTTAACCTATTGTTCTCCCGTTGAAGCTCTCGGCAGAGCTTCTCCAGCTTCTCCTTCAAGGTAGTCGTCTTGCTCAAATCTGTCCTGGCATGGTCCTTTTCCTTTTGCAACAGATCGCCCCGTTTCTTGTGCTTCTGGTTCTCTCGTTCCAAACGCTTCATATTCGCCAGGTGCTCTGTGGCTCGTCTTTGGAGCACTTCAATCTTTTGCCTATCGTCCAGATTCGATATAGAATTGTTTAGTTCGCGGTTGGCTTTCCTGACTTCGCGTTCTTTATATGATCGACTATTAGTAAAGGTCCATCCAGATCGCAAAGCAATCCAACAAGCTCTCCATCCGTGATCGTTGATGGGGAGAGAGTTGGAGCTAGCACAATAACACCGGAGCAATACTGTTGATAACGAGTATCGGTACTGTAGCTCTGGTGTACCACACAACAGCGTAGTTCATGAATCACAACTTTGCGAAGTATATCCTTGCCTCCGGTGTGGCAACCGCTCTCAACAATGGCGCATATGGAGGGGATCAAAACGGGTTTAACCAACCAATTTCAGCCTCTTGCTCCTGTTCCCCAGCCGCATCCAGCTCCAACTGCGAAATCTTCGCAGCGATCAAGTTCGAGGCTTCATTCGGGTCCGTGGTTTTCTTCCCCTTCCCCTTCTTCGCAACATTCGATCCCGACGCCGCACCAACATCGTGATGGTGGTGATGGTGTCCATTTGTATAGCCAGAGTCGGTGTGAGAATGGTTCGCAGAAGATGAGAGCGTCCTCGAACTCGCAGGCACAGATGTATGAGTGGAATTCACGGCGGTCGACATGGTGGTCCCGGATGATTTTGGGGGTAAAGAGCTAGCTACGAGCACGAGCGAAGCTCCTATTCCACGATGTGCAGGTTCGGGTTCGAGGCAGAGGTGGACTTGTGTTCTGGCAGCTTTGTGTTCCCATCGACTCGTTCTCCTATCGGACGTCTGGTGTCGTGAGGAGAGTTGTGCAGAACAGCTTAATTTGGATTGCGTTAGCGGCAAATCGCAGTTTCCGTGGCCTCAGCTTGGTCCCAAATTGTGGCAGGGAACAGCGCAGCAAAAACTCACTCAAAAAGAAATATAAAGACAAGATTTGCTGACTATACTTTGCGTTTCCTTCGATATACCACAGGTAAGGTCAAGGCCATCACTCCAGATCCATGCTGGCTCATTATTGGTGTGCCAAACGTTCAATGATTTATGCAGGCCGATAAAAGCAGCAATTTTCAAGCCATATGCAAAAACTCCCTGTTTTCGGGCAATTTCACCTAAACCATACGTTTTCTCGCGAGCGTTTTTCCTAACTAATAAATTTTTACTATTTTAAGATTTCTATTAATAAAAAGTACGTAGAAAGATTCGCATTACTTTAGGGAGTCTAAATATATATATATATATATTTTATAAGGTTATAGGTAGGTTCTTAATTAATTGTATAAGACTTGAGGGAAAAGAATTTTGGTATCCTCGTTCACGTATATTTTGTCTAGACAAGGCTCGAAAATCATATATTTATACCTTTAATTTTATGATCTTCCCGTATAATTTTGTCTCTTCAAGTATTTTATTAAAATTAATCGTCCTTTATCAGAATATTTTTTTAATTGTAAAAGAGCTCTTAAGCTCTTCTTTTAAGCTACTTTTCTAAGTGGATTTTTGGCCCTTTTTGGCTCAAAATTTACTCTGGCTCGAGTCTGGCAGGCCTCGCACAGACGGAATTTAGGCGAGAACGAGGAATACCAAAACTCCTTTACTTTTAACCCTAAAATTGTTAGAATGCACCCTTTTAAACTCTTAGTCTGATAAATATCTAAGATACTTAAAAGAAGGCCTTTCTAAATATTTACTTTTTATTAAGAAATTTGTGGTTTTAGTAAAAGTCAATTTGCAGTTTTTAAAAAGTATGGTTTTGCTGTGACGTCGGGATCAATGTAATGGTCGAAGGCTCAAAGTTCAATGAATCTCATGTATTGAAAATACTAAGCTGGAGAGCAAAGAAGGGAGGAATGCCTCGACCTTTAGTATTACTTTGCCCATGCCTTCCGGCTTAGTTCCGTTTTAGACCTGTTTCCGAATTCCTATTCCCGGCAGATCGTGCCGTTATGCCAGCCGTCACATTTGCCAAAAATGCGCTGAAACAGGGTGTTTTTGCATATGACTGTGTGGCTTTAGCGAGATGTCAACATCGGACTTGAACTTTTCGTGTTTTTATTCAGTTCTCTCACTCAGCAACTCCAAATGTCACGACTACACGATGCTGCGCAACGCATCCAAGGGAGTCGTCCGGAAAGCCGTGACAGAGCTTGCCCAATACCCGAAGCCCGGAGAGAAGATCCACGGCTTCACTCTCCTCCGTTCGAAGCATGTCCCAGAACTCGAGTTGACAGCTCTGCACCTGCAGCACGACAAGACGGGCGCCGACTATCTGCATGTTGCCCGCGAAGACAAGAACAATGTCTTCTCTATCGGCTTCAAGACAAACCCACCGGACCATACGGGGGTGCCGCATATCCTGGAGCATACGACACTTTGTGGCAGTGAAAAGTAGCTAGCATCCTGGCCTTCAAATGAGCTGTGCTGAGTGCTTGCAGATATCCCATACGTGATCCATTCTTCAAGATGCTTCCCCGAACGCTCTCGAACTTTATGAATGCCTTCACTGCTTCCGATCATACCTTTTATCCATTCGCCACCACAAACGAACAAGACTTCAAGAATTTGATGTCCGTATACCTCGACGCTACCTTACATCCACTGTTAAAGCAGAATGACTTTGCCCAGGAAGGATGGCGGGTAGGTCCGGAGAATGCCAGGGCTGCTCAAGCTGGTGATGCGAAGGCAGAGGACAGCAAGTTGGTGTTTAAAGGCGTGGTCTACAATGAGATGAAAGGACAAATGTCGGATGCTGGTTATCTATATTATATGAAATTCCTGGAAGAAATATTTCCGGCTATCAACAATTCTGGAGGCGATCCACAAATGATGACGGATCTGACCTACGAACAATTGAAGAAGTTTCACGCAGAGCACTACCATCCGAGCAATGCCAAACTTTTCACATACGGAGATATGCCCCTGGCGGGTCATCTGCAAGAAGTCGATACTCAGCTAAGCTCTTTTGAGCGTATTCAAGGAGATTTGGAAGTCCGGAGACCTATCGAGATCGATAACGATGGGCCCGAGGCCGTTCAGGTTCATGGGCCGATCGATCTATTGGTGGACAGAGACATGCAGTGGAAGACATCCACGAGTTGGCTGATGGGGGATACTACCAATAATCTCGAAACTTTCTCTCTAGGAATCATATCTAGTCTCCTAATGGATGGATACGGCTCACCATTATATCGCAATTTGATCGAGGCTGGCCTGGGAACAGATTGGACTCCGAACACAGGCTTCGACAACACTGGGAGAGTTGGAATATTCTCAGTGGGTGTTACTGGCGTCAAAGAGGCGGATCTTTACAAGGTCAAGTTAGCTCTTCACAGAACGTTCGAAGAAGTGCACCGTAACGGATTTGACAATTCGAAAGTGGACGGACATCTCCATCAATTGGAAATTTCGTTGAAACACAAAACTGCAAAATTCGGCCTGGGTATTTTGCAACGTATCAAGCCTGCTTGGTTTCAGGGGGTTGATCCGTTTGACTCATTGGCTTGGAATGATACAATTTCAGCATTCCAGACTGAAATGGCGAAAGGAGGCTATCTGGAAGGTTTGATGGAGAAATACTTGCTGAACGACAGAACACTTACGGTTACGATGATTCCAGATGCTGATTACGAAAAGGAGGTGTCCAAGGAAGAGGCAGCTCGTCTTGCAAAGAAGATCTTCGAAGTCACAGAAGCGGCTGGAAGTGAAGCAGAAGCGCGTGCCCAGTTGGGAAAGCAGGAATTGCAACTCCTGGAAGAACAGTCGAAGTCAAGTACCCAGGATCTCAGCTGCCTTCCAACAGTACACGTCAGAGACATCCCCCGACAACAGGAAGTAATCGATGTGAGGGATTCCAAAGTCGATAATGTCAACGTACAATGGCGGGAAGCGCCAACGAATGGTCTTACATATTTCAGAGCCGTCAATTTATTTGAAAATTTGCCTGAGGAACTCAGAGCACTGATCCCGCTCTTTACCGACTCCATCATGCGCTTAGGGACCAAAGATATGACAATGGAGCAGCTCGAGGATCTGATAAAGCTGAAGACAGGTGGGATATCTGCTTCATATTTTGCTTCATCTTCTCCTCTAAACTTCAGATTATCGTCCGAAGGTATGAGTTTTGCAGGAACTGTGTTGGATCGCAATGTAGCCGACATGTTTCAACTATTACAAAAGCTCGTGCTCGAAACTGATTTCGAGAGCGCTGAGGCTCAATCACGAATCAGGCAACTTTTACAAGGGTCAGCAGACGGAGCAGTGGGCCATATTGCATCCTCAGGGCATGTGTATGCCAGAGGTTATGCGGAAGCAGGACTGACAAACTATTTTCGAATAAAGGAGCAAGTTAGCGGTTTGTCACAAGTGAAGCTTGTCTCATCACTAGCTTCTCGACCCGAAGCCGAAGGACTTGCAGATGTCATCGAGAAATTGAAAGCCATTCAAAATTTGGCACTCTCAGGACCTAGCAGTTTCCGCACTGCAATCACTTGCGGCACCGAAAGCGTGTCCACCAACGAAGCTGCACTCCAAAAGTTCCTCTCCGCCCTTCCCAAATCAAAACAATCGCCACTAAAGATTCCATCCCCGGATTTCAGCAGGAATACCAAGACTTTCTTCCCCCTCCCTTATCAAGTTTACTATGGTGCGCTAGCCGTCCCAACAGTATCCTATACCTCAACTTCCGGTGCTCCATTGCAAATCCTCGCCCAACTCCTGACACACAAATATCTACACCACGAGATCCGTGAGAAAGGTGGCGCGTACGGTGGAGGCGCTTACTCTAGTGGTCTCAATGGTGTATTTGGCTTCTACTCCTACCGAGACCCGAACCCACAGAACACCATAGAGATTATACGTGATGCAGGACAATGGGCTGTTGGAAAGCAATGGACGGATCGCGATCTCGAAGAGGCGAAACTCAGTGTTTTCCAGAGTGTGGATGCGCCACAAAGTGTTAGCGATGAGGGCATGAACAGGTTTTTGAGTGGGGTCAGTGATGATATGATGCAGGAGAGGAGAGAGAGATTACTGGATGTCACCAAGGAGCAGGTTAAGGAGGCGGCACAGAAGTATGTTGTTGATCCTCTTAAAAAGGGAGAGGGACGAATGGTATTTTTGGGCGAGAAGAAGCTGTGGGTTGACGGTACTTGGGAGACCAAGGACATGGGAATCTCAGCGCAGGAGCCGGAGATTACCGATGAGGAGGATGTAAAGGAGGCGGCTTTAGGGTCGTAATGTCGATTGTATGTATGACTTTGTATGATACTGTATTCCACTCATGCACTGGTGGCGTTCACATTTCTCAAGAAGACATAATCGGGCTATGTCCGTCAGTTTTACAGAACAATCAGCACGCGCTACGAACAGATAATACGTCTGCAGTCATCTCAGTGGCTGTAAGATCACAAGTCATGCCTCCGGGCTAGCGCAAGAACGAAATAGCGACCGAGGAAACCTGACGAGAGTTGGGGGGTTCGAGGAAGCGATCTCCGTCTTATTTCAGACCTGTTGTCCCTGAGCTGTGGGATGGCGGACTAAAGATGTGAGGACATACTCCTGGCTAACACAGAGGACTGTGGCAGATTGAGCATCATTTCAAGATGTGGGGGACACAATCCCCAGCAATACGAAGACTAGTTATTGCTGGTCGAACAGGAGGTTGATACAAACACTTGAGCGAGGAGCTGTAGCTCCACTAGATAACTATGGCTTCAAAGTGGACTTTCTGACAGTCCATGTGGTGTGCTTCACTGCCCCTTTCATTTTGCTCCTAGCGTTTGGCCGACTATCGAGTTTTTGTGAATCAGTATTAAATAGCTAGGAGTCCTAACTCCAGGGCCCTCGCTTGTCATGTTTGATGAAGCAGTCTAATCATGTAATTGATCTCGTGACAGTCAATTGTTTCCAGGTAGGTTGCTCTGTTTTCGTCTCGCTTCGCCTCCGCCGCAGCCCCTGAAAAGAAGGGGTGGTGCGTCATCGGCTCTCTCAAATCCCCAAAACGCAGGAACAACAGCTACCTGCGGAATTTTGAGCTATTCCCAGGAGCCCATCAATGACTGGAGAATGCCTGGGTCTCTTCTCCACATTTTGATAAAATGAGACTGTGTAGTAGTCGAAAATAGCTCATCATATGCCCATGAACTGGTCGGCTGCGTGATTTTTTTAGGACAAGGATCATCGGTTAAATTCGCTAGTGCGGGTTTGGCGGGGACTACCACCCAGAGTTTTCGATTCCCCTCTCTTCGTGAACAACGACACATCTCCTTCGACCAAGTCGAAGAACACCTCTAGTCCCGGCACTTGCATCCCCCATTTTTGACTCGAAGTCCTCAAGGCATTTGGAACGTCTAGCAAGATAGACGTTATTCCCTCACCAGAACTGGTAAGTGTACTTTTCCTTCGATGAAGAAGCGGTGATGGACTCGAGCATTTCGGTCCAAGGCCCTCAACCTCCACAGCTCGTCAAAAACTGTCAGCGAGGTATTTGCAAAACCATTTCTGACAGTTCTTCACCGCAGATCACTTTGATACAACACCCAAAACCCTCCTGACTGCCTTTGGTCAAGCAAAGGCAACTTTTCACACTACGGCTTTCGCGGCCAAAGCACTCCCCTCTGACCACGATTTCTCCCTACGACCCAACCGACACATCATCAACACCCTACCACCTCCTTTGGCTGCAGTCTACTAAAGATCTTGAGCGATTTCTCTTCGACTTTTCCCTCAACACCCCAGCTTGGTCCCCGATTTTTCAGCTGCCGCATAGGACGGGTTTAGAGGTTCTTCCTCTCGCAGAGGAAGAGTCGAGCCGACCTCGTCAGATAAGTGTAGGATCTGATCGATACCGACCTCCCTAACACCCTTTCAGAGTACAAGTAAGTCGCTGCGCCCACCCCTCCAAAAATTCGCCCCATTCATCTTTCTCTTAGTAGAACCGTATCAAGACAATACCCTCGACCTTCCTCGGGGATATGTCACCTTCCGCTATCGCAACCATTGAAACAACACCGAGTCTTACAAGTATTCATTCGTACTATGAGAATTCGAAGAGTTCTTATATTAAACACTTTAATGAACATTACAACCATGGCGTGAACACACCAAAGAGGTTGATTGGAGAAGCTCTGAAGGAAAGGGTCGAAAGCATCGATCATGACGTCTGCGAGCCAGGAGACGAAGATACATTCTTCGTAGCTGATCTCGGCGAGGTCTATCGGCAGCACATGAGATGGAAGTTGAATTTGCCAAGAGTCAAGCCTTTCTATGGTGAGATATCTTCATCCACAATGATGGATGTGAGCTAATATCATCGCAGCTGTCAAGTGCAACCCTGACCCCCAAGTCATCCGTCTTCTGGCAGAGCTTGGAACAGGGTTTGACTGTGCCTCTAAAGGCGAAATTGAACAAGTTCTGAAGATGGATGTTGACCCGAGTCGTATTATCTACGCTCAACCATGCAAGACCAACTCTTATGTCCGCTACGCTGCGAGCCAGGGTGTCAAGAAGATGACCTTCGACAATACGGATGAACTTTACAAGATAAAGACGCTTTACCCCGGAGCTGAGCTTTTCTTGCGAATCTCTACAGACGACTCCTCAAGCTTGTGCCGTTTGAGTCTCAAATTTGGAGCTGCTATGGATTCTACCGAGGATCTTCTCGCTCTCGCAAAGGAGTTGAATCTCAATGTCGTTGGAGTCAGCTTCCACGTTGGCTCTGGCGCTTCTGATCCTCTCGCATTCTTGAAAGCTGTTCAGGACGCTCGCAAGGTCTTCGACCAAGCTGCTCGGTACGGCTTCTTTATGCACACTCTCGACGTTGGTGGCGGCTTCTCCAGCGAGACCTTCGAAGTCATGGCTGGTGTGCTCAGCGAGGCTCTGGACAAATACATTCCAGGACACGTCAGCGTCATCGGCGAGCCGGGTCGCTACTACGTTGCCGCCGCTTTCACTTTGGCTTGTCACATTATCTCTCGTCGCACCATTGAGCACTCAGGTAACGGCGAGAAGAGCTACATGGTCTACTTGAATGATGGTCTCTACGGCAACTTTTCCAGCATCATGTTCGACCACCAAAACCCCATCGCACAAGTCCTTCGCAGCGGTGAACGAACTTACTTCGACACCAGCGCTGCTCAAGATTCTACTGATGGCATTGAGTACTCCATCTGGGGTCCGACATGCGATGGCATTGACCGCATCGCTGAGAGCATCCGCTTCGGCCATACCCTCGATGTCGGCGATTGGCTCTACTTCGAAAACATGGGTGCATACACCAAGTGCTCTGCTACCAGATTCAATGGCTTTACCGATGCTCACGATGTCATCTACGTTGCCAGCGAGCCAGGAGCAAAGGCGCTCCTGGGAATGTAATCTCTTTACTATCCTGATGAACGCAAGGTCGATAAAGCGGAGGAGATAATCGGGCAGACGGTTGTTTCTTTTGCTAGACTTCCTTTTACTTCGTTGTGGCCGGGGCCGGGGCCCAGGAGTGGATGAATCATAGATTTCCTTCCGCGATGATTAACCTGCTTATTCAGTCCATATGTTATTCAATAAGACGTTCATTTGATCATAAAATTCTATGTCTATATGCTGATATATACTGCTGCGTCCATGACTCATGCTTTTGGTAAGCATGTTCAGTTTTCGTGAAGTCAGATACCAAGTCGCGTTCACGTGATCCGCACACCCTGTCTCTGATGGGCAGGTGCTTCTCGCGGCTTGGCGTGACAAAATATCACTCTCGGCAAATTGGTGGGAAAGTGAGTTTGCCGACATTTGATCAGGTGGAAGGTCGGCGTTCGATCTGAGCAGATCCAGACTTCGGGCTAGTCAGAAATTCTCTGCGGCGAGAGTGGCGAAGAGCTTTCAGCCTTTCCACGAGGAATTGCCTATGCTTATTGCCTGGGTTTTCCATCGTCCAGGAAGATATTGATTCATAGGTGAGATCGGACTCGGGCACTGAATTCGCGAATCTTTTGAGAGAGCCAGGGCTTCGGGGCTGGATTGGGAGGACTATCACCCACGACGTTGTTTGTCTCAGTAACTTGCTTGTTTCTGGGGGTTCGGGTGTCATTTCCGGGAGATGGTTTGATAGTCTCCTCACCTTCGTATACATCCCCATCGGTGGGTATCTCAATACCTTCCGCGACTCTGATCGGTCGATTAAGCTCTGCGTGCCAGGGTAATGGTGGTGTGGGTTCTAATCGCTTTCTCTTTGCATCGAGTGTGTAGTAAAGCTGTACGGCTGCGTATGGGTCGCTGGCTGCGTACATGATCTGTTCCAAATTTAATTTCTGGCTCCAATCTGAACCCCTGACCTCTCCTTTGAAGAGTGGTAAGTGCAAATGTTCCTGCACCTGGTTGGCGAGAGAAACTAGCATCTTGTTTATGAGGTGCGTGTCCTTGCTTTCCGAGAACTTCACCAGTTTGTATAAATGTGAAAGTTCGAAAAGTCCTTGGGAGTTGATGCTTAGATTCTTGCGGAGTCGGGTGCAGTCTGCTTTTATCGCCACCCCAACTTTGGTAATGCCTGGATCCTCCATGATCCTCCTCAAGGCCGGAGCAACAAGGCTTTCCGGAGTTTCATTCTCCCGTTTAGGGTATTGAGCTATATGGAAAAGCCCAATCCGATTCTCGCTCGCGATTTGGATGAGAGAGAGAGCAGTCCGTGGTCCCTTGTTCTTGAAATGCATATAATCCGGTGCCCATTCGATATCGAAGCCTAGTACCTTTTTGTTCGCGAAGTACATCTGGATGACTCGTTCTGTTGTCATGACGCTTTTGCAATAATGCACTGTCGGCTTCTTGGATTGGGGTCCTCGGTAGAGGGCGTACGACCAAAAGGACTCAGGCGCCCCTTGAGCGGCAGTCTTGGCGGCACAGAAGAGAGATTCGGGTATTGAGAAAGTTGTGCAAGGTTCTGGGGGCATGTTCTGCTCTGGGTCCTCGGGTTTGGCATTTGTTGGATGGTTCGAGGGAGGTGGATCTGTCACGTCCGTCGAGGTAAGAGGAGCGGGGTTGAGAATAGATTGACCCTCCAACTCAGTTATGTCCGTCGGTGGCATCACGTAGTTGTCTTCAGCCGTTGAATTTAGTATTAAATCTTGTTTTGTTTCCACCGCGGCCATGCTCAATGATCGAGGGGTTGAGGGTGATGGCCCAGAACCGAAAACAATTCCAAGATTCGGATGCCATGTGTTCTGCAGCGGCAGATTTGGATCTGGTCGAGCTGTGCGCGAACTATTGAGCATCAAATGTTAGCACTGCAATTTTCAGTACAAGCTCAACCTACACAAGCCGTCCTCCTGTACCTCGCTGCACCGATGCTCTCAAAGTATCGGCGGCCAGAGCCGAAGTGCCCTCGAACGGACCCATTATTGTCATAAGGGGTCGCCGGAGTGTTTTGCCCAACGCCGATGCTCCATGACTGCTAAGGAGCATGACTCTATTCTGTTGACTTTTTGATTGTGAAGGCAGACGCGTCGAAGACCCAATTGTTGCTTGGCACGAATGGTGGAGGCAAGCGCAGCCGAGCAAACAGGCCAAACACCCGAGTCGAGAAATCTTGGATCACGAGAACGTCACCTCTTGACATCTTGAGCATGATAAACTTAATGCCATAAAGCAAGCGTCTAATAAAAGAAACATAGCCGGCTCATTGCTTTCATCGTTTGATCGACCTTTCTGTGAGTACTTTGCTATTATTCTCAGCCTCGTTTCACGTGCATCGAGATCCTCAGCTAGCCAACGCCCTGGGATCTCGTACATCTCCGCTATTGCTCGTCATTGGAACTGCATTAGCATAGGCTGACATCCTCTAGTCCGCTCTTACTCTCAGGAATTGGCCTCAAGATGGCGTCACAGCTACTTCCTCTCGGTTCGACTGCCCCAAACACTCTTTGGATGCGCCCCGGCTGATATTTGAAAAGAGTTGATCGATAAATGCGTGGGCTCCAAGATCTGGGTTGTCATGAAAGGTGACAAAGGTTCATCTTTTCTTCCTTCTGTTTCGGCCACAATACCTGACCTCTGGGCAGAATTCAGTGGCACTCTCCTTGGCTTCGATGACTACGTCAGTAAGTGCCAGCAGGTCTAATTCAAACGAGCGTACTCTGATACTCCTATAGATATGGTTCTGGAAAATGTGACAGAATTGTAAGTTCTTGGGAGACTGTAATGTGGGCAAGATGCTGACACTGGGATCAGCGACTACTCCGGCGGCCAGACGAAGCTTTCAAAGATTCTGCTGAATGGAAACAACATCTGCATGGTACTTGGTACTCTTTTTATTCAATTTTGCCTGCTAATAAATTGCAGTTAATACCTGGTGGCGAGGGTCCTGGGACGACAGCTTCATGAAGTATCTGGAGAATGAGGGGAGACAATCCTGCTGCGTTTTTGTGCTCTAAAAGTACATGATCGCTTTCTGCTTGTTATTGAGCAATTCAAGATAAATTCCCAAATGCTCAAACTCCTCCCATCCATTGTCCATTACGGATATAGCCTCTACCCTCCAGAACGCGATAGGCCAACGGGGTGAGCTCGGACAGATCGAATCCATTGACGATGCCAGTCAAACGGGGGCCGGGATAGTCGTTCTCAGTTTCGTCCTCATCCGCAGATTGTTCTCCTTCCTCGCCGTTCAATTGATCGTTGGTGACCTCATCAATGTCCTTGTCATTTTCCCCCTCCATCTGGGATAATTCATCATTGGTGTCCTCATTAATGTCCTCATCATTGTCTCCGTCAATCTGGGACAATCGATCGTCCTTCTCCTTGTCGTCATTCACGGAAAGCTCAGTATAGGACTTTGGGACAGCACGAGTTCGTGGAGCCGGCTTCTCGACGCGACCACGTTGGACCTTATTCAATGTAGACTTCTGCTGAGAGTGTTAGACACGATGATAGTAGGAGGTAAAGACGACTTACGGTATTCGGTGCACCAGCTTTCTTCGGCTTTGACGCGTCCTTGGGCGTAGCTGCGGCTTTTGGCTTTGCGACCATGGTAGTCTCTGGCTTCGCGGCATCAGGAGCTTGCTCGGCCTCCATGCTTGCGGCTTTGCTCTCGGCTTTTGGCTGGATTTGGGGACGATCGTACGTGCAAGTTTTTTTGGTCCTCAAGCAGTAGTTGCAGGGGGATCGATAGTCGGCGGGGTCGGAGAGAACACAGTTCTTGAACGAGAAGTGTGATCTGAGAAATTGTCAGCGATTTTCTTGATGAGATTGGAACCCTCGAAGAAGCGAACAGAAGGACTGTCCTCGAGGTCGAGGGAATATGTAGGCGAGGAGCCAGGAAGCATCTAAGATGTGTGCAGCCTGTCTCTGTTGAAGTCACTTACGCAAAGCACTGATCGCATCTCACACGAGCAACGTGAGCAGTCGGTTGTTGGATTGGGGGAGTTTGGAAGGGGTTGTCGGAGGAATTTCTATCGGCTAGTTTTTGGGAGTGAGTGCCCAAAGAGGCGTGAGCCATGGTTGAGTTTCGCTCCATGCGGAGCTTTCGACCCGTCGATGGGATAGTTCTCGTGAAGGAGAGATCGTGAAGACGAATTTTATTTCTATCTACTCCGCTTCCTGTTCCCCTTTCCTACGCGATACCTGATTAGGAATTCATGAACGGATCGGATGAGAAGCTTCATTCCGAGTCTAACGATTGCATCCTGATTAGCGGATATCCTCCATTGCTGGCTGCTAGAACGCTTGCTAGGCTGATTTTCAAGTGAATTTGGGACAACAAAAATCTGCTGTTTCGAATCAATGTCACCTTTCTTGTCTTAAAGGTTGGGAGAAATCACAAAGAATACGGCACGGCTAGACAAAAAGGGCATTGATATTAACTGTCCCAAGTGGACATCACAGAGTTTCACTTCTCAATGTCCAGTCTCGTCATTGTATGCTAAAAGCCTACTCCTCTTTGAATATCTCGTCTTTCCTGCGACACTTAGAATACTTCCTAGTGAAAAACTTACATCCTAGCAAAGTTGGACATGATTGATCCCTCCCTTCAAAATGACTGCTCTCGTTCTTGTACAACAAGTGTCTCTCCCCTAGAACGGTCCCGAGCTTCCTAGGGCATTTAGACTTCGTCCAAGTCTCGGTACAACCGAAAGGTGAACTTGAACTGCGGTAATGAGAATTTAGTGCTCTTCTTCATATCGAATATAAGAGTGAATCCTACTCACATGAACGAAAAGTGGTATTAGACCTCTTTTTGCAATAGAACCTTCAGAATCACAGTTCATAAACAATTAAATCATTGGTAAAGTAAGATAGTAAGAACACCCAGGCTGTTTTGTGTCTTTTAGTCAATATTTTAGTTTGTACAGATAGGAAGAAGATGTTTTCCAGGCATGGTAGTTGAGCAGTGTTAATAGGGGAGCTCTAGCGCCATTTTAGCGAGACACCCTTGCAAAACCATTGTTGTGAACCATTTCAAACATACACCAAAGAGAGGTGGGGATTTGATAAGTTCAACCAGGTGGCTGTTGGTATTCTGATGTTTCCACTCGAACCTGACGATGATCTATCATGGACTTCCACCAAGGCTGCTTTCGTATCGAGGTTTGAAAGGATATCCTGATGTGGAAATAGCGTGTATTTCGAGGCCACCCTTTTACTGGTCAGGAGCTCGGAATAGCCGATAAGACTTATTCTGCATCCGGATATTTCTCGCACCTGGATGGCTGGACGAGGGTAACGGATGAGAGCGAGGTGAAGAAGACCAAAGCTCAAACTTTAAACCTCAATTGGTGAAGATAGAAGGAGCAATTGGAGAAGCAACACTAATATTGCACCAGCTAGCATAGCCATTTATGCCCTCTTCCCATAACGCCAAAAAATGCTCGAGGCCCTAACTCCATCCAAGTCATATCTTTTTGACCCAGGCATAACTAACCATTATTGTTTCTCCGTAGCAGCAGCATCTCCCATGACCATCTTCCGTAGCTCAAATTCCTTTGTGAATTCTCTACTCAAGATCTCGAGATCTTGAACGAGATTCTTGCATGTGTTGACCAGCGCTTCCTTTGGAGTGAGGCTTCCATCGGTCTGTACTCGGAGCTCGAATGTTGCAAATAAGGGATGAGGAACTATAGCACATGTCAACGATTGGCGTAGCCGTATCAGGATTGGAGGCTAACTCTTGTATCCAGCAAAGGTAACGTGGGGGTCCTTCAAGAGATGTGCTCGTAGGATGTTGGCAAGGGTGTGATCTTCCTTGTTGAATGTGAACACCGAACTATTCGCAGTGCCTGCGCCAGTCAGCTACATAGCTCTGTATTATTCTCACAGATGTGCTCCCTCGAAGAGTATCCGCCGGGGCAATATACGCGTATCTGGGATCTCCGAACACTTCTTCTCGCCATCGCCCAACAGGAACAACTCGAATCTAAGAAGCAGGTTAGCCTGATTCTTCTACTACCCACATCCTGTTAAACCGAGCCGGAGTTTTGTCGTAGATCCTGCGACTGTCCGCCGCTAGCAACTAACCATGTCGCACGGCCAAGAATGGAGAAGGTAACGTACCTATCGGGGGCGTTCATCCTTGCGACTCCAGATTTCGAGTTTCCTACTTAATAAATCTGGTGAACAAGCTGGAAGGATACAGAGCCAAGCCTTCAACGCACCAGGTCTCCCGAGAACAATTCGATGTCCTTTGAGTTGATGATGCTTGCCCTGTGTCAAGATGCTCTTGCGCGGCCCGAAATTGGACGTGGATTTCGCGAGGTTGCTGGGATGAGGCTCTGCGGGAGGTCTAGGCCTAAAACAGAATGGTGCGGCAGAGGTTGAGGGGTGGAAGTTGACATCGTCCTCGATATAGATCCTACGAAAACTGGACAAGCAGAGGGAATATCTTCCATATCGGCCAGAGAGAAAAAATACGCTCCAGTGAAGATCCTCTAAATTTACATTCGCGTTTTATCAATAGTCACTCTTATTTCCGCACTTCTTTGAATCTTTCTTCCCAAGTTTTCTTGAGACTCTGACTCTCTGAAGATCGAAATTCGAAATTACATCTGAATCCGTCAAACTTGTTTGATATATATATCATACCGACTCCGTTCTCTGCCAGATGGTCTTCTCTCATACTCAGGCTCTCACCTCCTACTATTTATGGACTTCTACTCCCCTCATATCTTCCGCTCCAATAAGCTTGATCGCTTCTCCCCTCGCAGTCGCAGTCTAGAAAGCAGGCGGACTCGGTTTCTTAGGGCTAGGGACCGACATTTCCACGTTCCCATCTCTCCTCAATGAAGCTGCGACGGCTCTCCATTCTTCTCCTATCGCAAAAACACCGCCGCATATCCTTCCCATCGGCGTTGGCTTCATATGCTGGGGAGCCGACCTCTCTACGGCCCTCTTTGTCATTCGATCAGAACCACTCAAGCCAACAGCAGCATGGCTCTTTGCACCTCAAGAACCGAAAGGCCTCATCACATGAATAGAAGGATTTAGAAAAGCAAGCAACGGGAAAACAAAAATATGAATTCAAGTTGGTACTGTCACAATGACGCTTGATGCCGCCAAGAGCTGTAGACCTGATGTTCTCGTTATTTAGGTAAGCTTAGTTTCATGTGGAATTGCTGTTTTGTTGTTTGAGAGCTCAGAGCTTCGGGGTTTCACCGAGCTTGCATGGGTATTTGTCTCTAAAACTCCGCTCCCCAGCTCCTCAGTTCCCTCCTGCATTTCAGGAAATTATCGCACTAATTGGGTGATTAGGGTGCCGATGCGGGTGGTCATGGACTTGCTCAGTCGAGCTCCATCATTACCTTGCTGCCGGAATGTGCTGATGCCTTGGCGAAAGATGGATACGGGGATATTACCCTCATTGCTACTGGTGGAATTGTAGATGGGAGAGGTGTTGCTGCTGCGTCGACATTAGGTGCAAGCGGTGTTTGCATGGGAACTCGGTTCTTTGCCTCGCCCGAGGCGGCAATCGGCGAGGGATATAGGAATGCGATTGTCGATGCCAAAGATGGTGGTGTGGCCACTGCTCGGACGACTGTGTATGATCGGTTACGAGGGACAGTGGGATGGCCGGAGACGTATAATGGCAGGGGCGTACTGAATCAGAGTTTTCGAGATCATGCGCATGGGATGAGCGAAGATGAAAGCAAGAAGCTGTACGAGGGCGCGATGAAACTGGGGGATCGGGAATGGGGTGATAATGGGAGAATGACTACTTATGCGGGAACTGGAGTGGGCCTGATTCATAGGGTTCTGCCGGCTGGTGATATTGTGAGGGAGGTTTTGAAAGATTCGAGAGATAGTTTAGTTAGGGCGGGGAGCAACCTGTAATAACAATGCCAAGTCAAACCATTTTGTGGTCTCAGGTAATCAACGGGTGTATATTGCAGCTTCACCAAGGGTATATATTTCCCAAAACTGAATCCCACGCTATGCAAAAGCACCCACCATCCACGCTTTCTGTCTATATACTCCCTCGCTCACATCTTTTCGACTACAAGCTCATAGTAACCGTCATACTATTGCTATGTACCATCAACACCGGCGGACACCCTCTGCACAGCACCTCCAAATCCCCCAAATAAGCCGCGCTACTCTCCACACTCCTACTGGTCCCTTCAACCGGACTCGGCAACGTCGTGAACATAACCGCAGTGTGTTTACTCTTACTCCGCATCAACTGGTTCAGAATCAGATGCTGAGCTCGACACGGTAAATCATTGAAGCTGATTGGAAGGGCTTGAGTAGAGTACATAGATCCACGTCGTGATTGAGTAGGAGAAGGAGCATTCTCGGAGACCTCGGAGATATGGTCCCGTAGTGAGGCGTTTGGCCGATAAGCAGAAGGCAGACGGGATGCTCGCCGTGTCGGGGGAGAAGGAGTGTCGGTGAACATGATACTGGGTCCAGGCCCATCTTCAGTTGCAACTCGGGTGATAGGTACAGGTTTACTTGAGAACTTGGGCTGAGATGCGTGGCGAGAGAGGGTCGGGCGTTCAGAGCGAACAGAGGCTGGACGAGTACTCGATGCATCTGTTCTTGTTGGGGTCTTGTCCGGTTCTTTGAGAGAGGCAGGTTTACTGCTTGAACCTTCGGAGTTGGCTTTGAGTGATGTGGAGAGATTGGAGATTGACGGTGGCTTTCTGCTCGGACTCTCGGATCTTTTGAACGTGAGATCTGGCGCCGAAGCTGCGGGTGGCACGGTCGTTGCAACAGTGGCGGTTGGTTCCGAATGTAGTGATCCTGCCGACGGCCGTTGTGGGACTTTGATCTCCGCTTCACCAGTTGATTTCTTCGATGGAGGTGGGCCTCGCATAGAATCACCGTGGCTCCTTCGTCTTCGTATCAACTGAGCGCTTGGCACAGAAGATCCATCATCAGATACGAAATCGTCGATATCCCCCTCACTCGCCGCACTGAGAGTTGAAGAGTCCTCTGAATCGCTTTCAGAGTCACTCTCTGAATCCTCGCTTGCACTCATTGTTGTTGCGTGCTGCGACATAACATTGTCCGACAACCGGTGAGTCCGCATTCCAAGACTCACGCCCAATTTCGTTATCCCACTCATCGTGTGCTTTCTCTTTCCTTTCTTCAGTAGTCTGCGGAGGCCAAGAAATCGTTCAATTTTTTCTCCACGAGGTCCCTGCTGGAATGACGAGTCGGGCCAGTTTGTTCCATCAGTGAAGATATTCGCAATCTCTGAGAGGTCTTCCGTGGCAGAGGTCACCCCACGGTTTCCTCGTATCTTTTGAAGCTCTTCCCACCACTCCTGACCTTTTAAGCATTCCCGGACCTCTTCTTCCGCCTCCTTCCCCGGACTTGCTCCATTCACGATGATTTCGTATGCTGGTAGATTTCCAGAAGCTAACCAGAAGACGAGAACTTCGGCCTCTATCCTTAAATTCTCAAGCAAGGTCTTGACTCGCCCTCGTTCCTCTTCTACGTCGGATTCATACTCGACGAAGACTGCGACTCGAAGTTTGTAAGCTTTTTTCCATGCTGGAACAGTATTTAAAATTACGCCCAGCTGTAAGATTAATGTATCTAGATAGGGTTAGTTCTGTCCGTTATCATTATTCGCTCACGGCTTACAAGTATCAAAATTTGTCGTCAAAACATTCTGTTTGTTATCGCCTTCTGCCGCGATCTCTGCCGACATCTGGATTGGCCAAAGGTCGATATATCTTTTGCTGTGATCTCCATTCTCAGAAGGGAGTTCAAGATCTTGGAATCCTTTTGCGACGGCAACGTTGATTTGAAGTCGCAAGAGAAGGTCCTCGAGAATCGTCACATAACTTGTAACACTCATCATCGCTTCTGTCTTGCAAGAATCTGTTGGAAGGCTAAAGTCCTTTTTGCTATCTTGGCGAGGTAAAGGTGGTTCGGTAGTCTCTGGTCTGATTTCTAGGGATCGAATTTCGGGGACATCGATCAAGGGTTGATTCCGTCGTAAGTCATCTAGATTGTAAAACCCCAAGACCGCAATGTTTGGTCTCATGCCTCCTAATCCTGCGCTAAGGACGATGTTTCTGGCCCCCCATTCGACACCGGGAGAAATAGCAATGTTGACAAAAGCTTTGATTTTCGAAAAGTCAATGTACTTAGTCCAGGCTGCCTGCTGTCGGCGAGCTTCTGGAACCGAGCCGCCGAAGTTGTCCGTCACAATTACATGACCTAAGATATATAGTGCTCCTTTCTTCATTGAATTGCAGAATTGGATAAGTTTATACTGCCGCCGAGGGTCGTTGACAAACAGCAGAATCTGCGGACGCCAGAATTTGACATGTTCTTGCCTCAGCCGAAGGAGGTACTTGCGGACCTGGTGGTAAATAAGAGACTGTGAGACATCGCCCCAGCTCTTTGGCGGACTTGTATAATGAATCACGAGGAATATTGCAATGAGGATGCCGACACAGCCAGTAGCGTAGAGTCCATCGACAAAGAACATAGCTACTGCAGAGACAATCGTGCCAGTTAGGGCAGTCTGCCAGTTGAAGAAATGGAAGGATGGTCTGAAGTTCGGAGCAGAGCCAATTTTCAGAAGAAAACAAGCCAAGTTCATAACCAAAAATGTCATCTGCATAAATTAGCTCCTCTGAACCTCATTCGCTGAGAATGGGCGCAAGTGCTCACCAAATAAGTCATTGTTGTAAACGAGGCAATTTGATTCAAGTCGCATAGCATCGTAACCTGAGCCACGATGTATGTCATGAGAATCGCATACGTGGGCTCGTCTCCTTTCTTCGTTCCCTGGCCAAATATCATGAATCCAGGGAGAAGATTATCCCTTGAAAGCGCTTGTAATAACTTGGCTGATCCAATGACGCCCATCAACGTGGAAAAGAACGAGCTTGCAAACTCGCCAGCCAGAATCACAACTCCAGAAATATTGGTATCCTGGATAACGTTGGCGTTCCTAACAAAAGACGATCTAGTGATCGTGGCTGCCATGGCTAAAATAACGAGTGTATATAAGACGAAAGTTGTTCCAAGCCCGTAAAGTGTACCCCTCGGGATCGATTTGCTAGGGTTCTTAAGATCCCCACTCATGCTGGCCCCAGCAAAGATGCCACCAGTCGCTGGAAAAAGGATGCCGAAAAGATCCTGGAACGTCTCTTTCCCACGTATTTGACTGCCCGCAGCGCCTCTCGTAAGCTGAGGCTTTAGGTTTCCAAGGAAGGTAGTCCAGCTGATCCCAGTATAATTAATGCCCAATTGTCTATTTTCGAATGGCGAGACGATAAGCGCAGAGAAGGGGATACTGAGAGTAGCTATAAGAAGAATCACCAAAAGCCCGTTACTAGCACGGGCAAAGATAGATGACCCGGCAAGGCAGATTGCAGTGCATATTACAAGCACAATCGTAGACCAGAGGTAGAGATACCACTGGCTGTCGGGCAGCCAATTTGCCCAGTTTCCAGCTGTGGCACCAAAATTGATCTTCATACAGTCAATCAAACCAACAGCATTCAGCCCGGTATTGAAAACAAAGCCCAAATAGAACACGACTCCTATTGACCCTCCAAACTCTGGACCAAGAGATCTGGATATAAGATAATAAGCTCCGCCGCCTCGAACAGTGCCATTGGAGGCGATCGCAGAGAGTGAGAAGGTGGTTATAAGGTTGATGGCATAGGAAGCAATAAGCATTCCCATTATTCCAAGAAACCCTCCTTGGCCAAGTATAAAGCCGAATCTCAAGAACATAAGAATGCTCAAAACATTCAAGCACGTCGGCACATATACGCCAGAGAACATCCCCAGCTTCTCATCGCCGCCAATGGGCCGAGGACCTAATCCAGGTTTTGGAGTTGAGGAGTCTCCATTTGCTTTCTTGACCTCTGTGGCATTGTGCATCTGAACCGTCAACGAGTCGGCCCCAATCAGTCTAGTTTGTGCTCTCCGCCGCCCACTGACCGACCTCCTTCGCATATTCGAGGATCCTCCATTGGGAGAAGGAGAAGGCAGATGTAGAAGCCGACGAGTTCGAGAGTGGTCATGTGGAGGAGGAGTCGAGGAAGTCGTAGCAGGTTCGTACGGATTGGGCGCTGTACTCAATTCCAACGGCCGTGCTCTTTCGCTCGGAGAAGGAGAATCTTCAGGGACCATCGAATACCGCCTGTTCAATTCCCCAGCTTCGTCTCTCGCGCTGCGAGCTTGAAAATTCGAGTGCTGACGCTCGGAACCCTTGCGACCTGAGTCGGTCATGTTGTGTCGCAATCAGCACTGGAGGTCCATCATGGAAGTTATCAACAATCCCAAGAAATATTATTAAGTTGTCTGTCCAACAGTCTTGGTCTCAGTCTTGGTGTTGTCTCCTCATTGTTTGAAGGACAAGTCCCTGCAATTGGACCCTGCTCCGGACGTCATTCGGCAAATCTTTCCTATTCCTCTTCCTCTTGTGCTTCTGCAATGTGAAGTTTCTTCAAGTCACGACTGACCACCGAAAAGCTGCTGCTATTGCACGATAAGTGCAACGAGAAGGCGAGGATGCAAGATGTGCTCCTTCGCAAGGAGCAGAGTAGGAGCTCTGCGCAGGGGCTGCCATGTGCAAGCTCGGATTCTGATTGGCTGTGCCCCCTTTTGGCTTGTTGTTTCGAGTTTGTTCTCAGTGTTACACGAAGCCTTATCTACTGTATTTCTCTTCTCTTGTCATGTCATGTCTTAGCCAACCTGCAAGTGCCCCTCGGGCCCAGACAGGGTTTTCCAGACAAGGCATGCGGTGCAACTGCTCTTTTTGCGCAGTGCACTTGCGAATTGTAGACGTACAGTCAGCTAATTCCTCATTGGATGTTGGTCACGGAAAATACGGAGTACGGTTGCACTTCGTTCGAAGCTTGGCATTTTGCACAATAAATCCCGCCTTCTTACTTAGACTCAAGCGGCCTGGAAAAGTAATTAAGTAGGTACTTTGTGAAAAGTAAATGAGCCTCATCATGAAAGAATCTTCCGATGGAGCCTCGCGCCGGCCAGTGTCCGACGATTTTGAGGAGGGTGCACCAAAGGCTCCTCGGGAACGAGGCTTCCGATTTCTTAACTTTTCAAATTTCAACGACACCAAGGCGAAAGAGACGAAAAACAGGGTCCGAAGCCATGTCATGCATGGGGTACATCAGAAAAAGAAGAGTGGAGAGCAGCGTATACCGAAAGGCTCAATTGAGCTAGACACTTATTCTCTAGTTCGTTCGAAGCCTCAAGCCACTCAGCCACACGCAAACACTGCTATACCGAATGCAGCATTAATAGGTCCCGATAGATTGGGAGCAGGAAGAAATGATCCTTTCCAGAACTACCCAATTCGGATGAATCAACGGACCCTAGAGATCTATGATCACTGTAAGTCTTTTCTCCGCGTTTCAGTCTACTCCATCCGTTGACCCCGACACAGTAACGAAAGGTCCCTTTTGCCCGATGTTTAAGACAATGAGCAGAATCGGATTCTACAGGAGCATCACGGATCCTGCGGGTTTTCTCCAAATCCTTAGCACTTCAGTCTCTCACATGACCATGCTACGGCACCAGCCTGTGGCAGAGAGCCCGGAAGCAATCGCGCTGTCAACCCAGGCGATCGAGTCTGTCAACAAGCGGCTTGGCGATCCCGTCCTCAACATGAGCGATGGAATCGTGGCGGCCATCTTGACGTTCTGTTGTCACACTGTAAGTGGCCCGCAGCATCGATAGCGAATCAAGAATAGACAATGTTTCTAACAACTGCACAGACCATGTTCAACGATGTCCCTGGCTCAAAGATCCACGTGAACGGGCTAGAAGAGATCATTCGGCGCAGAGGAGGCGTAGGCACTTTGGATTCAAACCCCGCGATGAGGATGGTCTTATTTTGGTACGTAAAATAAACTTTGTCAAAAAAAGGCTTCCCCAAGATTGACATCTGACTGCAGGGTCGACACAAATTATGCTTTCATGGCAAACACAGTGCCTCGATTTCCGTATCCAGAAGACCTATACCCCGTGATTCCTGAACGGCCCGGCAACGATCCTTTGCTGCTCACAGAAGCGTGCAAACAAGAAGATCTTCTTTCTGCCATTTATGACTTATATAGCTTGAATCAGCTGATAACCAACGAACCCAAAGTTAGAGATATCTGGGCCGATGGTGTCTTTGCATGGAAATATATTGTTCCTGTGCTCCACAAGCTGCTGTTGATAAAGTATGAGCAGCTAGGTCCTGGGTCAGCAGCTCTCCGAACAGGTGCAATGCTTTATATTGCGGCAATACGGCGGCGATTCGGAGTCCGAATCTTAACGGACATTCAAATTCAAAAACTGAGAACCTCCATGATGGCGCTGCTCCAGGATGCTGATCTCGCCGGATACGACGCTACTGCTGCTGTTCTGCTTTGGCTATTTGTGCTTGGCAGTACGCTGTCAGACCTGAGGGACGACCGCGATTGGTTCGTCTCGCAGACAGCGCAGCATATCTCCATCATGGGTTATGGCTCGTGGGATGAGGCGATCAGCGGCTCCGTCAAGAAAGTCTTGTGGATTGACGATATTCTTGTCGATGAACTCGAGTCACTTCACCAAGACGTGTCTATGACAATGTTGGTTTCTTATGGACACCGATTTCCTTAACGACTACACTTGGTCTCTGTGACGGACTTGGAATGTAAAATATTGCAAGTTTAAATATCAGCTAAAAATTCGGTAAAAGGCTATATCAGCAATCTCCCCAAAAATCACTTCGAAACCTTCACTACGATCTTTCCATTACCACTGCCATGTTCCAAAGCCTCGTGAGCTTTGGAGATGTCCTCGAATCGAAACACTTGCGAAGGTTTCGCCTTGTAACGACCCTTGGCAACATCCTCCACAATTTTCTGCATTGGCACATCTGACACTTCTATTCCTGGCATTCCAAAGTGTGGGCTGCCAAAGAAGCTCAAATGAACACCAGTCGGCATTTGCAACAGAGGGTTGAATTCCTTTATAGGTGCAAGTCCTCCGAGCCAGCCGGCTATGCACACTCGCCCACCTCGATGAGGGATTTCCAACGAATCCATCACAACACTATTTCCGACCAGATCAAGCACCGTATCGAAGCCTTTGTACGGAAGCCTCTCCGACAGTTCAGGACCTTCCAGCACAACCTCGTGAACACCAAGGTCTTTCAATATTGCAGCTCTGTCCAAGTTCCTGGTCGTCGCAGTGACCCTCGCACCAGCATTGACCGCGAGATTGACTGCTGCATGCCCAAGGGAGGATGTCCCTCCTCTAATCAGAAGTTTCTGGCCTTCCTTCAGCTCCAAATTTCGGAATAAAGCCGACCAAGCCGTTGCATACGACTCCGGAATCGCAGCAAGTTCTTCCCAGCTCAAGTCAGACTCGATAGAAACAACATTGCCAACTCGCACTCGCGTATATTCCGCATAGCTTCCAGGGATAGTTCGCCCCATGCCACCCATGATTGCAGCTACTTTCATGCCAACGGCAAACTCGTTCCCGGCACAGGAATGAACGATACCGACACACTCAATGCCGCTGATTTCGTGGATCTCGGGCCATTCTCCTTTTCGCATGTGTACTTCTGCATGATTGAGGCCGAAGGCCTTGACTTGGATTACAGCATGTCCGGGCAGCGCTTCGGGAATAGGGATGTCTTTGAAGACGTAGGTTGAGGGTTTTCCGGGAGTTGAAAGGAAGATGGCTCTCATTTTGGACGTGCTTAGTGTTCGGAAATGCCGCTGAAGATTTTCTGCTTTTTTTGAGACGCTGAAAGATGGTGTGGGAGTGAAGAATGGATTGTTTGAAGCAATTTGATCAGAACTTACAGAGACATTTATACTTGATCCTGCACTTCCCTCGATTCAGCCAGATACTCGGCTTACAAGAAACAACGCAGCATCTCATGTCCTTACATTTGCCATTCCGAGAAATGATTTTCAGGGTACAGATTACCAAAACGCAATGCACCAAGGCTGCCCGAAATTCTGGGGTCCGCCATTTCATTCTCTATTATTAGAGATCTGAAGTTGAACGGCGTCCAGGGAAGCCGTCGATATGCGGGGATTAGCATGTGTAGCTAGCGTGTAGTGATCAGAGAAGTCAGGGGTTCTCATGCACCAGCCAGGGTCTACAATTTCCCGAAAAGGTCAAGCGTCTGAGGACTTCCAACGTCAATCAAAGGGCTCAACAAGCAAGGTGAGAAAAGCACGTAGGGCTGTGGGAGCTCTTCAAGTTATGCATGTGCCGTTTGTCGACTGCTTGCACGTTTCCTTGGCTTTTGCTTTCGATATGGACGTCAGAGTTAGCTCACTGAGCCGCTTGGGCCTGCTTTCGACGGTTCGACCTCACTTGCATGCAATCCCTAGATCCTGGGCTGTAGTGAACTAAATCGAACTGGTTAGGCTCATGCTGCGAAGTCACTACTCGACATCGACCACGCTAAGCAGACACCAGGCAAGCAAAAGGCGTGTCTCACTAGTCGGTGCTTAGGGAACATGGATATGACTATGCGACGCGAACCAAGGTCTATTTCAACCAGAGGTATCTACCTTAATACCTCTTGAGCTTCTCCTTGATCTGCTCGAATTGCTAAACTACTGTTGAGCTTCAAGGGGGGCCTTCTTATGTAAATGATCCATTCATCCTTCACACTTCCCTTTATCAATTCTCCATCCACTCTCATCTCAACAGTCAACTTTAACAATCACAATGTCCTCCACCAAAATCCCAACCATCAGTGCCGACGGCGTAGAAGTCTTCTACCGCCATGCCGGCCCCCGAAGCTCACCTGTCCTCCTCCTCCGCGGCTTCCACTCGTCCTCCCACATGTTCCGCAACCTGATCCACCTTCTCGCCACAGAATACCACGTGATCTCACCCGACCTCCCTGGCTTCGGCTTCACCGTCGTCCCTCCTCCCGTAACTACAAATACACACTCGCCTTCACCACCACAACCATAATCTCTTTCCTCGACGCGCTCTTCATCGAAAAGTTCGCCGTCTACATCTTGGACTACGACTCACCGATCGCTTTCCGCCCTACTCTCGAACGACCAGATGCAATCACGGCTGTCATCACGCGGAATGGGAATGCCTATGTTGAAGGAATGGGAAAGGACTTCCGGGCTCCAATTTAAGCCTACTAGGCTTCCGACGCCAGCTCAGATCGAGAAGCAATCCGCACCGCAGCACTAAATTTAGACACTACGAATGGCAGTACACGTTCGGCGCTCCGCATCCTGACTCCATCCCGCCTGAATCTTACCACTTGGATGCAGCGTTACTGGAGAGCCGGGGAGTCAAGATGTGCAGTTGGATATTCTCTATGATTACCGCAGGAACGTGGAATTGTATCCGCGCTTTCAAGCGTGGCTGTGAGAGAGTGAGGTGAAGGTTTTGGCGGTTTGGGGAAAGAATGATCAGATTTTTGTTAAGGAGGGGGCGGAGGCGTTCAGAAGGGATGTGTCAGAGGAGAGGTTGAGGGGTGGAGTGGTTGGATGCGGGGCATTTTGCGTTGGAGACGAACGAATCTGAAAGTTGCAGGTTTGATTGGGGAGTTTTTGGGGAAGTTTGGAATTTGAGATAGCTCTTGGGTTAATTAATTAAAAAGGGAATGGGAGGATATATTTGGGACCATATTTCTTGTCATATTAATTTTTGGATGAGTTTGTGTCTACGATCCTGAAGTTGTCGGGGTGAACTTCACTAGGCGCCATATGTCCCTCTCATTTCCCATTGCGGATTGATTCAATGTCAAAACTACTTTGGCATATTAGTCTTTGCCTGAACTTCTATTAGGTGAATATTCAAGCAATCTTCAGTTCTGAGAGTGACTGTGAGTTGACACATTTCGTTACACTTCTAAGACCGCTCTTTTCCTTAGAATCCGTAAAGCCATGCTAACGTCTCTTTCACTTCTCATCTGAACTTTGGACTTGTGTTATTGCAGATCTTGCAATTCTATAGGACTTTATAGAGTCGCACTCGTGGCTATTCGTTTTTATCCAAAGTCGAAACGACAACATGAAACCTAAAAATCTCTTGTCCAAACATATAAGCCCAAGACAGGAAGATAAAGAAATGGAGAGATATGCAACAAAACGCGTCATGGGAATTCACTCTCAGACTGCAAATCTAGGCAAGTCACAGAGGCTTTATGAAGTCTAAGGATATTCGGTGCTGCAACTCTTTACTGTAAGTAACAAGTTTGCCTGTACCTAAACGATTACTTGACTTCAATATACATTACAAGACTCTCTATCTTTCTTAACCCTAGTTCAAAGATCATTTCTGGAATTAAGATCCCGGAACTGAGAACCTGGAACTAGGAAACTAGACCCGATCTCCTTTCTTATTTAAGGGTTTGGGCGCTCTGGGGATTGGAATAGAAAGTACTACTAGACTATAGACAATATAAATACAAGGGAAAAGGGTCTATTCAAAACACACAAAACAAAGAAAATACAAAATCGGACTCTCCAGAGAGGTCCAAAATATAAGACAAAGTAACGTGACACGTCTATTTCATTTTCACATGTGGTCGTGTAACCTGAAATAAGGCAGATGACCTCCCCGAGTCAATCTGTTTTTTCCTGTGCCCTCCCCGCCTTCGTGAACTTTTAAGTGCTCAAGCCTCCAGAACAGACAGTGCATTCCCAAGGCGCCAATTGAATTATGGAGAGTTGTAACCAAATTCGCCTTCTAATCCCGATGCCCTCACTATCACCACCATGAGAAAGCACGCAGAACACAAACGGATGTCGCACGAGACCACAGCCGGGCGGCGCCAAGTACGGGGAGCCAAATGAAGTGTCGATCCGTCACGCCAAGAAAAGAATCGGCTTGGGTGGCGTTCAATGAAAATGTTTTCATTGGCTGAAAATCCAGGCCCCTGACTACTACGTCACGTGTGGTGGGTACCAGGATGGAAGGGAAGGAAACGGGACTTAGTTTATTGCAGTGCCGAGCTTGGGAACACAGCAGCTGACCGAGACCGAGAGTATTGAGGCACAAGAGGCACGCTTCTCTTCTCTTCTTCCTTCAATCCACCCAATCTTCACCGAGAACCGTGAGTCTTCTCAATGCCCTGCTTGAGCTCGCAGGCAACATTTCCAAACTGAGGCTGACTTGACCTGCCGCAGCAACTGAACTTCCTTTTTCGGCAGCGGATAATCATGAGATAAGGCAACAACCTCACGACAGCTATATTGCTCGAGCACCGGCCTCTCACCATGTCGACTCCAGGGAAGGGGGAGTCCTCTTCAAGGCCTCTGCCAGTGCCAATGTCTTCCTCACCCGGATCGTTTCGCGGGCGCACAGCTGGCAGTCCTGTACCCAGAGCAGCTTCAATTGCCCGATTAGCTTCTCCAGTCCCCTCGCACAACACAGTTGGCACGCCCCCAGTACGCCAAATACCGACTCCGAATCAAGTGGGAATGAGTGCACATCCAACAGGAAGTCTGACTCCTCTTGCTGGTCCCCCACCCCACTCTTCGATACCCGGGCCAGGAGTCTCTGCACTCGCCGCCGCGTTGTCAAATTCTTTCGGACAACCACCCCCAGCATTTGGCACCCCTCCTCTTCGCCCATTGTCTCCGAGCACCGCAGGTCACCATATACAAACTTCGGGCCCTCAGAGCAACTATGGCTCGTTTGATGCGAGATCTCGGTCAGTTCAAGGTGCTCCGGGTTGGGCGGGTCCAAGTACATTTGAAGACCCAGAGATTGTGAAGCGACATCTGGTGCAACCTTCCGAGACTTCGCAGGTAACTGATGGGGCACTCGATGGTGGTATTTTTGGGCAATCTATGTCATTCCGAGCAGGATCTCTTGTAGGCAAGGCAAAGCAAGCTATCGAGGATGTCGCTCCGGGGCTAGATGATGACGAATTTTCGAGCTTACGACTGCAGGGAGGAGACATAACGAGGCCTATATATAGGTGGACGGAGGAAGCACAACGCTCTCAGGGCCGGGGTCGAGGAAGGAGCCAGAGTTTTCATATTTCTCGACCGCAGCCGGAGAATGAAGTCCTCGATATTGGGTCGATAAAGGTGCCTGGTGGATTCCGACGAAACTTCCTTCGACGGGCTGCAGCGAGTCCGTCTCCAGGAGCTAGAGATACGGAGTTTGGTGCGGAATACAGACAGCCGAAGATGCTTACAAACAACTTTATCGAATTCTTAACGATCTATGGACATTTTGCTGGTGAAGAGCTAGAAGAAGATGACGAGGTGCTGGAGCCTGACGAGTACTTTTCTGAATTTGCAGCTGAGGATGAGGGAAGTGAAGGCGAGAGAGAACCCATGGAGGACAGCGCGTTGCTCACACCTGGCCGGCGGAAACGAAAGCGCAAGGATCGCCATGTTAAGGGCAACAATGGCTCTATAGGAGCTGCCCTTTTGCTGTTGAAGTCTTTTGTCGGTACCGGAGTTTTATTTTTGCCCAAGGCGTACCTCAATGGAGGTATGATGTTCAGCAATCTCGTCTTGCTGTTCGTTGCGGCCTTGAGTTATTATTGTTTCGTATTGCTTGTCAATACCAGACTAAGGGTCGATGGGTCCTTCGGTGATATTGGTGGGATTTTGTACGGGAACTGGATGAGGACAACTATTTTGTTCTCGATCGTCATCAGTCAGATTGGTTTTGTGGCGGCCTACATCGTCTTTACATCCGAGAACTTGCAAGCTTTCATCCTAGCCGTGTCTCACTGCAGCACTAAGATCGAAGTCCCGTATTTGATTTTGATGCAGATGGTAATATTCTTACCGTTCTCGTTGATGCGAGATATCAGCAAACTCGGGTTTACAGCTCTTATTGCTGACGCTTTTATCCTTATCGGATTGGCCTACCTTTACTACTACGACATTCTCACGCTTGTACGGCAGCATGGGGTCGCAGACATCATCAATTTTAATCAGAAAGATTGGACGCTGTTTATTGGGACAGCCATTTTTACATTCGAAGGCATCGGCTTGATTATCCCCATCCAAGAATCTATGAAGAACCCAAAGAAGTTCCCTCGAGTCATGGGCGGAGTTATGATTATCATCACCGTTGTGTTCATCTCCATGGGAGCGTTGTCATATGCAGCTTACGGTTCCAAGACCGAGACAGTTGTCATTCTCAACCTCCCCCAAGACGACAAGCTTGTCAACGGCGTACAATTCCTTTACTCGCTTGCCATCCTCCTCTCAACACCGCTGCAGATCTTCCCAGCGATCAGAATCACGGAGAACGAGCTTTTCACTCGAAGCGGGAAATACAACCCCTATATCAAGTGGCAAAAGAACGTCTTCCGCTTTTTCGTCGTCATGCTTTGCGCTTCGATCGCCTGGTTTGGAGCAAATGATCTAGACAAGTTCGTTGCATTGGTAGGCAGTTTTGCCTGCGTGCCCCTTGTGTATATCTATCCTGTACGTTCCTCTGAATTCCTAATTGAACAAAGCTAACAAGTCACAGCCGATGCTCCATTTCAAAGGTGTTGCAAAGACGCGAGTCCGTAAAACCGCTGATGTTCTCCTCTGTATCTTTGGCCTGACAGTCATGGTTTACACCACAGCCCTGACCGTTATGAGCTGGGCGAAGGGTGGGGGAGAACCGGGGTTGCCGAGTTATTGTGATAAGAAGAAACTGGGGCTTATCCCTTAGGTACCCCGTAGATGAGCAGAATGAAGGACAAGGATACCGTAGATTTGGGGGGTTTTTGTTTTTGTTTTTGTTCAATTTGCCGTTATGCATAGCGATGCGATGCTTTTGCGGGTCACCCCCCCAGGATTTTCTTGGCAAGGATGTAGTTTTTTAGAAGAAAGATTTGTTTTTCCTTCGATTGGAGTGCAAACAAATTGAGATGAGATGAGGAAGATGAGTTAGGATACGGTGGGCTTGGTCCTTGTGCCTTTATATCATTTTGGAGACTGTAGATCAATTATTCTCATGACCTGTTGTTTTTTGCTGTTTCCATTCCGATTGTTTATACCCAAGCCCATGTAAAATAATGTCCAAATGAAGCTGTTTCCCCTACACCCCTCATCTTCCCTTCCCTATCCTCACTCCTTCCTTCCACGCCTTCCCTCCAATACCCGCCCTGTCAGCAAAATTCCCAATCCTTCACATCTCATATCCCGCAAACAAACACCCCCCAAATACCCACCCCGGCAAAAAACAAAATCTGAGTCAGCGGATCGAACGTACTGGAGCCAGCTCCGCTGACTACGTTCGAAGGCGTGGATGAGGATTGGGATGAGGTGGTGGTTGGTTTTGATGGGGTGCTGGGTGGGGTGTCAGCTTGAGATTTATGGGCAGATGGATGGATGAGGCGAGGTGAGTGGTGGGAGGGAGGGAGGAAGGAAGGAAGGAAGGAAGGAGTGGTCTCAGACTCGCAGGTATGGGGAAGTGGGAGAAGTACTATGTAGCATTTTGGGTGACAGTTGCGACGGAGATGGCTGTTCCTGCTGCGAGGGCGGTTGTGGTGAAGAATGTGAGTGAGAGAGCGAGAGCAAGGAGGGTGGTGAGGTTTGTGAGGAGCCGGGATCGCGCCATTGTGGGGTTTGACGGGGAGTTGGTCAGGAAGTGGAAGATGCGAGGCCCCTTGAACAGAGACGTTCAGTGCAGTTTGATTGTGGGAAATTTTTTAAACCGAGTGCAGATCAAGACGAGAAAATGAGGGGTAACGAGCGTTTTAGCTTTCTCGAACCTTTCTTCAAGTAGAAGAAAAGAGGAAGCTGATGAAGATATGGGAGGTCACAGATATAGGAAATTAAGTTGGGTGGCTTGGTGGGACAGGAATGTAGAGAGGGTTGCACGATCATCAAACGATGCGGGTTCCCATGGATTTTGGTGGACGGTTATGTTTGTTGATTGTAGTTGGGCATTCCTAAGTGTGGCTGAGAGGTTGAAAATTGTGCATTCCGGATGGGGGCTGAAATGTATGAGGCTATTCTTAGGGGATAGAAAGTGGAAAAGGGGGAGGGCTCGCTGTCACGGGCATTTTGACAGGGATTCGCAGGCTTCTTCGTGCTATCGAAACAACCTTCATGCTGGTATCGCATATGTATCTCCACTTCCATCATTACCAACACTGAAGACTGCCTAGCCGGTCTCTTCATCGTCATGCCGTCTTATGTTTTACCCTCTGCCAAACGGTATGCGTTTCCAGCCCTCAAGTATTCGGACATCATGACTTATCTCCTTCGAAGTGCTAGCGACGGCCTCATCAATCCCTTCATCTAGCCAACAGCGGGATCTTTTCTCCCTGGCGCGCTCTGACAAGTGTTAGATTGTGCTGTCACAAGAGATTCAAGGGTGTCCTACAGGACCAATGCACTCTCGCGGCGCGTCTAAGGCTTGGTGAGGATCTATGCCGCATACTTCCATACTGAGCAGCAATTGCGCGTGGCCTTGAGGTTGCAGCCTATCACTTATGTTAGTATCTCTCCTTGGTGGCGCAGTTGAGATGTAAAGATTACATTCCGCCCATGAGCTCAAACACCGAGTGAAGTTGTCGCTTCACCTTCTCCGTGGGTAATCATCCCCGGGATAATAGTACGATATGGCCACTTCTCTCCCTCGTAAGTGTTGGGATGGTCTTCTTGCCCAAGATTGAATTCGAACCGCAGTTCTGTACCGTGAAGCCACACCCAGCGGGTATCATGCAGGATCCAAAGTCGGTAAAGTTGGAGTTGATGAAGCTCACTCCATTCGACTCCTTGTCTATCACGGCAAAGTAGACCGTATCACCGTGGGTTTGGGCTGGGCTGGGACTTGGCAGTCCTTTGGCGTGATCGGCTGCCCGAGACGGGTTGAAGAGCGCTACCCGTGAGGCCAGATACGGACGAGAGACGAGTTCAGAGGTTGATATGGGCTGTGGTTAGGGCCCATGACCTACCAATTCGCGTCTGCAAATGAAATTCGGAAAGCTTCGATGATGGCGTTTAAGTATTATACGCTATTCTTATCCTGCGGGCCAAAAGTCGGTATTTCATCCGTCAGTTCAAGTTCTTCGAGTACGCCCAAGGCTATCAAGGCCACAATATCTTGTCCATTCGGTGGATGCTCCCAGAACTCGACGAAATGGTCAACAGAATTACTGCTCGTTCTGAACTTCTGCTCCCGAAATTTCAGTGACATAGCGTCTGAAAACATGTGCGTCTACCTTCTTTCAGTGTTCCAGACTGGAGGTAACGCTCGAGCACTATTTGCCCATCGCCAGCATGGTGCCCGTTTAGCAGGCATCCTGTATATCGTTTGGGGGCATGTGCGATGGTCCTCTTGTAGACCTCCCAGGCGTCATGGTCGATAACGTAGCGGAAATAGAGATCGATCCAAGTGAAGATGTGATTTAGAATTTGGACCACGCCTGGTGTCACCCTGGACATCATGGACTATACTTATAATTTATTGCTATTTTATTGCCTATGCTTCAAAAACAATACGATTTCAAGCGAACATACAATGTGTTGCGTTACGTGCCGAGGATAACTTGTTACATTTCAAATATTTGCCACGCAATTGAAGGCCTAGAAAGCACCCTTCATGTCTGCTTCAGGCTTGGATGCAAGGCAGAATCGGAGCCAAGCTGCAAGTTCTCCCAGGATATTATAATCATTGGTACAATGAAGAGCTCAAAATATCACATCTTGGCTTTCCTCGCAACCAACCGTCTAACCAGCTCGGTTACTTTCCCAGCTGAGATTGAAGAGATCACTGCTCCTGCACTGCGAGCGATGAGCAATTGATACTGTTCGATGAAATCTGGAGATGACCAGCCTCGCTGACCCCGGACTTGACCAAGCTAGACCTCCGGGGTCGCCAGGCAAATTTCTCGCGAGAACGACCGCATCGACAAGCGACTTTGCGGCTCTCAAGCCAATGATGCCATAGCCCAAAACACACACAAGCGTCATTGTACTGAATCTGCTCTGGACTTGTCACTGAACAAGAGGAAGGGAAAGCGGAAGGTGGGATGAAATGAGCTCAAGGCCAATGTGACGGTATTTGCGCTATGTCAGAGACAGAGGATATGCGATATATATCCATGAAAGGCTGCGGTTTAAAAAATGTACCATATCTACCATATCATTCGGTTCCTCGGATGATATCACCTTACTCATGGTTTCGGCCCGGACTCGCCGCCGACGGGAATGGGGAAGGTGGGCCAGACCTTCTGAATGAGTGTTAACATTCTGGTCATTGTGAAGAGCACGCTTGAGATGTAATTCTCAAGAACAATGATTGCGGATTTGAGACGAAAGAGAGGGGTTTTGATGAAAAGAGTCAAAAAGGGGGTGGCTTTCCGGTCACGTGCAGCCAACAAGGGGTTGAGCGTGTAAATTGAACGCGAGAAAACGCGTCCGCCGCACTCCCCACAAACAGCATCAACACCAACTCCACCGCAGAACGTGAAGATGGCTATCCCACAACAGGAGGGCAGTCTGTTACGTGCGCCAACGTAAGCTTCTCACCGTATGCTCTTGTCCTAGAATTAACAACAATAGAGATCAAAAGTACGCCACCCTCGAACGCCAACCCTCGTCGTACAAGCCCCTCGAAACATTCGCGCTGGAGAAGGAAAAACACTACCAGCAGCAATATGGCGATATGTACTTCTTGCGGCTGACGAAGTTGAAGCCTGCCGTCGAGAAGATCGCAGAAGAGGCTTGGGATGGATTCCAAATTGCGGGCGAGACGGTGCGGAAGGTGGACAGAGTGCTGGATGTCAGACAGGGAGAATTATGTTGGGTTGCCGGGACGATTTATATGGAGATGCCGTTGAAACCCAATATTTTGGACGATATTTCTAAGGATCATTGGATCTCTGCTCCGCCGCCAAGACAGAAGTATCTGTCGCCTACTGGCGAGGATCTCACCATGCTTGAGGATGAATCCGGGAGATTGAGGTTGGTGGGCACACCGCTGGCAAACGAGATGCTTGTCACAGGATGCATCATTGCTGTGATGGGTACGGAGAATTCGAATGGCGATTTCGAGGTTGTCGATATTAAGGTCCCCGATTTGCCTCCGCAAACAGAACGATGGCACACTTCGAGTCCGCCCACCAATGGAACGCCTAGGAAGAAGATAAAGTTGGATGATGATGACGATGAAGACATGGATAAACCTGCTCCAGCTGGAAAGAAAATTGCAATTGTCTCAGGGCTTGGGTTCTCAGGCACTTATTCAGAGCATTCGCTAGAGATCAACCTTCTTATGGAGTACCTCCTGGGAGAAGCTCTGGATTCGGCTACTCAAGAGAGCGTGTCACAAATTAGTCGACTGATAATTGCTGGCAATTCCATTGCTCTGAACAACGAAGCGGTGTCTCACGACACCATTGGTAACACGCGGAAAGCCCACAAGAAATATGGTTATGACAGCAGCGCGTACAATCCGGCTCCAACAGCGCACCTGGACAATTTCCTTGCGGCACTACTTCCATCTATGCCAATAACTTTAATACCAGGCTATACAGACCCAGCAAATGTCAGTCTTCCGCAACAACCAATTCATTCAGCAATGTTTCCACAAGCGCGAACATTCGGCCCAATGCCGCCTACGGATGGTCAGCCCAAACAAACTGGCTGGTTTGACACCGTCACGAATCCTTTTGATGGTGAAATTGAAGGCTGGAAAGTGCTTGGGACGGGTGGGCAAAATGTCGACGACGTTTTCAAGTATGTGGAGAGTGAGGATAGGCTTGGAATGCTAGAGGCAATGTGTAGATGGAGGTGCTGTGCCCCCACGGCACCGGACACACTATGTACGTTCTGAAAACGGTCTTCTCTTAAAATACCTGCAGCCCGGCATGTCCACTTGTACAATCCTGCTAATAAATACTAGGGAGCTATCCCTTCCAGGATGATGATCCATTCGTCATCAATTCCTGCCCACACTTGTTTTTCGTCGGCTCGCAACCCAAATTTGATACCGCCTCAATCGAAGGTCCTGATGGGCAAGTGGTTCGATTAATCGCTGTTCCTCGTTTCTCAGAGACGGGTGAAATAGTCCTAGTAGATTCCGAGACATTAGAGGCATCTGTGGTGCGAATCTCCGTATCATGAGGCATAACAAATGAAACGCTTCCATTGGCGGACTCCGCCATGAAAGTGGTGTATTTACGCTTGCAACTTTTTGCCCAAAATATCGATAAGAGGACACTCCATTTGCAGCTTCTTCTTCGTTCTAAGTCTTCTTCCGTGATGTCTTTCGATTGTGTACTGATATAAGACATCAACTCAAGGTTAGTGCTTGAGGGAACGATTGATGGTATGAACAAATTTGCCTGGCCGGCTTGTTTTATAGTGTGCTGTTTAAATGTGCATGAGGAATGTCAAGCTACAGAGCTCTCACGTCAGGAAAGTCAGCAGCATGAGCAAAGCAGCCTAAATTCAAGTGAATTTCTCTGCCTCCGATCTGAAAAATTGGAAGGAGGAACGATTCAACTGTCGATGCATTGCGATTCACGCGATTGAGAACTGGTTGTGAGGAGTATAAGTCTCTGCAGATTCGAACTACTGGTCTGTCAAACAACTGATGTGCCCTCGTATTTTTTTTCTTCAGAAGGACCATATTATATATCTCTGACTCTCAATCCTTATGGTTCATATTTTCAAGGTCATTTGACCAAGTACTGTACCTTCGCTCGAAGCGTCCCGTCCCGTGTGTTGTCATGGTTCGGCCCCATATGCCATGCCAGTCCTGTCATGATTTGGATACAGTTTCCGTCCGAATTTCAATATCTTCCACGGTAACCAATTACAATCTGGACTGCCACCATGAAATTTTCCATTGCGAATACGACTGCTCCCAGAATACTTAATGGAGAGAAATAACTCCTACCTCTTCATTGCAAAACTCACTAGTCACATTTCTAAACTATCTCATTCTTCACAACACACCACCTCACCTTCGAGCGGTCAATCCCCGATCACACCTCGTACATTTGAATATCTTACATTCACTTCCTTGACCGCACCCACGTTCGGCAACTGCCTCGCACCAACCTCAATCATTATGCATAATTACAACGCAAAATACCGAGCGAGTTTGCTCGCAGGTTACCTCCAAGAGTACACGCGATGCAACATAGATGAGGATTTCAACGACCGTATTCGTGGAGGTGTTGAGCAGTTCGATCATTTCCAGGTCGTAAAAGAGCTTCGTCTCAACATACCAGATATAATTGACCAGCGTGTCATTCCACTTTTCGACAAACGTTATGAAGGTTCTATTTTATTAAAGCAACTCCGCCTGCTCTTAACAGAGGTCCTTGATCGGGCTCAGCGACCCGCCTTCACCACTCACATCGACGTTCCTTCCAACACACTCAAAGGCGAAAGATGCTGCATTTGTCTGGAAGACCTCGAAGACAACATTGCGGACAAAGACTGGAACGACCATCATTCTCAAGTCATCACGAGCTGTGGTCACATCTTCGGAGGAAATTGTCTATCGACATGGCTTTCTAATGCCAAGACCCGCTCTTGTCCTTATTGCCGTAAGGATTTCAATCAAATCACCAAAGTTTGCGATCTCATGTGGAAGACTTGGGGAGACATGTGGCGATGGTATGTGGAACGGAAGCATTCCTTGCATTGTAAAAAGGGGTGTGGCATCTCCTCAGGAAGATATCTCTGGGACAATTGTGGCCTTGGCGACGTTCAAGCTCAGTTCTACACTCAGGAAATTATCCCTATTCATCCACAGCATTGGCCATACATCATCCTGGATATAAATATATTCTTGAGGGCCGCCGATTACTTGAGCACGAGGAACCTCAGGAAATATATGAAGCGTACGAGCATGGTTCTGGATGGATTGTGTGGTCATATTCCCGAGAAGGAGGCTCACGCGATGAAGAGTCAGCTTCGAGGACTTTTGCCGATTGGATGTTTGGACAAAAAGGAACTCGGAGAATGGACTGCGGAGAAGAAACACGAGATCTGCGCCGGACTGCTCAACATTCTCCATGGTGCCGTGAACCTCTTTGAGAAGCACACAAAACTCACACAATCTAAAATATTGAAATTCAACGAAACAATGGGCGAAGTCGGCATGATCACTCTTGACTGCATCCAGGCAAATTGTGGGATTCACAACGATTATTACAACTCTGTCACAACTCAGACAATCTGGGAATTTATATGCCGGCTTGACAAGGAGACCGAAACGGGACGAGCGCCGTATGGTCAATGCTTCGGATTTTTACGACGTGAGCAGCGTGCCGTTCTTGAAGCAGTCAGCAAATTCTCGCGGCGAACAAGTAACCACATTGAGGCACGCTCGATGAGAGCTTATTTGATAAGACGAATAGGTGTCATCTGGCACTTCTGCCGAATGTTTTCAGAAGAGATATGTATTGGGATTGGGCGGGCTTGGTCCGAGCTGGTAGAAGGCGATCGGGAGATCTACAAGGCTCTGGAAGAATTGGGGAGCGGGAGAAGAAGGAGAGAGAGTATGCCCAGGTCAGAAGACGGGCGGAGGTGATAGAGAAGAGATTGGCAAGAGCATAGAAACTTATCGAGATCGTTGGTTACTCAAATAGACTTTCTTAATAAAATATTGCACCACCGAATGGACATTTTTTGTACAGAATCTCACATGCACTTCCCTCTTTGAAAATTCCGCCAATTCAGAAGCACAATTCATGATGAATGGAGTCTTGTTGAGTAAGGAGCAAAAGATGTGAAGCGATATGGTGGGATCAGGGGTGGGTCGAACGTCTCTACAAAGGAAGTGTAGAAGAACAACCTTATGACGTTCTACAATGGACACGTATATTTACAGAATAGAGTGAGACTTGTCCTAAGGAAAACTTGTAATCTTACAATTGAGATTTTGCAACGAAGATTGTTCTACCAAGAACTGGTGCATTTTTAGCTAAAAACGATACTCTCGAGAAGTCTATACACGTTATTGTTCACAAAAGCTAGAGTACAATTAAAAGCACGACGGTCAAAATGCACAGCCACTGCAGGGGTCGATAAGAGCGGGCGTCAGTCCCAAGTATTGCACAGAATTTCCACTCACCCTTCCCTTCCGCCCTCTCCAGTTAATACCCTACCACCCAGTGGCTACTATTTCGCATTCTATTCGTCATCTCCTCCCTCTGCCTCGGTCTTTTCTTCTTCCTGATCCGCGGGTTCTTCCTCCTTCCCAGCTTCCTCCTCCTCTAGTCCGTCTTCCTGCTTAGCTTCTTCTTCAGTACCTCCCACACCAGCTGCCTGCTCGCCACCCTCAGCTTGGTCATCACCTGCAGCCTGCTCAGCAGGCAGAGTCGCCAAATCCACCCCTATGTCACTCCAAACAGTATCCTGGTGATTGAACCCATGCGTCCACACCTTCGCCGTACCCGCCCCCGCAATTCCACCAGAACTGTCTGTCTTAATACCTTCATTCAGCTCCCCGCTCCCTTTCATCCCCGCCTCCTTCCCATTAGACTCGAAATCACTAACATTATACGCCTTAACTATATATCTGTACTCCCATTCCCACTGACCCACAATCCTTTCCCGCGTCTTATTCCACAACGTAATCAAAAACTTCTCTTCAACTTCCAAGCTCTCGATTAAACGATCAACTCCTTCAGGATCAGCAGGATGTTTGGCGGTCGCCGGCGCCAACGCTTCTGGACCGTCTGTCAGATAGAAGGTAACCGCGTCCTCCCCAGGTGCCGGGAGGTTTCTCGGCCCACACCGCTCGTCGTACCACGGCACGGTGTTCTCCTTTCCATCAAGGCACGGCAGATCCGCATCTGGAACGACGTACATCTTTCCGCCTCCCTCATAAGTAGCAACCCGCTTACTCGCCACGAGCGTCTGAACGAGACCGATTTCGTCTCCTGCTTTGCCGAGCTCGCCGTCAGAGGATGCAGTATTCTGCGCCTCGGTTGTGACGCTGATTTCGAGAATTTGGTTCTGGTTTGGGTAGACGTGCCAGTCTGGATACTTGTTGGCATCGCAGTTGGAGGTGTTGATTTCGCCCAGGGCGGTGTTTTCTTCGACTTTTATGAGGATGGAGAGGAAGCCGGTGGAGCTGGAGCCGCCGTCGTCGTGGGAGACCGTCCCTGGGACTACCTCCTCCGAGTCGTCGTAGAAACCGTGCTCGTCCCTGCGTACTACCATCTTCGCGAGGGGATAGAGGGAAGTGACTTGGTGATGAGGCTGTGATCTGGTGTGAAAAGGGAAAGGATTGTTTCGCTTCTAGGTAGGATGAGAATATATTTCATACCTCAAAGACGAGTTAAGGAACTGCGCTTGAGATTTGGTTTTCGCTCTGAGAAAAATGGGGTGAGAATGACAACGAGGAAGGGAGAATTGAAAGTACGAATTTTACTACGTATTTATACTTCATACACCTCCGTTGAAGTCATTGCCAAGCTGCCCCCGGGTAAAGTGGTGAGGCTGAGCCGTTTCCTTTGAACCGCCCCTGACAGTTCCTGCAGTTCGCTTGCCACAACAGTATTTCATTTGCCGCATTCGTGAAGTCTCCCGAGGACGGGATCACCCGCTAAGGCTGAGACATTCAGCTTGTCTTGGCTTTCGACAAGAAACTTGCCTGAAGAAATGCGAACGAAAAGGACTCAGCTCTGCACCACCTAGGCGAGCTTTTTAAGAGACACCAAGAGCAGAAAAACTATCCAAGGAAGCAGAGCGGGACCTACAAGATTAATGTAATCGATTGTGACTTTGGTACCAGGTTTGAACAGATACCGAAAAGCGCTGCAAGAGAACCAGAATGGTCCATATGCCGAGAGACTCTTTGCGATCACGAGGGCGTCTGCAAAGCCATCGTCGATTCCCAGATCCCAAATACCCGAGAAGGTGCGGAACACTCTGGTTCCCTCTCCCCCAAATGTCCCACGAGATCCTGAACACTCGAGTACCCAAACCTTTTTGGATCTCGAACCAGGGACCAGGGACCTGTATGCCGACCTTGAATTAGCTGATAACCAAGTCCCGTCACGGCTTGGCCTGAAAACCGGACCGCAAGATCTTCCCCAGCAAGGGCCTGGCCGAAGTACCAATGCCAAGCGGTCATTCTACCAGGAAAGGAGGAACATTCGGTTTCAGACCGGAGGCTAGGTGGAATTTCCTCAATCAAGTTTCACAAGATGGGCGATCCTTTGCAAAAGATCTGTCGAAGTCTTACTACACCCTAAGGAAGTGCTCGAGGAGCCGAGATATGTCCAAGCAGTGAAACTTCGGTGCGGTCACACGACCGGTTTCGACTGTCTTGAAAAATAGCTCCTAACGGTGAGAGTTGGATTTCGTATGTGGACCTGTCCATCCTGTCGAGCTAGACTGAAGGGGTCTGCGCCTCGTGTGTGGAAGGTATCTGAAACAATCAATGGAATTTCATCGGAGTGGTAGAAAATTGTATTTGCTTGCTGTAAATTTAGCGCGGTAATTTGGGAATTTGAGATCTGATTAAGTGCTGGGAATTAGAGAAATTGAATTAGAGAAATCTTCAAAACATCGCAAATATGTCAGATTTGAAGAAAACGAAGAATGTGTGAGGGAAATCAGCCACCACCTTGATCCTGAGGAGCTTGCAGTTCATCGCCGAGGTGGTAAGAGTCGCTAGAACCCAGGGCTAAGTCTCCGACCTCTCTCCGAATACACCAGCGCAACCCCATTCCCATTCGATATAATGAATCTCAGATCATAATTCTGCTGAATTCCCCTGGTAGTGTAATGAGATTAGTTAGACCTCGGCCCCTTTTGCTTCTCCTCGAACTCTCGATGCCCAGTTCCAGGCCAGGAGGAGATCAAAAGATCCGGTTGGGTTCCGCCGTGCTCTCCCTGTCGCTAGAAAGTGTCCTAGATTCGCGGTGAGCACGATGCCCCTCTCCCCGCCCTGAAGTGGACGAGCCACTTCTACCAAATACACTAGCTGTCCCCTCTCCATCCTCAAGTAAAAGACACCTTCCGTCCTGGAGGGCCCCTTCGTGATCTTCAAAGATCTCCTCAAATCTATTCTTCAATCCCAATAGCTCCTCATCAACTATTGTTGCCTTTGCTTGTGCCAGCCGAATTGTCTCAGTATTCGCCAGCGGCGTCTCCTCCAAGCCGGCTTGATAATACGTCATATCAATTGACATTAAAAGCCTCTTACCGCTCTTCTTCACAACCACTTGCAGCTTCTTGGGACCGAGGTGTCGTATCGCAGTCATGAGAGCGCCATCGTACCAGAGGAAATCGGCATAAGCGACAGGATTGAGTTCCATACCGAGAGCCGTAGTAGTTATTCCAACTCGCCGCGGAACCAGAACTAATGTTAACGATTGTATAAACTTGGCTGCGGCCAGCTTTTGCAAACCAGCAGTCACCTTCTCATACCACTCAAGATTCCAACAATGGACTGAGCAATCGATGGTGATGTTTCGGAAGAGGGAGTGATACTTGGGGTGGAGCTCGACAGGGTCTTCGCAGCGTCGGAATATGGTAGTTGGGTTGCGTAGGACTGCCTTAAAGGCGTTGGATTTATAGACAAATGGAGAAGCCTCTTCGGCAAATTGCTTACAGGTTTGGATAATTGCGTGTGATTGAAAGGGGTTGCGTTCAACTGTTATCCAATCTTCTTTGACGATTATACGTCTTTCGTAGACGAGTAAGTAACTGTAGATTTTCTCTCGAATTTCCAAGGGGATTCGGAGGATCGGGCAGCGGTTAGGACAATTCGGAGGTCCACGCTTTGGTCGCATATCCTCCATTATTTGGAGGTATCTCTCCTCCTCAGGAGTCTTCTTTGTGATGCGAGACCTCGTCTTCCTCTTTCGGGAGGCTTGGATGGGTTCGGACTTCGGGATTCCCCAGCTATATACACTTTCACCTTGTAGCTTTTGGGCCAGGTTCGTGATCGACTCGATATTATCGACGTCCTGGTAGATTGAGGCGCGGGACAGTTTGAATCGCTTACGGTTGCGGGCGGCTTGAGTCGTGATATTGCGATCATATTCGGGGATATCGTCGGGTGTGAGATACCGCTTCTTGGAGGGCTTGGCTGGTGTATTGCGTTTCGTGGATTTCCCGGCAGCGGAGCCTTGCTTGGCCTTCTTGGGGGGCATCTTGGACCTGATGGTGGATTAGTATGGTTGCGGAGGTGAGGGGGGGGATTAAGAGAAGCGGTTGGATGATTCTGGAAGAATGCTGGTGCTGACCTGTAGAAAGGAGAGGCGGGGTGTTGATGGAGGAAGGATGAAAGACAGATAGTGAAAGAGGATTGGGCAAGATGATTAGTTATTGGGGAGATGGTTCGGAGACCGAAGAAGGAGTATAATCTGCCGGTGATGGAAGCGAGAGGGGTGATGATAGGATGCGAAGATGTTTGACTGACCAGAGTTTAGAGAAGGATTGGCAGGAAGGCAAAGGTGGGAAATGGAAGCTAAAGTTGAAAGTTTGCGGACTTCGTGGATAATGAGCGCTGATGAGGTGAAGGGAGAGGAGGTTGAAGCGCCGAGGAATGGTGGGTGATGGAGTAACGGCCGACGCCAAAAGAACGAGAATAATGAGGTGAGGGTAGAGCTTAGGAGCTGTGAAATGGAGGCAATGGAGTGGAGTGTTGATCGAATGGTGAGTAGTGAAGTTGAGCAGAAAGGTTTCGTGGATATCTGCCAAGATACCACTGGTGGGACCTGGGGTGGTGGGTTGCATGGACTGCTGAGGTAAGAAGGGGAAGGAGCGTCCGCCGAAGAGATAATTGCTTGGAGAATTTAGGTGATCGTTTCGCACTTCCCCTTGTGCAAGATGCACAGATGGCCAGGTAACGGGCGCGATCTTATGGAGAATGAAACAGACACAGGATGCATTTGCGAGGCCCTCACGACTCGAGGTATCGATGCGACGTGACTGGCGGAAATCATGGAGCACCCAACTGATCTAGCTTTTAGAAAAGCAAATAGGCACAAATTGTAGTCCGATAGGACTCAAGCAACGATACAAGTCAGCTTTAACTCCCCAAAATATTAAACCAAATAGAACAAGGTGTAGAAATCCTCGGCCTTGGTGTGGTCAATACTGCATTGAGGCCACTCACGTGATGGCTAAAAAGCTCTCGTCGGGTCTTATATAGTCTAATATGAGGTTTTGCCGTCGCCAAAAGGCGGTAGTGGTGAACCACATACTCAGGTCAAATTGGCGAGGACATGGATATGGGCGAAACTAACGCCAATCCCGATACGAGCGAGGTACGACAACAAAACTCTCTAATAGCATTTGATGAACTACTAGGTTTGTCATTCTGGTCACTTGGAGCAGTGGGGATCGAGGCGTATACGATTTCGAACGAACCGACGGCCGAAAACCCACCTCAATATACGACTTCGAGGGTGGAGCGACTTCAAAAATCCTGCCCGGGGGGTTTTCTAAGGGACTCCCCGAGGGTCCTAGAGTTTTGCCATTTTTTCCCCTTAAAAGGAGTGTCCAAGCAAGGACCTTTTTCCTTTTTTGTGCAGCTTGATATTGGAATCATTCTTTATCTACTAATAAATTTTGGCAATTTTTTTTGGCACCTTTTTGGAGGAAGTTTCGCTAAGTGGTGCGGAGAACGAAACGAGCAGGCGCAAGGCACATGCATTAAATAGTGGTACTTAACAGAAGCGGCAGGAAGGGACTCTTCTTCCTCTTTTAGATTGGGATGCGACAACGCGAAAATGGCAGAAAGATGCAAAATATGATCAAAATATGGTGGATGCAAGGCCAGCTTGAACAATGATCACGAGAGCTGCACCTAGTACGTCCCGTTTGGATCTGCAAGCGTAGGGTAATGGCCCAGGAATCTCAATAGGATAAGGTATCGCTGTAGGCTTCTGGGCCGAAGCAAGAAAGACGAGGTTGCTCGAGAAGTGGCAAGAATTACGGATTTCATGTCACAAACCCTAGCCTTCCTTTCAAGCTTATCATCCCTCGCACTTCAGTCCAGATCTGAATGTCCGAACAATGAACAATCTTCACCAAGATCAAAGGGAATTGCTTGCCGAGGCAGCGCCTGATGAATTCGTTTCATTGAAGTAATGCATGTCCCTAGATTTCTTGAGCAAAGCCAGTATTCCAAAGTCCGAGGGCAAGGGCAGGTCTTACGAATATGGTCTATATATATTAATATTGTATATGGAATTATAGCTGAGGTTTCCGAGATTAGACGAAGGATGAAGGGGGCCTTTTCGCGATTTGCAAGAGAGGCATGGTGGTGCCAATTCGGGCTGAAAATTGATTGCCAGCGACTCGATTCTCACTTGCGAGTCTAATCCTTCAAGAACCCGGGAAGCTTGTTATCAATTTCCAGAATTTGGGCGCTTGCTGAAAGACTGATGATGTCGTTTTAAGCAGCTGCATGATTATCTAAGGGCCCCACCTTGAACCGTTTCACTTCAGCCCCAATTTTTCTCTTCTCGGCTCCCTTTCTTCCTCCGACATCCAAAACAACGAATGCACGGCCCGCCCAGAACAATGTTGATCAACCAGAAAACAGGTAAATGAACCGCTTCTCATCCTCGATCGGGTTGAAACTTTTTAATCTGACGATATCCTAGCGATCTCCACCTCCTCAATCCTCCTCGTCCCGTATGAACCCCACCACGTGACAACATATCACGAATGGATGAAAGATCCCGTACCTCTCCCCTCTTCCCCCACATCCCTCCAAATATTCCTAACCGAACCCAGGAAATCCAAGAAACAACCGCATCCGAGCCGCTCCCACTAGACGAAGAATACGCCATGCAACGATCCTGGAGGACGGATCACGACAAGCTGACCTTCATCGCCTGCCAGCCCCTCCCCGGGGATCAAGAAGCCATGCAGCGATCCGCGGTGGCGGGTAAAGGCGACGCTCCAGACCGCATGCTCGGCGACGTAAACCTCTTCCTCGCCCCCGCCGACGAAGACGAAGAAGGCTGTGTCGGCGAACTGGAACTCATGATCGCGTCCACCTCCCACCGAAGGCGGGGGTACGGACGAGCCGCAATCCTCGCCTTCCTTTGCTATATCGAGACCCGCCTCCAGGGAATCTTAGAAGAGTATAGAATTGGATGTGGAGGGAAAGATGGGGGGAGGATGAATTTGTTGATGTTGAGAGTCAAGATTGGAGGCAAGAATGAGAAGAGTATTGGGCTTTTTGAGGGAATTGGGTTTGTGAAGACGGGCGAGGGGGAGAATTATTTTGGGGAGGTGGAGATGGTTTTTGAGGGGGCGATTGGTGGGGGGAGAGTTGGGAAGCTGTTGGAGAGGTTTGGGATTGAGGCGTACAGGGAGATGGAGTATGCGGAGGGGGAGCCATGATGAAGGAATGGAGTTGATGCATCATCGATGTGATTTGAATCAACGAAGTTTGGAGAGCCCACTAATGACTGCAGTCAATATCTGGGGCTGGCGAGGGTACCGCATGGGCTGTCACGAGTCGCGGCTAAACACCAGCTGGTTGGATTGCCGTCTCTGAAGGGCTTTTTATACCTCACGGCCAGGAGTGATGGTGGATGGAAGGGGAGAAGGCACTCGAGCCGAGATGCGGGCGTCAACGGGCGTACCATATTCAGAAAACGCCCTTGACTGCCCAAAGACTTGTGCGAAATCACATAAATCATTGAAATCTAAATCTAACTCTTTTAAACGTTCAAACCTCAACCACCTTGCCAAACTCATGAACCTGTTTGTCAACCTCAACTTTTTCCATCATCCCAATAGCTGGCTTCTTCGGAAGCTTCGTCTCATCACAAGGTGGTTCATCCTCCAATTCGACATGCTGAACCCGATCATGCAAAACAAAGGGCACCCCCGAGTGTTTCCTCGCCTTCATCGGCATCTTCTCCCTCGTGCCCAACCTCCTCGAATGAAACTTCGTAACCACCCTCTCATCCCTCCCATACTTCTCCTTATACCCCTCCAAAACCTTAAGCGTAACATTCGAGCCGCCACAAACCACAATAACAACATTAATATCCGCAAACTCCTCATCCGACAGCTCCGGATAGAGGAGTGTGTGCAACGTATCGTTATATGCCGGCGCAATGCTCACCCCACACGCGCTCTCGACAACAATCCTCTCATCATCGGCAAACTTCACACAAGCCATCGCAGCCTCCGCATCACTAAAAACACAACTCTGCACCTCCGGTCTCTGTCCCCACTCATAGGCCTTCCTCGCAACCTGCGCCGCCCCAAGACTCGTCGCAATACTCGTAATAGCGTCCAACCTCCTCAACTCTCCCTCCCTCAAACTAAAATTCAAAGAATCCGCGCCCTCCGTCTCCATAACCAGCACCCTCACCTCCCCCCTCTTCCCACCCCTCAGCCGTCCATGTCTTTCCAGGCCCTGCATAACCCCAGCAAACAGCCCGCCTCCACCAACACTGCACACGATACCATCATACTCCTTCCCCAGCCCACGCATCTGCACCTCGACCTCATCAACCAGACTCGAGTGGCCCTCCCACAAATCCCCATGATCGAACGGCGGCACGTAGACCCCGCCCTCATCTCGCGCCAACAAGTGCTCGCGCAGGAAGGCATCGGCTTCGCTCCAATGCATGCCATGCTGCACCACGTCCGCGCCGAGCGCCTTCAGCTTCTGCACCATGAGCGCCGACGTGCTCATCGGGACCACGATCGTGGCCGGCCGGTGCAACGCCGTGGCGGCCGTGACGCACGCCAGGCCCGCGTTCCCGCCGGAACTGCAGTAGAAGTGGACGGGCTTGGAGGCGGGGTGCGAGAGCAGGGCTTTGGACATCAGGTTGCCGATGCCGCGGGACTTGAAGGAGCCCGATGGTTGTAGGGTTTCGAGCTTGAGGTAGATGTTGCTGGCGTGCTGTTAGTAGGCACTTGTGTGGCGGTGGGGAGGGAATGGAGATACCAGCCTGCTTCGAGAGAGAGCGCTGCGGAGCGGATGAGTGGTGTTTGGACCCATGGTTTCGGGGGTTGTTCGCCGTTGGAACCCATTCTTTCTCTCTTTAATTAATTAATCAATCAATTGACAATCGTTTTCGCAGACAAAGAAAAGAAAGGGAAGGGGATCTTGGGGCTGGCTAGAAAGGAAGACAAGGAAAAGTATTTGTTGAGCTGTGGAAGATGGATCAGGAAGGTCATGTCGAAAAATGACAAAGTACCCCACTAAACGAGACACAGAAGGGCGTCACCACATGCGGGGCTTATCGGCGCCCGATAAGAAATTCTTCGACGATCCCCCCTCCACCAACCTTCCAAATGGGCAGCTAGGCGAGCCGATGGAAGCCGTACTTCCACATTCCATTTAGGGGCCCGCTATTTGGCTGCAGCTGCAGCGATCAGGAGGCGTATTCATTACCCTATAGCTCGAATTCAGCAGCACGTTGTTCACTCCCAAAAGCCCGAAGAAGAGAATCTGTTACCCCATCGCAGAGCACCTTTTCGAGGGGAATCGGCATTCTCTTACCCCATCGCAAGAAACTTCAGGATGTAAAGTCTTAAATAGGAGATTTTTGTTACCCTATAGCATCGTTCTTGAGCGGTGTGGAGACGTCAGCAGATGGCCGATTGATTACCCTAGAAGATACACCTCGTTTAGCGGGTACAAATGATCAGGAGGAGTCAAGGAGCAGCGAGACCGGAGCTTGAGATTGGAACTCGAAGTCGTTCGATATCAAATGGGAATGGGAAATGGTTCGAATTCTCGGATCGCAAAGGAGCAGGTTTGACTCGATAAGCGCTGCACTGCACTGCACCTTTAGCTCACTCACAAGAGGAGGACTCTGTATCTAGAGAAGTGAAGGCAAATATTGCATGGTTTAGGGAGAGAGCGGCGAATGGTTTGGACTCTCGTGAACGCTGGGATTAATGAGGAATGTTTTTACAGAGCAGCCAGCATGCTCTCCTTGAGCTGCTACCGGTCTATCTCCAAGCACACAGGATGAGAAGCTAAAATATCATGTGAGAAGTCACCCCCATGATTATAACTCGGGGTCATGGCGCAACACAGAAATGTAATCACCAAGTCACTCATCAATAAACCAAAAATCTTGGTCATCAAGTATGTGTTCATTCACATCATCTCATAACGATCGTAACGGTCTCCAAAGACCAAAGTGGTTGGCCAGATCAGTTTCCATCAATCCGATCAATATCTATCCCAAAGACCCATGCCCTAAAGCCAGCCAATAATCTACAAAAGAAGTTTTTGATGAATGTGCTCAAAAGCCATGCCATCTTTTTGGTCTTAGAATACAAATGCTCCTCCCAGCATATAAAGGGTTGTCACCAAACCTCGTCCCCGGCAATGTGTGTGAAATGGCTTTTGCGCCAACAGCGTAGCTGTAAGAAGTGAAATGCAAGAAGGTAGGATGGAGGTCTTTGCCTCCCATCTTTTGGTCAAAAGGGGCCCAAGAGGTGCCTCGGGGAGGACTTAGGAAAAGAGGTGGTTGAGGTGGCGGTGCATGTGTCGGAGTGATCTCTTGGCTGTTGTTGAGTTACTGGTGTAAACGCTCAATGCCATTCCTCCACCGCAAGTCTCGGTGGCGTCGCCTTCGCAAGGCATATCGCATTCCGACTCGGCGATCTTGCTGGAACCAACCAGTTCATTACCGCAAAAGCATTGGCCACCATACTCGGTGCCGGTCATGGAGAATCCTTTGGAACCGCAATAAGCCACACACTTGGTGTTGGTGACTTGGTGGTTGCCGATGTTGGCAAGCTTGATGCCGCTGAGGACACGAGCGCGAGTGTCTTGGTAGCAACCATAGTACTTCCAGCCATCGACATCGGGCTTGGCTGCGTCGGTTGGCGCAGTGCCGGGAACGGTCACAGTAGTGTAGACCATGGTGGTCTCGGAGACATATGAGGTGACGAGAGTGTTGCCACCTGCTCCTTTGGTAGTGGCTGGGACAGCAACCTTTCCGGGTTCAGAAGTCAAGGTAGGCCCCGACTTCACACCAGTAACGACACCAGCAGGAGAAGTGGTTGGCTTTCCGTTACCGGGAGCTGCGCTCGAGGCTGGTTGTGTTCCAGCACTGGCGGGGTACGTCGCAACAGGAGCAGAGGCAGCAGGAGCAGAGACAGAGGCAGCAGGAGCGCCACCAACGGGGACACCCCAAGCGCCGATCGGGTTGTTACCCGGGAGCTTGGACATCGTACCACTGATAACCTCATTGACAGGGCTGACGAGATTGCAAGAAGTTGATGGGTCATTGAGTCCACCGATGAGACCGGGGCACTTGTCCATTCCTGCGTCTCCGGCATCGCAGTTGTTGATGATTTGGGTCAAGGTTGCGGTATCCCAGCCAGCGAGGAAATCGCCGTGGATCCCATAGCCGGTGGGGTCACCGTGGGAAAGAACAAATGGCTGCTTGCCTTGGCCTTGAGTCCATCTGCTGGCGAACAAGGGGGTATTCCAGTAGACTTCGTAGAAGAGGTGAGGGAGATGAGTGAAGCCGGGAGGGCAGTTGCCATTGATAGGCCAGGCCATGTTGTTCTTGTAGTCGTCGATGTTTTTCGAGTTGTCGAGGCACGAAGGGAAGTGAATATCGGCACGGAGAGGTGAGGCGTAACCATCGCAGTTCTTGTCAGAGAATCCAACACCTGCACCCTGATTGTTTGGGTCTCCAATACCAACACCGTGAAGGCCATCCGAGTTGGCGGGATACAGCGGGGTGTTGGTGTTTGATCGCGGGCAGACCCATTGCACAGGTTGAATAGGTCCATCCGATTGGTCCGTGATGCTCTCACCACCAGTGGCAGGAGGAGATCGGAGACTGGGGTTGCCCACGACCATGCGAAGTCCGGGTGGGAAAGGCTCAATAACATCAGTGGTAGCCTCAAAGCTGGAAAGAATGTTAGCGTAGATCGAGAGCAGAGAAAGATTTACCCACAAATAGTAGACGTTCATGTAAAACATCTCAACGTCCTCGAGGAGACCGGTCGTTGGGTCTTGGAAGTACAGGGAAGGAGTCCAGTAGTTGCTCTTATCGTTCTTCACGAGGGACGAGGTACAGGTGGAGGTCAGAGCCTGGGTATCGGTCATGGTCATGCCGAACGCGTTTCCTCCTTGAATGGCGTGGACGTGACCTGAGGGACCACCTGGGCTGATGATGGGATCCACACGGCCCATCATCAAAGGACCGTTGCCATAGAAATGGTTGACCGCGAAGGTACGTTGGTTCGCACTATAGGCGGAGGCGGAGGCGGCGAAAGTCGCCAGGAAAACGGTTGACGAACGCATGGTGTCGACCTTGGGATATGTGTGAAGAGTAGATGTTGGTTTGAAGGGTAGAGTATCGCCAGGAGTACTTGAGTTCGCTTTTGCTGATGTGAATGGGGATTGAAGCTGTCGAAGCTGTGTGTTTTTGTAGGGAATGACTGGAAATGCAACGAGTAACTTGACTCAATTGCAGTGTGGGTCGAAAAGGAATGTATGATCTGTATCAACAGATGTGGAAGGAAGTAAGGAATGAATCGCAAAGCGCATACGAAGGAGTGTGAGGGGACTCGCGAAAGAGCAGACGTCAGTGGAGGAGAGGTGAGGGGAGGAAGGAAAAGGTGTGGGAGGGCTGCAAGCGTGACCTTATACCTTTGGCAATAATCGACTGGGCGCGAATTCACTCCTTGCGGTCTGGAAGGCGTCAAAAGCCATCTGCAACTGGATCAGGATTCTGGGCGGGACCATTCACCGACCGCCTTCACGGCTAGCATGCAGGGGCAGCAGCTTTCTCTCAAGCCCCGGTGTTGGTGATAGAAATACTCTCCGTATGGCGTGTCGCTGGGATCTCTGCCCTGCTCGACAAGGGGCGCACAGCGAATTCACAATAAGTAAGTACAGTCAGTACAGTCAGTACTACTCAGCAGCTAACTTTGGACGGGGCGGGGGGGTTGGGTGGGAGTGCGGATCTGGAGGAGTGCGGGGGATGCGGGAAAGGGGACTCGGGGGCAGTTGCAACTTGCAGGTGAAGGGGAGCGGGAGGGAGGGAGGCTGAGAGAGAGCAGCGGCAAGCGAGTCTGTCAAGGGGGAAGGGGAAAACGCAGAGATGGGATGAACAAAGGCGAGAAATACTTCGATCGGCCGGGATGCCCCTGGGCTGCCATCGCACGTGATTGGCTCCCAGACTCACACCAACGCGTACCTGCAGATGTGCAGGGCGGGAGGATCTGTGCAAAGCTCCGATTCAAGGTTCATTGGCCACCACTACTGCAAGCCACACTCGGGGCGATGTTGTGCCACAAGTTAACAACAGGTTGCAACGCCTCGGAAGGGGCTGCCAATGTCCACTCCACTGCAGCAGGTCGAACTGCTTGTTTCGAAACGCAGACGAGCCACTCACAACCAGGTGGAAATGTCTGCGTGGGCAGCCTCGCTCCTGCGGCGTTCTCTGATATTGCCTTCGTTTCGGATCGCGCGTCTACCTCCGTATGATCTATGATCTATCTTATCGCTGCCGCTCGCTTGGCCAGGGCCAGGCTGCCAGAGAAACATTTTTGGCGGGCTGCCGTGACATCCAGCCAGCGAGGCCCACGACGTCCAGGACAGGCCGGCCAGCCAGCCCGCCGTGAAACAATTCTAATCAGACCTCACCTCCCCCTCGCCTCCTCGCCTCGCCTCCTCCCCTCGCCTCCCCTCGCCTCCCCTCGACTGCCGGCTCAAATTGGCAAACAAACTGTATTCAACACCCTGCGAAGAGACCTGTCGCCCGCTGCCAACAGATTTGGACCACGAAGCAGTGCGCACACTTCTTTGAGCTGCACTGAGAGCGGGGTGCAGACGCACAGGGAGACGCACATGTCAGGAGTCAGGTCAGTAATAGTATCTGATTGCGAGGGGATAACCCCTCCATCCGCCGAGTCCCACCTCCCACTGCAACGCTGCAGTGTCCTGCAGGTACCAACGTAACCTGTGTCCAGGCTGATCTGGCTCTCCAATCGCTGCGAGCCAGTCCCGAAAAAGGCCTCGCTGCAAGAAGACCAACTTTCTTGACTGCACTGCAGGCGTTTAAGCGAGAAGGAATAAATCTCGCTGGCAAGTATTCTCGCACTCCCCCCTCTCGCGCAGAAAATGGCGTCGCGGCAGCAATTGATTGGCAGCATCGCAGGAGCAGCATCCCAACTCAATCAATTTCCACAGCCAACGTCACGAGTCACGACTTCTTTTGTTCTGTCGCTTTTCGGGCTTTGGCTGACTTTGGGCCCTGAGCACGAAAAAATTGTATTTCCGATGTCATCGCCGTGCTACGTGAGTGCTCCCTTCTTGAAACGAGCTAAAAGATTAAGCTCACAGAATGGATCTGGACCCCTGGGCAGGCAAATCAGATCTTTTGCGGCGTCGGCCGTTCCTGCAATTACACCGTGCCCTCCGTTCTGGACAAAGAACTCGACAGAAGCGTCCTCGCCTCCGGGGAAGACGTGCGCCCCACACGCGCTCCTGGCCATTTCGAGCTTTTCCCAAAGAGACCCCCTGCATCCTGCTGCTTCTTTCGAGTCTCGACCCCCCAGGATTTCCTGGCCATACAGAGATGCGGATTCAGCCCACCTGCTAACAGCTGGCAACGAGCACAAAAAAGCAGGTTGAGTTGTTTCCTCCGACCTACGGACCGTACATACTACATAGTATGGGCAGAATAACAAAAATGGGCCTGGAAGAAGCGGCACAGAGTCTGCATAGAGCCTGCACAAGTCCCCTCCGTATCTGCATTAAACCATCGTTACACCGTTGAGGCAATTCTCCTAAAGGAGGGTTACATCCTCTCAGCATTGGTCAACCTCCAGAATCGTTCTCTATTTACTGTAGATCTTGCTCGATGAGACTCAACGATTTAGTACGATCTCGTCGTTGTCAATCGGACGCAAGTCGGGTGGTTGAATCTCGTGAGTCATGATGGGATGGAATTTTGCTCCTTGTTGTTGGGGGGGTCCCTGGGCACAGCCAAACTGTTCTGGATCAGGGGATTTGCGCTCAAGCTTATTCTCTCTTCCCCCACTTCCCAACGCCGTCCAAGTTCCAACGCCGAGAGACACGGCGTCTCAACGCGAGACACTAGGACGCGCACATCCGTTCACGGCAGCGCGTCTCCTATCCATCCGTCCCGATCGTACTGCAGTCACAGTCACATGAATCCTCCCAGACTCGACGTCGAGGACAAGCGTAACCTAACACCCGACTGCCGTGCCCGGCCGTTGAAACAGGACGGCTACACGCCTTGATTCGCTGTCACGAATAGATGTTTCCCAGATACCCGCGATCTGACAGCTGATCGGACTGTCCAACGACGTTGCGCGCATCGCAGTGTTCAGCGACACGCTTCGACTTTCAACGGTGGGAGAGAGGAAACGGGGGGTTGGTTGGCTGGGAGGGTTTCCCGAGCGGGAAGCCCCTGAATTTCTTCCCGTGGTTTAACCGCCTATGGTTAGGCGGCGCTTGAGGAGCGCTCCACACTGCGGGAGATCATGTGATGGAGGCGGATTGAAGTGTAATATTGATTTTTGACGCCGAGGAAAGCGTCTCGCTTTTGGAAGCGCGTCCGAGGAGCATGTTGATGTTTCCCATGACGTCGTGAAGGAGGGGTTTGCATGCTGGGAGCTGCACATTGAGCTGATGTGAATGTTCTAGAGCCAGCAGTAGGTGAGTGATGGATCTGAGGATCCCAAAGTTGGTTTGAGCACTTCGAGAAACCCCGAAGTGAAGGTTCCAAACGTGCTTGAGTGCCTTCAAGGAATCTTGAAAGCCAATGTTCCAAAGCTCTCTGAAAATTGAGTCCAAGGAACAAGCCCGATCGGGAAAGCGGGGAAGATCTTTTCGCCGCGCCTTGCTTTTCTTATCGCTCCCCGATAAGGAAAAAACCTCAATTCAACATCAACATCCCCAAACCTCTCCACTCCAACCACAACCCATTGTCCCGCCCCTCTTCTTTTCTCCTCTCCCTTCCCCTACTCCAAAATGCCCCCCATACCCATAACAATCCTAACCGGCTTCCTCGGCTCCGGGAAGACCACCCTCCTCCTTAACCTCCTCCCACAACTCCTCTCCCAAAACCCCACCTACAAGCTCGCCCTCCTCAAAAACGAGTTCGGCGACCTGGCAGTTGATAGCCAGCTTGCGAGCGCGAGTAGTATTGGCGGCGTGAGGGAGCTGCTTAATGGGTGTATTTGCTGCAATCTTGTCGGGCAGCTTGACGAGGCGCTCAAGGAGTTAGCTGCAAGTCCAGTTTTTTTCCTGGCGAACGAAGGGAGACGGCTGATCGATTTGCGCAGGAGACGGTAAACCCAGACCGAATCGTTGTCGAGACGAGCGGGAGCGCATTCCCTGCTACGCTGGCTATGGAAGTAAATCGTCTCTCCCGGTATTTCCCGCATCCACTCTCCTCCCCTCCACCGTCAAGCCCTCTTCTAACAATCGTAAAAGCGAAACAAACGGAGCTTACACCCTCGACGGCGTGATCCACGTAATCGACGTTGAGAACTGGGCCGGCTACTCGGACACCTCCTACACGGCCAAAATCCAAGCGAGATATACAGATTTGATTGTGTTTAATAAGTGGGAGGTGGCGGGCGAGCAGAGGATGGAGGTGTGTTTAGACCGAGTGGGTGATTTGGAGGAGAGTATTGCGTGGGTGAAGAGTGATCGGGGACGGGTGCCGGTGAGCATTATTCTCATATACTTTTGCTGCTTTTTTCTATGAGCGCTCAGAGCGAGGAAAGCTTCACCGAGGCCGACGTTATGCAGTTGTTGTGGGCCAATGCTTGGTTCCTTAACTCTTGGGTTCTCTCTTGGAGTTCTGCGAAGACCCATATTGATTTGATACTAGGTCGATGTGGTGTTTGGTGTTGATGGGGGGTTGGCTAGGACCTTGGGCGAAGAGCCAAGTCCTCAAGTTAATGGCCATGGCCACGACCATTCTCGTGGTGAGAATGGAGCTGGTGGCCATGGACGTGGGCATGAAAATGGGAAAGGCCATCAAAGTGAAGTCGAAGTCCTCTCCATAACTCTCTCCTCGTCATCCCCGACTTCGGTAATCGACGCGTCGAAATTGGAAAAACTCCTCAAATCCGCGCCAAAAGACGAGGTGTACCGCATCAAAGCCGTGCTCGCTGCTTCTTCGCATATCTCGTCCTCCGACTCCGAATCCTCCCCGGCCTCCTCATCCGAAGATAACACAGCAGGAGTCAGATATATCCTCAACTGGGCTTTCGGACGCTGGACTTGCACGCTGGTGGGTAAAGCGGGGGAAGAGCATGAGAGTAGTAGCGGGGTTGTCCTCCGGATGACGATGATCCTGGCGAGGTTCGAGAGTAAGAAGTGGAAGAAGAGGATTGAGACGCAGGGTTTCGTTGAGTTATTTGGCGATGGTGGAGAAAAAGGGACTTTGACGGTTGACAAGATTGCATGAGTTTCTCGAGCGAGAAATAATGATAATGAATTGGCATGGGAGACGGAGTTGGGATTAGATTGGCGGGCGTTTCCGGTCTAGAGAATATGGAGTCATATTCCTGCGCAGGAGGATAGAGAGAATAGAAGAGTTTCCATGTTTGCGATGACGACTCTATCGCAGCGAATTTAACAAAAGTTGAAGAAGAGGCAGGTAGGTACCTCTAATCTCTTTTATATGCAAAAGCCATCGCGAAGAATGTGGAGCCGCAAGCGAAGCCCCCTATTGTCCGACACTGGCTCCATACATTCCGCAGTCATGCTACCTATAGAACGCGATCTAGACTTCCTCCCTTTTCCTAACAGTACTTCTCGGTCTAGACCCTGACTCTCCAGGATCTCATCTCATCTCATCTTCAACTTTTTATTTATTTACCTCGTCCTCCGAATTCGATATACCATTCTCCAATCACTCACTCATTTACCATCTGCTCGCACCCTCGTCATACAAATAGCTCCATCAACGTAAGTTCCCTCTCCTCTCCTCGTGTTCCTCTCCTCGGCTCTCTCATTCTCAAAAATAATAAAAATGAATAGTTCTACATCCTTTACGGCAACACTCACCACCCTCCCTGCCTCGACCCTCACCTCAATCCTGACATCCACCAAAACCCTTACTCTCCCCTCCAACAATACAGTTCCACTTTCACGTTCACTTTCCAACACCACGTCTACGTCTACGTCTACGACTCCACCTACTATTGTCGAGGATACGGTGCAGTCTGACAGCAGGAGTAAGAATCAGCGCACCACACGCACTCGCGACCCTCCCAGCCAAGTTTCAACTTCAGGAGCAGAAGAAGGCGCTCATCATCGTCGGTGAGTTCTAAGTTCCGCTTTCGTTAGGATTTGCATCATAGTTTTAAAATTGTAGATATAAATTCAAAGGCAAGACTCTATATAAAGAAAATCTCAGAAGTACAGAGGATTATAAAATTACTTATTAGCCAGCTCTAGCAGAACGAGTTAGTTGTGTTGTATTATATAGATCTACAGCTTATTCTCGATATAACCTTGAAAAGTAGAATAGAATTCTCATCTCGCCGTAAATTAATTGAGTTTTTTTTTTTGGAATCTGAGTGAGATTGAATGGCTGCGTAGTTGCCTTTCGAACCCGGTGAAGATAAATAATGATGTGTGATGAGTTTTGGATTATGGTGAGCTCGGGATGCGAGAGAAATGTGGGGACTGGGATTACTGCTATCCAATACTTTTTTACCGAGTGAGGAAACAACTCGAAGCTACAGTGTGAATAGTATAGCTGTGAAGATTTTGAGTTAACTTACAGGGCAGCAACTGCGTTTTCATGGGTGGGCTGTGGTAGGTGTTTGAAAGAGGAGGAAGGGGCTGGTCCGGCGGAGAAGTGGGAGAGATATCCAACAACTCAGCTCAGGAAAGCGTTGGAAATAAGTCCTAAGCATGTTAAAACCAAGCGTAATTCAAGCCCCACCACATATCAGAGCACGAGCGATCAGACATACCGGACTTTGGGAGTAAGGTGGGGGGGGGGGGATGGTGATTGGCAGCTTTCATCGGGATGTGTATTGCAGTTTTGGGAATTGGGTTATAGGTTTTTGGAAGGGAAGACGGGGAGGAGATTGCACCAGGCAGCTTCCATCCGTTGAAATTTTATCCTCGACTTTTCTTTCCTAGCTCAAGTCCGCTCGGACACACACTTGGTGCGCTCTTCTTCTTTTCAATGAGAAGCTGAGAAGTTGAGGATACCATTATTTCAAACCCCTTCTCCTTTCCAAAGCCAAGTTTTCCACCGTTCGCCTCTCTCTTCTTCTTCTCACCACAGTTGCAAGATCATGTATGATTTTTTAATCTCTTGATAAAATAGCAGGTTGGAGAAGGTGAATAGGATTATAATAAAAATGGCTGTCTCTATCTCTACTCCCCTTGGTGCCGGCGACAGTGCTGTCAAAAACATGGCGTACGAGCCAGATGGTACCAGTGCTGCTGGGAAGTTCACATTGCTAATGTTGATACTTTGTTAGCCCCTTTCCTGGAAGCGAGAAAGGGTATTGTTTACTGGGAAGGAAAATGGAAAATGAGGAAGTCTTCTTATTATGCTAAGGGTTTGTAAGGGAGGCGTGGCGGTAATTTTGGGACTGGCGCTAGCGTGCGCAAGCTGGCTTCTAACTTTCTATAGGAAATCCATGCTTTTAAGGATAAATTGAAGAACTGGGTTGATTGGAGAATGTGCAAAAACTGTAGAATGGCATGGTCATAATTATGTCGAGTTGAGCTAGCTACCAGTAGTGTGATTAGCTTGTGCCGGAAGCATTTTGTACAGTACTTAGAATTGACACAATTCCCAGGCAGCGAGGTTGTCAGTGGCGGGTCGCTCCCGAATCGTTCTCTTAGCCTTCGAATAAAACTGATCCCTTAGAAGCTGTTGCAGAGGGTTGTTTATAGATATTGTAGGCTTTCTTTGTAGCATATGCCTTTTGCCAGCTTTTTATATCTTATCTCATGTCAAGTCTCCCTCCACACCCTCTTCACCAACTTATGTCTGTCATCCTTACACTTTATGCCAAGATCCCAGCACCCACGACATAGGTCATAATCATCCCCGGCACAAATCTGACAGTGCTCGTACGTCTCTCCATCCTCAAGTACATTCCCGCACGAATCGCAGTAGCGCGTGCCGTACCAAGAATAATCCGTATAACATGGCTGAAGTATCTTCTTCATATGATGCTCACTCGCAGGACAGTGTTTCCCAGATGTATAGCAAGGTTTACATGCAAGATAAAGCCCGTCCTCACAAATTTCACAGTGAAAGGTGTATCGGCCTTGAATTTCATTTTCACAGCAGTTGCAGACGAAGTAGGCTTTCCTTCGGTGAGGAAGGTGCTTGAAGTCGAGGCAAGTGATGCCCGAATCATGACACTTTTCACACACAGCGTACTTTCCATCTTGACAAGCTGTGTCGTAGCAACGGTAAAAGAAGTCAGTGATTGGGATTGGAGTCTCGCATCGGCTGCAGCTCCAACCCTGTGCCGGTGCTGGTGGGGGTTCGGATTCGGGTTCGGGTTCTCCTCGAAGCCTGCGGAGAGTAGCTGATCGATCTTCGTCGGGGCTTTGTGCGGGTGACCGATCAAGATCTGTTGAGGTAGCGTTCCAAGACTTGACCCTTCGAATGTTCGAAGGATGGATCTGGTTCTTGCGGGGGAAGAAGCCTTCGAGCTCCTTGAAGGGATATGGCCAAGCGGAAGCTGGTTTCCACTGCCTCGTCTCGGTGGCGAGTATATCATCTCTTATTAAATTGTCGACCAAGCGTAGCTGTTGGAGCAGGTACTGCACAACAGGTGCGTTTTGTGAGAGCTCGGGTAGTTCTAGGATGCGTTCCGTAGACTCTTTCCTCAACATCTCTAGGGCTACTTCATTTTCATCCAAGCCCCATAGCGCAGTTGCCATGATCACTCTAGCCATAGCCAAGTTAAGACATAGTGCGATGCGATCTGGATTATCGTGAGATTGTCTCGTTTGGATTGGGACGATTCTCTCGAGCATTTCGAGGCCTTCCTTTGCTCGACCCTGCCCTATGACAGCAAACGAAACTCGGGTCTCCACAGCCAAAGTCTCAGGGAACTCCTCTCCGAATCTCTTACGATAAGCTTTATACACCTGTCGATGAAACGACTCAGCCTTGTCCCATTCCTTGACCATCTCGTAATACTTCGCCAATCGAGAGGCGGCTTCAACGGCCGTGTCGTTCTCCTTCCCATACAGCTTCAGTTGCATGTCATATGCCTCAATCATGAGGGACACCCCTTCTTGAGTAAGCTTCTTCGCAGCAGGCGAGGCCAAGCTCCTGTTCTGAGACCAAAGAGTGTATCCGAGCGAGCTTTTCAGCTCAAGGACACCACGATTTTGCAGTCCCCGTTGTTGTTGTAAATTCTGGAGGTGCTTGCGGAGCAGCGCTACCTTTAAACTGTAGTCGGTAGAGCCCCTACTGATATCATACACCAGAATAAGAGCACACTCGGTCTTATAGAGGTCGGGATGATGTTCCCCTAGGAGCTTTAGCTGGCGTTCACCAGCATCCTTGAGTAAGATGAGTGCCTCCTCCGCGTGAAACGAAGAAAGCATAGTCCTCCCCAAAAGAGATTGGGCTCCAAGAGTCCAGGGATTGTCGTTCCCGAGCTCTTTCTTCCGATTCTACATATGGGTGGCATATCAGTCTCCTTGGCTTTACACATGGCTCGGCTCGGGAATGGGAGGACACGAAACTAACCTCGAATAGCTCTCGACAATATGTCTCGGCTTCTTTCTGTTTACTTGCAGAACCTAAGCGAATCTGGCGCCAAACCAAAGCATCCTCATATTGCCGAGTTCTCGTAGCACTCGGGCCCCAAAGCTCCCGCGATTGTTGAACAGCAATGCGCATAAGTCTCTCGCCCTCGTCGTTGTCCGGATGATTGACCGCTACCAGTTTGAGAGCAGTTAAAGTTATTTTCGAATTGTCTCCGTAAAATTGCTGGTATCCTTTCCAAACTCTTTGAAACGCTTCGAAGCCGGCTACTGCGTTGCCCTCGTCGAGATATTGACAGCCGAGGCGAAGGACTGCACTACACAGAGGACGCCTGGTTAGTTTCTATTCGAGAGAGGTCTAGAGACGAAACACAATGATTGTGCTGTCCTATTCTACAACCAGACATTTGTAGCTGTTATCGAATATAATAGCTGTACACTGGATGTAGTGAGAAGTATTGAGGGAATAGAACTGCGTACCGGAGGGTGTAAGGGTGATCAGGCCCGTAGATCTCTTCAGCGAGAGCAATAGCCTTACGGATCAACTCGCCTCCTCTTTCTGTGCGATACCTGAACAGCACGTCAGAAGAATTTTTGTTTGTACTGAGAAATAGGCCTTACAGGCAACGCTCGGCTTCGGCCAAACCCTCCATGCAGCGAATAACACAATCATTATGATCGCCATAACTTGGTAAGAGAACGGCGAGTGCGGCTTGATAAGCCTCAGCACATTCCTTCCATCGCTCTTGCCCTGCATAAGCCACTGCTAAAGACAACAGGACAAAGATAGTTGCAGGATCGCGTTTTCCTCTTGCCCTTTCAAGAGCTTCATGTGCCCCTCGCAACTGGGCCTCCGCTGCTTGATTGTTGCCCTGAGCCATGAGCGACATGGCGATGAGATCTTTGGCTCGAATCAGATCACTGTTATCAGGTGGCAATTCTTTCCGCTCATCAAGAGCCTTCTGGGCTCTATCCAGGGCGACCTTGTCGTTGCCTTCGTTCAGGAACATTCTCGTTATGTGGTCCTCGATAACCGAGATTGAAATGTCAGACTGACCGCGGTCCGAGAATTCTCGAAAAGAACGAGCCAAACTCTCAGCGAGTTCTCGGGAGTGCCGATATTGACCCAGTACACTCAAATATAAAGACACTCGGAATTTGATTTGAGTCGAAGATAAGGAAGATTCGTCTCGAATGCCTAAAGCATCGACAATTGCTTGGGCGTGAGGAAGTAGCTGGCGGCATCTCTGTCGCTGTTCCACAGATACCCTACTGATATCAAGAAGAGGAAAGACTCGGACGATCAGCTTCTCCGCAACCTGCTCAAATTCAAGCGTTTGATCCCAAGACTTAATGGCGATGTGAATAAGTCGATGCATGCTGAAAGTCTTTGAGTCGGATGATTTTTTGACCAGGCTGAAAGCAATTAAGGGGTTCACTGCATCCAGGAAGTCATCTTCGTCTTCCAAATCATCTTGCTGCAAAAGAAATTGCGGGATATCCTGCCAATGAAGAGTAGCCATGAGTTTGAGAAGCCTCGCACCCTCCGGCGAATCTCTTTCTATTTGCTCAAAACTGATTCGCCAGGTGGTGAGAACCGTATTGCTTTGTCCTTCGTCTCTCGCAAGATCCTCGTATGTGTGAGTGAGCAGCTTAGTGCGTTTCTTGTCACTGTCATTGAACATCCAAAGATAACGTGCTGGAGTTATATCCATCTCTCGGATGTAGCTTGCTGCATGGCTGACTGCCAGTGGAAGGTATTCTAGAGCTTTCACCAAGTCGAGGCAATCTTGCGCAGTCGTGGTTGAATCATCGTCTTTCAACCTCACTCGTAGAAGTTCTTGCGCCTCATTTGCGTCCATAGACGGGATCTCAATTACTGACCCATTTCCTGTCAGACGAAGAGCCGCAGTTTTGCTTCGGGTCGTGAAAAGGAGTTTCCCATGGGAGCATTGGGGCAAATACTTAAGGAGGTCGAATCCGGACTCGTCCGCCTCAATGCTGTTGGCTGCTTGGCCTTTCAAGCTTTTGATATCATCGACATTATCAACAATCATTAACCACTTGGAGGAACAGTCTCCTCGGAGCCAAGTTTTCACTAGGTCAAGAGTATCCTTGTTGGGATCATCACTTCCTGGGATCTGTAAAGCCGAGGAAATGTCTCCTGTCATCGAATCAGCAAATACATTAGAAGGAGTTGGACAATCTACTTACTATAACTTTGCATGAAAGTTGTTCGGCTCACGGCTGAAACCCAATAGCATGAAATATCTGGAGAAACGCTTTGCATGCGATAAGCGACTTCTAAAGCCACTTGAGACTTCCTGAACAGCCGTCAGCAAGGGCATGCCGTGACTGCCACAAGTCCGCCAGCGCAATGAGCGTCCATTCTAGAACATAATTTGATAAGCCCGAAAGAGAAGGGGGTTCTTTGCTCACCCAACGCCGCCAAGGCCATATACGGCACAACGATTATTTGAGCCTGGGAGCTCGAGTTGATTCTCGATTTTATCGATAATTACTTTCCTTCCAACAAAGTCCCCATTTCTCACAAAAGGAAGCAAAGTTCGGCCGGCCTCTGGTGACGGTTTAAACGTCGGTCTGTCGCTTGTCGAGTTCTGTTGAACTATATCATGTAAAGTGACTTCAATTGAGCCGACAGCAGCGCCAATATTATCCAAACGCCAATATGCTCCCTCTTGAAAGCCATTCTGGGAAGTTTGCAGCGTTTCAACCCCATGGGTAATCGCATCTAGTTGCTTCTTGATTTTGAAACGAAAAATGCCTTGTGCCCAGATCGAGGCCGCAACTACCGCATTAGTAGCCACACCTAAATCGCTGCAAAAGATTAGCAGAGAGAATGCCTATTCGCTGAAGTTCTCACCTTCTCATCACACCTAACAAGGCGTCAATCTGGTCAACATAACGCATAATATTCGTCGTTAAATCATCCAGACTTGGCTTGTCGACTGCAATGATGATCTTTTTCCAGCTTTTCCCTAATCTAGAGCCATTGCTCTTGGGATTGTGGTGATCAATACGAGAAGTCCATAATTCAAGATCCTTTTGACAGTGGTGAAGAATGAGATTCAGCCTAGATTGTCAGAAACTTACGGTTGAAAACGAGATGAAATCTTACCTGGATCTTGTTAGCATTGTAGTAACCCTGGTGACCGAGGAGTCGCTCAGAAGCCGGGTCGCCTCTCTAAGTAGATCTTGCAATGTTTGCAATGAGGAAGACACTCGCCCAAGGTTGTCGCTGGCGGTGGCGTAGTCTTGACATAATGCACGCAATGTGGCTGTAGTTTGCAGAATAAGAGCTGCCAGGCCAACCAAGCCGGCTGCAGCTGAGGCAAGGTCCATTGAAAGCCTGGCGACAAAGAAGGAGGTAGGATTTGGAGGCCAGAAAGCCGTGCCGCAGAGGGATCACCAGAGGCTCTGCAACCTTATCCCTCGGCTTCTTCCATAACTGTTTCAGAGAGACCCAGAAAGCGGATGGGTGCAGCAGGCTGAGCTACCTCGAGGCAGATGGCGATAGAGTAAACCTGTTCTTGGGTGAGAGATGCAGAGGGGAAGTTCGAGCTCAGTGGCAGAAGCAGGGGTACGTGTTTGCGCTAAGCCTTTTGTGGCCAGCTTCACCCCCCCAGCAACTGGCAGGCTTTATTCTGGACATGCCCTCGTGGGAGAATATAAAACAAGGGAACACAATTTTAAGTCTTCAATATGGAAAGCATTCATAGCTTCCGAGTTTATTTCACCCGTAGCCATATTCGCATTGTTTCCCGAAATGGCAACAATTGGTGGTGCTTCATCCCACAGCGTAGTTGGACGAGGAGTCTAATTTCTCGACGCGAGTAATAAGGGAGGAAGGATTGCGAGATTTGTCAACTGTGTATACGCTTGTCATTTCCGAGACGGTTAGGGTTGAAACTGCTGGTACTTTGGTAAAGAGTTCTTCAGGGTGTGTTGGTTTCTCCTCATTCTCGGCCCCCAATATTGAACACCACTCTTTCCCCCTTTTCTTGCTTCCGCTTCGTAGGATTCGCTCGATCCTTTCGTGATTGTCCGGCTGCAGTGCTTCCAGCGTTCGTATTTTCCAGGTGATATGTCAAGAGTTGTCACATTGCATTTGTGCAACCATACAAGTAGAGAAGAGTTGGTTAGCCTAGCCAATGCTGTTCATAGAGGGACATGCTGAACTTTGCTGAATGCAACGAAAGGAGGAAAGCAGGCTTTCATATTGGCCTTTAGTAAACAGAAGAGTGATTCCACGGTGAAATATATAACATTGATGTCCCCGGAAGACCCAGGATTTAGAACGCCGGCTTGCAAGAGATTCTGACCGAATGATCAGTCAAAATTACTAAGTCTTTCAAAACACAATTCAGCTCCCTTGAAGCTTCAACATCATGCGTCTTATGCTGTACTTGCATGTGCTCTCACCAGCTTTACTGCGTCCACGCTACCTGCTAGCATTCAATGCTGCTTCGTGAGTCCCTGAGTCTCAACAATAGAAATCACATGTGAATAGCTGACACTTGAATTCAATGGGAGGTCGTGCGCAGGTAACACTCAACTTCCTGTGGTTTTGTTATTCATTGCCCCTTTCAGAGCAACAATTCGGCTAATTTGGACTGGAACTAGCCTGCCAATGCTGCGGCGAAGTTCGAAGTTGTGGTAGCATTTATTGCAGCGTTCCCCAAGTAATTTCAACCACCCCTAAGATCAGGAATATTGAGATGGCTGAGGTTGAATCTAGTGCATTATAAGAGAGTTCGCTGCTGATTGTGGTCCTGTGTGTACGGGTATTTCTAGATTATCAGGTCAAATCAGCTACACTTGCCCACACCCCCACTTGGAAGGTTGGAGAAACTTCTTAGGTGCGGGGTTGTCAATATCAAACTTAACGGGAGGATAGGTCCTTTTGCTAGATGTTCCGCTCCGTGTTTATTCTCAATCTTTTGAAAAGTAGGAGAATGGAGGAAAGAGTGGCAATATATCTTCTAAACCCAAATGCTCTCGAAACTTTTCGAATTTGATTCTTCCACAAATACCTCGTACATTAAATATTGTACTATTCACCTATTGTTCATCCAAAAATTGGATGTTTCATGATAGTAGATTGAACTCCAGGGAACACACTAGAGATCCTTGCGGTGGACGTCCTCTCACGTCCCGCTAATGCGAGCGCCCCACCCCGGCTTTTTGCCTGGCAAAGATCGACAACTTTCCTTTTCAACTGCCTTATAGTCATCCACTATTTAGGTGAAGTCATGTTTATATGAACAAGCTCTGCATAGGGTGTCTCACGGTAGACAAAAAATCCTAGCACTCATTTTCAAAGTCCAAGTCAACTTGAAATTTTCAAATACGTCCATGTCTGTCTGAATATTCCCTCAAACTTATGGTGCATCCAAGGAACCCCCCCCCTCTCAAAGGTACCGCAAATTCTAGAACATTAAAGTCTTTACTCTTCGATTCCAGGTAAAGCTGGACATCTATTGGAAAATGATCGATATATTGATGGAAAATCGATATATTGGAGGTTGACAATCTGCAAAATGACTAGATACAGGAGAGTGAGTTCTGGAAACAGAGGAAAAATGTCCAAAGTAAGGGATTTATTCCCATTACCCTTCGGCAATACCGGTAATGCCGAGCCCGCTTTCTCCGATACATTATCAATCAGCTGATAAATCAAAGGTAATCAAAATGACGATATACTAGTAAGCTTCGTAAGCTCGGCGAGTGACGCATGACAAATGAGAGTGGAGAACCCTAAATTAGTGGTTGAACCTGGTGCTGGAAGGACTGGTAAGCTAGCTATGGTAGCGTACCAATTTCAACAACATCGACCTTGACTAAGGACATTGAAAATGAATACGGGCTGTTCTGTCCATCTCGAGGTGGTGAACGAATATGTGTTGATATTGAATTGAAGGGATGAGAGAACCATCTTACTTATATAGTTAATATCCGTCTCATATAATATTCAACTGGCAACCTCGTAGATAGCACTGCATCACACAGAAAAAGTCAAGTATGAAGCTCTCTCGACGCTCTCTGGCATCCCGATAGGAGATCTGATTGCCACTACAAGAAATTTCAGGGGAGAAACTTCCACGCATGATGAGATATCATCCAGATCTGTTCCCCCCACACCTCTTGCAGCCCCTGCACTCCCCCGCCGGAGACACTAGAAAGCTAAGCGAGAAAGGTGGGATTAGGGGCTTTAAAGTAGACAAATGAGGTTATCCCAAACAGCTTTGCCGCAGAGGTAGAGGAGAACAAAAAGTTTCAAGTATTGAGGGAAAGGATAGAGAAGCAGAGATTGGCGAGTATCCGGAGTCGGAGACCACGGAGCAGCAAACCAAGTTAGAAAATTTGGAGGCGCGGAGGGTTTGGCGAGGATGAGCTTGTGCTAGCGGAAATACATTTATGGATTTCGTGGTAGTACCCCTTGGGCTGCCCATCTCAAATCTTCCAAAGACGTACATATTGTCTAATGAGAAGGAAGGCACATGGCGGCAGGAAGGACAAGAAAGTCTTGCGGTTAGCGTAGCACCGGCCCCAGAAATCTGGAGCCGAGCCCGATGAGCCACAGCAGGGGGGAATTGAGGCTGATAAAACAAAATCTTCTTTCAACGTCAAATACTAAGATTTGTACGAAATCATCCCTCTGCAACGTTTCAAGTCCTTGAGATGGTAAGAAACAATGAAGGTGAGCTATCAAAGAAGCTGCAATGTCTGTCGACTACTGCACACCGCGTCCTTAGCACGGAATCGACGTCATGTGGGGATTGCCGCAATCGTGACCGCCTTTGCACATCAGCAGAAAGCTTGCAGCTGCAGCGTGTTCCCTATTCTTTTTATTTCCTCTCTTCCTTCAATTATTTTGTGTTGTTCTCTGTTCGTTGCCTCTCAAATCTACGCAAAGGAAAGGTATGTTCATCCCAAAAATCACCCGTCTTCCAAAAGTCAAATCGCTGATAGCCCCTGGCAGAGCCTCTAGCTCTGAGAATGTCCCATCAATCCTCGACTGTCGATAATATCAAGAGCACTGCGAATTTTGCCTAGGAGACGGTCACGGACACGATAGCTCCTACAACACAAGGCGGATACGATCCAGACAAAGACGAGACGAATTTCGGGAAAGATGCACATAGAAACATGATCAAGAAAGGTGATTTGAAGGACAAATTGAATGAGGCTGCACTAGCGGCCCACGGGAGGTGGAAGAGAGCTACGTTGGGAAAGGTGCGTTGACCTTCGGAGTTGGGGCATAAACCAGAATATGCGAGCATGGATGAAAGGAATACGTGGATGAACAAGCCGGACCGAAACACCAACGACGAAAGTGTGCTCGTACATTCCAGTCGTCAGCGAAATAAAAATAAAAAAACTTTTGATCAAGGAGGAGCCGAGAAGGTAGCAAAGCACGAGGGCCCACCGAATAGACCCGATCAAGATGTTCAAGTGGAGCAGTTCCTCAGGAAGCAATATCATAGCAAGAGTGGAGATAGAATGCCAAGTTTGGATTCAAAGGACTGAGGGATGAGATTAGCCTGGCTCATTCATATAGGATTGCGGTAGAAGAGGTGCAAAACATGAATTTTTGATGGCCGCTTTGGAAGACACGAAGTCAGCCTCGCAATTCTCGCGTCTCCAAAACTTCAACGTCTTTACATCACCTCTTTCATCTCGGCTTCTACAATCAGATCAACAAAAGCCCCTCAAATCTGACGAAACAACTCAAGTCAAAGAATATAAAGGAATCATGCAGCTGGTAAGTAGCCCTATCCTGCCCTGCTCTTCCATCGGGTTGTCCCTCTAGCATGCGAACATTGCACCGTTCCCTACCCCATTGTCCGCCCACCATCAAGAACATTGGCACAACGCGAGTCTTCATTGTTCTGACAGCCAACAGTTCAAGATGCTTCTTCATCTCGCCTTCGCTTTCCTCCCCCTCCTCACGGGTGCACTCTCTCTCCCTGGTATACTCGATCATGTCCTCCAATTGGTCAACGGCTCCATTGTCCCCAGTATCGATGGTACATGCGGCAGCAAGGCCAACTACACCTGCGCTGGAAGCACCTACGGGCCATGTTGCTCATCTTACGGCTACTGCGGCAACACCACAGCGCACTGTCTCTCTACCCATGGTTGTCAAGCTGCCTATGGTCAATGTTCCAACGAGACCGGGGACATTGTGACACCAACTATCGATGGACAATGTGGTGGCTATGTTACGTGTGCAGGAAGCGCTTGGGACGGGGCTTGCTGTGACAGGTTCGGATACTGCAATTTCGATGCCACCTACTGTCTCGTTGAGAATGGTTGTCAGAAGGGTCTGGGACGATGCACTCAAAAGTCTCCAGATGGAACATGTGGCGGCATACATCACGAGGCCGTCTATATCTGCACTGGATCTCCATTCGGTGTTTGCTGCTCGGAAACTGGTTTCTGTGGCTCTGACTCTCTGCATTGTGGTTTGTCTTGTCTTGGCAAGTTTGGGGAATGCTTGGCACCAAGCCCGGATGGAACTTGTTCTTGGGACAGAGGATATACTTGTCTGGGTAGTGAGTTTGGGGAGTGCTGCTCAGGACATTCGTGGTGTGGAAACTCCACTGGGTATTGCAGTGTCGCTGCTGGCTGCACGACTGGTGGTATCAACAATCCATACCTGGGCGTCTGCAATATACCATGAATTTCCTCGGGGAGGGACATTGTTCCGCAGGCGGTAGGAACATTACCGAACTCTGAATTGTGTTGAGGGAGGCTGTGGATTTTTTTGATTCGTAGCTTTCTTGCTCTCCTTAAATACAATTGCAACTAGGTTCTCTTCCAACCAACTGTTTCCACTTAGCAAGAAGTGACGCAACCATCTTGATTTTAGCCAGGAACTTTCTTCCAGTGAAGAACCCATTCAATTTCTAAAGAGCTGAAAGGTTTAAATATGGCAACCTTAAATAATACTATGGGAAAGGAGGTTGCTATGGAGCAAAATGGATGTTGGTCACGTGCACCGAGCGGACTTGGAGGCTCAAATTTTGAACGGTTGTATTGACTATTCGTCGTGGTAATCTGAGGTAGAGAATTTTTGAAACCTGTCCTTCTCCAAGTAGAAATCGATAAGAGACTATAATCTCTCACTGCGAGTTGTCAAGTCACGCAATGGAAATTTCGCTTATGAGACGACCTCAATTTCAACCTCTATGAGTACACACTCTCCATCAACACCACATCGTCCTCCCCAACCGCTCTCCTTAGCCCAAAACCGATTTGCCCAGAGCTGCGAGGAAATGTACCAACGTGTTCCAGATTGAGACGTAGTCTTTCATCCATTCATCCCTAATATTGTCTCTGACGAAGAGCTGAGCCGCCTCCTCACATCCGCGCCCTCTCGCACATGGGTGTACCCCATAGCTGAGTATGCAGTACCAATTCACAGCAATCTACAAAGACCAATCTATGCTTTCGAAGCGTCCGCATTTGTGGGCTACTCACAACATCTTTCCATCCATAGCAGCAGCTTGGTTTGGCGAACCTGAGAGTGGAAGTTGGCGATGATTGATCAAAGCGTCTGTCGTTGAGGGCATGACGCTGCAGAGCAAAACCCATGTGCTGGCAAAAGAAAGTCGAGTGGCTTGCATGTTTTGATGTTTCGGGCGAGGGTCAGGTGCCTGCAGCCATTCTCAGCTCCCAAGCCACCACCAACTCACCAAAATGTATCAGTACGCCAATGCCTCGGGCACAATTGATGCAAAGCCAAAGGCTCCTTGGTGTTCCGCTTGTGATTGGGAGCGTTCTCTGTAGCAAAGTAACTGAGCACGCTCATTCTTTAGGGATGTTTACCTTCAAGGGCCCAGAAAGGGAAGGGGTAGCGAGAAATCATGTGATACCAACAGGGTTTGGCTCGCTTGGCTGCTAGCGTCAATTTTAGCTCGCGAACCACGAAAGCTCGAAAATCTTCGCGACTTCCAAATCTTTTCTCTTCATCAAAAAGTAACAGAGCCAGCCACGACCTCCACCTCGAATTCGCAACAGTGGTGTGTTGCCAGCACTCTTAGCCGAGTGTGTGGCTCTGGAGATGGATAATTTTGCTTTGCAAGCTCCTTGATAGGAAGTTTGTCTCCCGTGGGTCTTCTTCATTGAGGGCGAGGGGAGGTGAATGTCGATGATGGGAGACAGATCGCTGTCACGAACAAGGATTGATACCGGATATAGGGACATACTAGGTATCGGAGTAGGGGCAGATCGAGTTCTAGCTGGAGAGAAAGCACACAATGGGTTGGAGACTTCATTGAGTCCGCTCGGATATGTGAGCTTTCCCAATGACTCTCAGCGAGAAAATATCGAACCACATTCAAGCTGGTCATACCCCCAGACCTCTCCAACTGTGCTACAACCGAATTGTCGACCCTGAAAGCTTGTGCGAATGAACACTGCGCCTCGTGCTTCGTCCCTCGCTCGCCCTCGCCATACCTCCCACGATTACAAAAGAATACACACGAAGAGTAGTATCGAGTGATAGTCAAGCTGTGACTGTTCAATCTGCAACGGCATATGGGACTTTCTAATTCATAGCCGGGCGCGGAGATCCTGATGGTGTCTTGAGTACCGCTGATGATGACGATGGACCTTGTTGCCGCTGCTAACAAACGACTAAATTGCACTATCCCTAACCTAAAATTCCAAATCCAATCCTCGGTATGCTCTTCTCACAAATCGCATCGGAGTTAAGAGCAATGATCAGCACTTCATAGGACGTGGTCCGTTCCGGTCTTCCGAGCATGTGCTCTTGTTGTCCTAGATCAGGCACCGATGTGCTCGACGTGCGGGGACAAGCTGTTCCCACACCGGCTTCAACAATTACCGCATAGCCTCTGCTGATACTTGAATTACGTCGATGACAAGTACAGAGCTCCGTGATGGGCGCCGACTTCCATATAAGCTGAAATGGCCTCCTCATTCCCTGATGTTTCCTTTTGTAAGTGGATTTCGTCTCATTGAACTTTTCACAATGTATATCTCCACGATCACGGCCCTAGCAGTGCTTGCCGCTTCTGCCTCTGCAAAGCAATGTATCAACACCACTGTCCCAGTCAACTTGATAGCTCGACAGGCAGTCTTCAACCTCGCTGTCCCTCAGACAAACCTCGAAGTCACCGATTTCATTTTGAATATGACCCAACAAGGCCGGAACTTTACTGACGTTGTTCTTACCGGATACAATACGACGACGGGAACATACAACATCAGCACTCAGTTCTGTATGCCATCCAATGACAACAGCACCAGTCCTACTGTTCAAGTCTTGACCCACGGAATCGGTTTCGACAAGACGTGAGTATCTAAAATCGGGATTTTGACTTCGCGGAAGCTAACTCACAACAGATACTGGGACCTGTCATTCAACAACTACAATTATAGCTACGTCAATATTGCCACAGATCAATACAAATACTGTACTCTCAGCTTCGACCGTCTCGGAATCGGGAATTCCTCCCACGGTGAGCCCTTGAACGAGATCCAAAGCTTCATCGAAATTGCGGCAACAGTTCAGCTCACTCAAATGCTCCGCAACGGCACGTTCCCTGGTGTCAACCACACATTCAGTAAAGTCGTGCATGTGGGACACTCCTTTGGGTCAGCTCAAACATACGCCTTGGCCAACATGTACCCGAATATAACAGATGGTATCGTTTTGACCGGATTCTCGATGAACGGATCCTTCGTTAGTTCCTTCGCAGCTGGAGGAAACTTCCAGCAAGCCAACCAGAATCAGCCCCTTCGATTCAGCAATATCACTGGACTTCAGGCTCAGAATGTCCTCTCAATGTACGCGGAACCGTTGGTTTCATACATCTCGCCCATTGACCTTTCCGCCCTTCCTGCGCCGCGAGCACTACCAAATGGCTACCTGATCACTTCCGATATCGAAGGGAATAAGCTGCAATTCTTCAAGCCACATTACTACGATCCGGCCATCTTGGAGTTGGCTGAGAGAACAAAGCAGCCCGTCACGGAGGGTGAGCTGCTAACTCTCGCATCGCTGCCGATGATGAACAACTTTGCTGGTCCAGTCATGTTGATTGCCGGAGGCCAGTAGCCATTCTTCCTCTTGATACAAAGTAAATTAGTGCTGACAGGAACGCAGATGCCGATCTCCCATACTGCGGAAGCAACTGCCTCGCCACTGGTGGCGTTGCAGAGTCGATTCCCGCGATGGTCAAGATGAATTTCCCGAACGTTGCTACCAGCAACTTCTCGGCGGTCGTTCAACCGAACAGTGGACATGGCATCAACCTTCACTATAACGCTACCGGTGCATACGATGTTATTAACACTTTCTTGAACTCCAGGGGACTGATGAGCTCTTGAGTGGTGGAGAAGCAGAGGGGTGAAAACAGATATGAACCGTATGCTTATGCTTGAAAGCAACAATTAGAACCATTAGAACCATTAGAACCAGATATATAATCCATAATATGTAAACACTCTCTTGAAGAATGTTTCAAGCTTTCTTCACCTGCAGTGCTGTTTGTTTGGTCCTTCTAAGCCTCGAACACCTTGGGGTGCCAGGAACATCCCTGCATCGACCTCCGCTTCGGGCGAAATCAACAGCCTTTCATCTCACATGAACAAGATTTCTCTTGGCAGTCCAGATCGCAATCTCTACGATCTGCAACGAAACCCACAAAATCTCCGAGTTCTGCCATTCAAATCTATCTCCAACCGCATCACCATTCCCTCTCCCTATCACGTGACAAAATACATTTTCCATTCTATTCTGGTGGCGTGCCTTTCAGACAGGCAGAACGGATGACTTTTTTTTTATGAGGCATCACTGCCTTCCTTATCAAGATGAAAAGGAACGCCTCTGATGCGGCAGAGTCATCTCCTCAAGCTTTAGACTTTCCGCTTTTCATCCTTGCCCAAGCTTCAGCCACTTGGCCGAAACTCCCGAATACAAGGACGGGTGAATGTTTGAGAGATTTGGTGTCTCGATTCTTTGACGTCAAGTGCGGCGGAAAGAGTGCAAGCAAGGCCACTGGAAAAGCACCGGAGATGTCCCCCTGAGCAGTCTATCAACCTCACACTTCACCGGCGCTTCTCCCTCAACAGGCCGTTCCATTCTGATCTTTTCTCGGTCTGATTACAAGTTCTCACCAAATATGGCATAGAAGTATGAATGGAGGATCATGTCAGTTGGGTTGCGAAAAATTTAATCCATTAAACTTTAATTAATGGTCAAGCTATTATTAGATGCATTATTTTATGCTTATTTTCGATTTTTAATGAAAATAACAGTCACGTGGCGCAATATTAAGATTGAAGTTATACTTTTCTTCCTCACTTCCACTTATATTAATATTGCCTGACGCTAGTATTTGATTAATAAAAGCACTAATATCTGACCAATTCTCCTCCCGCTCGCCGTCACCAATGGCTTCAGTTATTACTAAATCAGTATGCGTCACGTGAACTAGATCCCAGCACTCTGATTGGCGGCCAGATTCAATATCTCCTCTGGACCCACTTAATTTAACGTTTAATCGTCAAACGAGCCTTAAATCAAATTATTTCTTAATAGAGTGGCAATTAAATTTAATTGTCCACCCCTAATCGTCGAACGAGGATTCTCCATGCCGATAATCATTTGCTATGTTTCACGAACGAGTCGAATAAATAGCTCGACCAGCTGAGCCTCCTCCAAAATTCGGGCCAGAAGCCGAGAACCTACCCGAGCTGATCCGATCCCGAATGGAGACTTTATTCGCTGGCCGTTCACACTTCACAGCCAAAAGCATGTGCTTGTACGTCTGCCAAGGAAAGATGCAGAATAAGCGTGAACACTGCAGGCACGCGGGTTTGTTCACAGTGTCACAATAATGCACAGTCTGACTGACATTCCCAAAGCGTCGGCGCCGCAATGAGCACGGCCGCAGAAAAATACGGAGTGGCACCGATATCAAGCCCCCTATTTCCTGCACGCGAGGGCTGCCTTCCATTCCTGGATACTGGCAGCCCCTCTCGCCACCTTCTGATCTTATCGTCACCAATTGATACGCCACCCTCCACTTTCTCTCCCGGTCCAAGGACTGTGAGAGCGTGGCAGCCAGGGCCGTCGCCTTCAGCTCATGTGCTCCGTATTCTCTGGCTTCCAGATGGCTGGCCAGAATTCTCCCATCGTATCGCAGGAACGAACTGGTTAGCGGACGACGCGGCGGCAAACTTTAAGTGCTTGCTTGCTTGCCTCTGTGTCGGCGCGCACCTCGGATTGGGCAATGGTGCAGATGCAAGTCGTGACGAGCGGGACCCTTCCTTTTCTGGAGCCTGAGGCGATGGTCCTAGCCGCTCTGGGGTTATGGTCTATCGAATACTTCTGGAGTATTTCCGCTGAAGAGAGGGAAGCGTGTCTGGTCATTTTTCTGGGATAGATATTCAAACGCCCCCCTCGTGGGGCATCAATTTGTCCTGAACAGCGCGCGTGGATCATGCTGCCAGTGAGATGTGCGCGATTGTATGCTAGGACAAGCAAGCATGCATCGATCGAGATCCATGCTTTTGGAGGCCACGGAGCAAGCCGCACCTTGGCCTGTCGTGTCGCTGGGAAAGATTGCGGCCAAGGCGTAGGCAGGCTCGCCCCAGAATCTCAGAAAACTTGAGCGTATGGGTGATGGCTGGGACTTTGAGAGCTTGGTGTGCCGGGCGTGGGTGTGTAACCAATAAATGCCATCCGGGATGCACAGCGGGAGTGTGTCTTGGCTTCGTAGCCAGGTACACCAGGCAAAGTTCAGAGCCCATGTCCCAAATCATAACGCATCTTCGTGAAAGAAAACTTCAATTGTTCTTCAGAATCTCCCTAGAATTGCAATCACCGTTGAACAGGGCCATTTCAGCACGCCTGTCAGGGTTTGCGTGCCGATAGGAGGCCGAGCGCAGAGGCGAGATACTGCGAAACTAGGAACTGGACGGGATCTGTGCCCTGACACTTCACGAGATTGGACCAAGGTGCGTTGAGGAGACTCCAGCCTGCGTGCTTCTTTCAACCTTCCCCAACTGCCCGTCCTCATTCTTCCTTCCACGACAGCCCGAGGACGCCCAGCACTTTCAATTCTTGGGGCTACTGTAATTCAGAACTTTGTTGTTTCTGAATTCGGGTTGACTGTTGTTCATCGACGGGGTTCTGGAGGTCTAACTGGGCAATTTGCAGTCACACACCTCAACCATCCACAAAGACATCACGCCAATTCGATTGCTCATAAACGATAGACTTCTTGAGGAAACCGCATCTGCCGAGCAGACCCGTGCTCAATTTGTCGTCAATTTGTCCCACTGTTCTCAATTTCTACTTGTTTCGCTCCTGCTTCATTCGACACTGCGTACGCAGGCTTTCTCCTCCCCGACACAGCTTCACGACCACGCATACAGGAACTTTTTTATTCCCAACTCACACCTCTAGACACGTCCGCAGACAACCGCAATCATGTCTGAAGTCACCAACGAGAAGGCGGAAGCCGACAACAACAACGTCCTCACAATTACTCGGCCCTCGCCAACTCGTCAAGTCTCGAACCAATCCATCAACGTCATGTCCACGATCGAAGATATCGATTCCACGCACAGCATGACTCCTCCTCCCACAGCCCACAACGAGAAGTTCCCTAATGCCACGTCCTCGCCCTACTACAACCCTCGAACGCCGGCCTCCGAATCGAAGCAAAACATCAACGCCGTCCACCCCTTCGACCAAGATCTCGAGGCACAAACCCTGACCCAACAAAAGACCGAGGCGAGCCAGAGCAAGACGGGCCTGTTGAAGAAGAAATGCACAACGACTGTTGACCCAGCGTGGCCTGGACGGGATCAATTGAAGATGCGAAAGAAGCAGTTGAAGCGGGAGAAGGCGTGCTGTGGGTGGTGGGTCGCCATGAGCAGCAGAAAGAAGACCATGGTTAAGGTGCTCGTCTTCCTGGTGGTCGTTGCGTTGGCGACTGGCCTCGGAATTGGCATCAGCAGGGCTTTGAACACGGGAGTGTGGACAAAATCGGGATCGAATACACCAATTCAATAAAGGATCGTGGCTGATGTATGTCTTCCTCTGCCAGCTCCGTACACTCTATCGCAGTATGCTAATGGTTCCCAGGCTCCGGCATCGTCCTTCGCATTTCTTCGATCTCTCGACCACGGTCCTTGATCCTGAGCACGGTTCGGTATAGCTGCGAACGCCTCAACCTTTCTTCTCGCCGACCTTCCCGGCTGTTCTTGTAAATATTTCTGCGCTTCGCTTCAGTCTCATACCCACGTCTGGCGTTCCGGCGTTCAGCATCCAGTAACGACTCTCGACACGACAGGTTCCCTCTCGAATCCTCGAATGTATCTTGCAGCTCGGTGTGCATATGGCGGATTTTCGATATGGCCCTATAGTCTGCTTTTCCTTTTCCTGTGATAGGAGATCGTGGTCTTTCTTGACGGCCGAGTTCGACGATGGTATACCGTTGGGAACTGAGGTTGAATGGCTAGAGTGGATACAGTGGTAGTGCATTCAAAAATAGGGATAGATAGGCTTGCCGGCCATTGAATGAACAGAGACTTCTGCCGTCACATACACTGCTCTCAGTGTTCCATACTTCCCCCACTCCAATGGATTTCACCTACCTCTGCCACATCATATCAAAGCTTTAGACCAGGCCAGAGACTGTCAACCAGGTTTCTGACATCTAGCGCAAAGGTGACAACACTCCGCAACATTTTCAACGACGGCTCAAGCTCCTTATACCAAAGACGGTGAAGAAAACAAGGGAAACCAGCAGCTTATAAACAGAAACCTCAGCTTCCATAAGCAAACTCTCCAAGTGGGGATTCCGCTCTTAAGTCCGCCGCATCCGGGATTTGTTCAGAGCCGAGTCTGTTATTTTATGCATATTGTGCAATATTGTGCAATGGCATAATTTAGCGAGCTTCAACCGCTTCAATATTCATCCTCTACCTCAGCAGTTGCGGTCGAGTTGCTCGCAAAATACCAAGACGAGGTGAACAGAGTTAGGAGAGAATTCCTCTGAGTCTCAAATTAAATCTGCACACTTCCTTGTCTGGGTCTGTTGAATATTCTCATCTTTCCTGGTATCTGGAAGTGCAGTAAGGTGCGAATCAATCTTCCTTGATAAACCCAGTTCTTTAGCAACCATGCCAGTCACTCATCAGCATTAGAACGTTTTTCTGATTGAACGATCCTGTGCATTTCTCTATGATGACAAGGGGCAACCGAGGAAGCATCTCGGTAGTTGATCACGTGATCAATGTCTTCTTGAATTTGTCGCTGGAGAGTTCTCCAAAAATTTAATCTCAAGTCTTCATTGGTCAGATGTCATAGTTACGCATTTTCGGCCAGCAATCTCATGAAATTGTTATGTTTGGGAGCTGCGGCATCGCGGACTCTAGCTACCTATCCACTCTTCGGAGTGCCGAACCTCACATCTTATCCAACTCTATCTCGACATCATTATCAGGTGTATCTATATGGGGCAAACGCTCGATAAGAAACACCCAAGGAAATAATCGCAATTGTAAGCGTACTTTTTTGTGGCCATCAACTGTCGAGAATCGGGATTGTGAAAAGCGGGTCGCGTCAACACCATCGGGAGTTGGCAGCCGACGACCTATCAGCGCGCTCCCTAATTTGTTCCCACAGGGCAGGTCCCTCTTTGAGAGCATCAATCCCCAGCGCGATCCAGATCGCGGCGCAAGCTCGTCCCGACTAGCTGGAGTCTGGACAGGAGTGGATCAATATGTCAGATATGTCTGTGATCCGGAGCACAGGAGGCTATCCCGATATCTTGGACGATAAGAAGATATCCCAGGCAAGCATGCGCTTGCATGCTTGGCTGTACCGGTAACCTGGATTTATATAGATGTGTCGGTTCCGCAGATCTGTTTCTCTCCTTTCCCTAGCTTGTTCATCTCTCCCGAGGGTTGTATATTTCAATTCCAAAGATGGATCGTGTTCGCCAACGTGTCGTGGGCCTTCCAGGTACCATCAAGGGCGTGCCTGCTGCTATTGTTGAGGCGGTTCGTATGAAGGAGACTGACGAGGAGCTCGTCAACCGATTTGGACAGCACAAGTGGTCAAATGAGGATCTTGATCCTGTCAAGTGAGTCCGGATTGGTCTATTCCTAAGCCCTGTTCTCTTTACTAATTTCTTCCCAGACCAGAGCGACGAAACTGGTCGTGAGTTTCGTCCATTGTGCAACGATTCTTCGCAGTTTTAACATATTTCTAGAACATGGACTTTCTTCTCATACTGGATTGGTGAAAGTTGGGGTACGTTCACGTCATCTTGCCCCGCGCCCCAAATACAATTCTGACTATCTCCATTCAGGTGCTTCAACATGGAGTGTTGGGTCATCTATGGTTGCAGGCGGCCTCGTCTGGTATGATGCAATGATTGCAATTATCATTGGACATCTGATTGGTAGTGTGTTGACCGTATGGAACGGCCGAGGAGGAAGTATTTACCACATTGGCGTACACGACCCGGCATTCCATGTAGCGTCCTAGAGCTGACATATAATTCAGTTCCCCGTTTGGATTCGAGCGACATTCGGTCCCTGGGGTGGTCTTGTCCCCGTTGGTATCCGTTGCGTGCTCGATATGGTGTGGTTTGGAATCCAGACATACTTCGGTGCTTTGTTCCTCGACATCGTGTTTCAATGCGTCTTCGGGTAAGATCCCCATTTCCAAAGAGGACTGCAATGCCTCATCCCAGCTTCATCCCTTCGAGTTGTAAATGTGCTGACAATCCACTAGGCACTCCTGGACCAACATTCACAACTCACTTCCTGAATCTTCTGGGACCACAACGAGATTTGTAAGTGTATTCATCCCCTGTGGTGGCCCTGCTTGCTGACGTTTGTGCAGATGGTTGCATATTTCCTCTACTGGTGCTTCCAATTCGGCTCCTGCTTCTTCAGACCCGATCAACTGAAATGGCTCCTCACATTGAAGGCTTTCACCATTCCATTTGCCTGCCTTGGTCTCTTCATCTGGTCCCTCGCCAGATCTGGTGGACCCGGTTCTTTCAAATCTCTTGCCGTAACAACGAAATCCACTGCAAGCCATCAAGAAGTCGTCGCATGGGGCATTGTAGCTGCTATCAACAATGCCATCAACGGAGAGTTTGGCCCTCTGATTGCCTCTGAACGTGAGTTTCCCATCACAGCACGCCACGTTACAGTACTGACTTCATGACCAGCGGATATCACTCGCTATTCCAGAAGACCCAGAGACCAAATAGTTGGTCAACTTCTCGCAGCTCCCTGGTCTGCCAGTTTCACAGCAACGATGGGTATAATTGCCGCCTCCTGCACTGGCAGGATCTGGGGCACAGCCATCTGGAACCCGGCTGGTATCCTAGATGCAATCTTGGCCGAGAACAATGACCCTAAAACCAAGTTTGCTGTCTTCCTCGGTACATCCATGTCTCCCTCTTTTATAATTTAATATAGACTAACAAGTCAGTGGCCTTCATCTTCATGGTCGGCCAAGTCGGCACTAATTTTATCGCAAATTTGATCCCCTTCGGCGTCGATTCCACCGCAATGGCACCCCGCTACATCAATATCGTCCGCGGGCAAATCATCTGCTGCTTCATCGGCGGCTGGTGCATGGTGCCGTGGAAGGTTCTCGTTTCTGGCGCCGTCTTCCTCTCCTGCATCACCGGAATGGGTATTTTCATGGGATGTCTCGTCGGCATCATGCTCTCAGACTACTTCTTCATCCGAAAGGGGAACTACTTCGTCGAAGATCTCTACACCTCCGATCCCAACGGACGGTACTGGTACCTCCACGGCTGGCATTGGAGAGCATATGTTGCTTATATTTGCGGTATCTTCTTGCCGTTCCCGGGATTCCTTGGGACGCTCGGGGTGAAGAGTCTTGCTGCTCCTTTGGGGCCGGCGATGAAACTTTACAATATCGGGTATCTGACAAGCACGTTTACCGGTATGGCTGTGTATACTGTGCTGTGCAAGATTAGCCCGCCGGATAACGTTGCTGAGGCGAGGACGATGCCGTTTGAGACGATGGGACAGAAGGAGGTCCTTCATGGGTTGCATGGAAGACGTAGTGATAGCGAGGAGGTTGAGGAGGTTGTGGTCGATGAGGAGAAGAAGGTTTAGATTGGTGGGTTAGACTTATAAATTGATAGACTTTGTGCGTGCTTTGCTGGTTGAAGTCCGGCCAGGAGATGTATTCGTTGATAATAGACAATAATAGTATTGCAATAGTCCAAGACTCAAGAAACTTGATCAAAAATACTCACTCATTTATCGAAAGGCTTTTCCAAGCTCTGTTGCTTTAAATTGAAATGCAATTTTTACTCATACAAGATTGACTTTTTCTATACACACCTCTTTCTCTAGCTTAAATTACAACACGTTACAACTCCTTCCTCGTTGTCGCACCTTTCGCGCTTTGTGGTGATACTTGGGGATGGCATGTCGAAGTGGGAAGTAGAAGGCGGGGTAGAAGGAGAGAGTAATTGAGGGATGGAAAGGGAATTCAGCTTGCTCTTATATAAGCAGGCGGCCTTGGAAGGTTATAGTAACAAGGTAAGTTGCCGATATCATGCTCCATATCAAGAAAGAATCTTTTGAAGAGTTTCGGGCTTCGGGTGCAACAAGCTCTGTTGACCGGGGTGATAATGTAATGCCCGTGCGGAGCCCATGCTTATTCGGCCGAGTACGGAGATATCTTTAATGGCTTGCTCTATGCATGCGTAGAGCATTCGGACAGTCGGGTAGGAGAAGAATATCACGTGATCTACCTCGTGTACAGGAGGGCTAGAAAGGAAGACCGTTTGATAGAGGGCAATTTGTAAGACTACTTATTGATGTGACCCAACAGACCGCAATACGCTTCTCCCCACCCTGATGAGAAAGGAAATTTTTCTTGTGACTTTTCGTCAACCTGTCACTTGCAGATACTCTCCCCCTTTCCCGCTCGTTATGAAACATTCAATTTATTCAAGGAGTACTGACTCACGATTATTCCGGGAAGCCAATCTCTTCTTATTCCGACTCAGCAGTATCAGACTCAACGCCAAACTCATCCGAATTAATATCATCCCACTTGACCATGTCTACTGGCTGTGTGGTGGGCTCTCGTTGCCGTGTTGATCGTCGAATCCAACTATCATCAATTCCCATTCCTTCTTCCCCAATACTAGTCACAGTGGAAGGAGTGGAGAACATTCGAGCTCTCTTCGGGGACGGTGGAAGATCATCGTAGATATCATAGTCATCGTAGACGGGAGACGGCTTTCGTGGTGGGAGAGGAGTCTTCGCTTTGGGAACATATGCTTTCCGTGGAACCAGTGCTTGTGGATCCGCGATAGGTGGATTCTGGCTTCCAGAATAATTCTGAGCTGGGGCACTCTGAGTTGCCTGCTAGACAGAATCTCAGTAATGCGGCGAGAATTGGGGACTGCATTCGACTCACTGGTCTCAAACCCGTCTTTGGATTGCTCGCAATTCTGGGCAAACCCACCTGGCGTGTCCGGTCCAGCGATTGTCTGCCCAACGCCAATAATGCTTTATGCTCCTTGATCAAGTGTTTGTTGGTTTCCTTTTGGACTTGCTTAAGATCATCATCATACCACCAAGTTGGGCGTCCGTATTCACAAATAAGACCTAGACTGGCGCACTCATTGCATTTAGGCGTTAGGATATCACACTTCACATTTCTGAACTTGCAAGTCCAGCACCCTTCAAGGAAGTTCAGCGAAGGTTTAGCTGATTTGAAGGAGCTAGCTTACCTCCATTATTTCTGGGGGCACCGATGCTGTATTCGGCGTTGCCTTCGATGCTTTGTCTCTGGCTGGGTCGCACAGTCCTCAATGGACTGTGAGATTGCTGTCGATATTGGGAGAAATCCCATTGAGCAGACAATAGGTCGTGTCTGAAAGATGACGAAGGGGCGGAAGTGTGGTTACCATGAGGAGCCTGGTCTACTACAATCGTTGAGGCAATTCGCGAGGAAGACTCCACGTGAAGTGCCTGGTTAGCCAGAGAGTGTGCCGTTGAGGGATCCTTCGCCCCCTTGTCGTGTTGATGTGCCCTACGAGATTCTCCGTCTTCGTTGCCAGCCTAAGAAAGGTCGGAGTTAGCGTGGAATAAAGAGAAATTAGTGACTCGAGACACCTGCAATGGAATACTAAGTGTGAAATTATACGAGAAGTAATCGGGGGCAGGGGTGAATTGAAAGGTGCATCAACTTCCAGAATAGTGAAACGAAAGGCGTCTATTGTGCCAAAGGGAAGAGAGAGGGGAAGAGCGTGGATATACCACGATACATGACATATTCAAAATAGGGATAGTAAGCTCCAGAATTTTCATACCTCTTTCCTCATACCCGGTCCAAGATCGTAGCTCGCAGCAAGATTTCGGGAGATCTCTTGAGGAGTAAAGAGGGCTTGGCACTCATCAGCTTCAGACAGGAGAATTTGCTGTACTCTTCCTTTGGTCTTGGCTGGTTTCGTCCACGACCAGGTCTTGACCCAGTACTTTGTCCCGACTTCCCGCATCTGCATTTGAATTGCGTAACGAAGGACTCTGAATGGTTTGTTTTTTGAACGATCACACGAGATTTCCAAAGTGTTGAGGTTAATACCGATCTTTTCGGGATCCCATGTGAGTTTCTCGGAGTTTTCTGGTTGTGGGACTGCATTTCGAAATTAGCTGATGTCAGTTCAAGCTTGATTAGAAAGACTTGCTGGGATTTCCATCCATAGTAACCCATGTTTCGTCCTTTAATTGAAATAAGAGCTCCTGGTTAACAGGAGGAATATGGTTGAACGTGAGCATGGTCTCACTGAATGTAAGATCTTCTTCGCTGAGGTCGAAGAAGCGTTTCCTTGCGTCCTTAAAGGAAGCCTCAGATGCAACCTCATACATATCATTGGCATGTTTGATCTTGGCTTCGGTTCCCTAAGTGGTCGTTAGCCTCATACAGCACGTAAATGTATGGTCTTGAAGACACCTGTTTGGCAAGCCACTGCGCGGCGAAGCACCACTGCTCTCCCAGGAATTTATCCTTTTTGATATACAAATCTTCAAAGATTGGAGACCTTTTAATCGCATCAGTGACTTCAACGAAGGTGGTGACGGCTTTGCTTCGCAGGATAGGTCTTCTGATAATAAATGGTGCACAGGTTCTGACGAGAACGGCGCCTTGGGCTACATGGCCTTTACTATAGCAAGTCAGTACCTCACACTCTACAGCACTGACGCAAACTGACTCTTTGGAAAGTTGGCATATTTTGAATGTGTTGAAATGCTTATCCACAGCCTTTTGCACATAGGGACTCGCGAAGAGTCCACCTCCTAGAACGAGAAACTAATCAATGTCAGCAAAAGAGGCGGGTTGGGCAGGGTGAATGACTTACGTGGACAGGAAGCCCCCGCTTTAAGTGGCGGTCCATTGCCTTGAACAACTTTGCAATGCACGTATCGAAACATTCTGCTATTTCTTGGCTTGAAGTAATAAATGTCAGAATGAGCCAATTGCAAATTGGCTGGGAGCCTACCGCGAGAGCTCGCACACGAGGTTTGACACTTCAAAGTTGTATGTTTGTTCGTCATCTGCTCCGAATCTGCGTTTAAAATAGTCATCAAATTGCCGCCGAAACTGATCGAGAACCCAAACTCGATTTGGAACGTCAAGCGCGATTTTTCTCCCAATCTTTTCTTCTACGAGATTGGAAATCGATTCAGCGCCGCAAACAAAGCCTGTTCAGCCATCTGAGTTTAGGCTTGCAATGTGATCAATGTGGGCTTACTTTCGCTCTCGTATTCTTGTTCAAATCCAAGTGATGGTTCGAGCCTTTCAAGTCGGAATCGGACGATACACTTCCCGAGTTAGACGAGCATATTTCGAACAAGGTATACGTACACAAGTTCCACCGCCTCCGTCCACAACCATGTATCTCCCTCCAACCTTCTTCATATGTTCTTAGTGTCATGGACCATCATAGTTCCTAGAGAAGAGGCGCCCACCTTGAAATCTTGAGGATCGGCCCCACTCTGTATCCAAGATCGAAACATTGCCTCTGGTTCCGAGACCAGGAAGACTTGGCCTTTCCCGATAGGCTCCTGTATGAAGGCCTCATGGACTTGATCATGAGCGAGCACCTGAACGGTTTTGAGTTAGTATTTTGCCGATCCTCAATTGGGAAATCTGGATGTTTTGGAATTTGCGTAACTTTTGGAAAGAACAGGACCTGAATGTTCAACAGCTTGCGAGACATTCAAACGGGGAAATATAAACTCGAAAACATGCATACTGAGCGTCCGGGGGGGACCGTAACAACTATTTCAACGTCCTTCTTATCAAAGCAACCGATGGACTCTTTCAAAGAATAACGGCCGTCGTCTTGGACAATAAACATGTCTTCGTAGATCAGTTTAACCCAGTCCTGAAGAAGGTCCAAACGGGTTTTGCCTAAGAGATCCAATTTCCAGGATAAATCGTCTTGAATTTCCCTGATTGTCGCGTCGTTCTGGTCATCGTGAAAGAGGAGTTTCCACTGTCGAAAGTGCTTATTCATATCAAAACGCCTGGATGTTGGAGTACTCTTGAAAGCCATTTCGAGTTTATTACCGGTCTTTGGTAATCCTTCGGAGTTGTAGAGAATGGCAGTGATCGGCCACTTGGAGCCGGCTTCGTAAGAATCAGTCCAGCAAGTATAGAGTTTGACCCCGGCTGGCGGGTGGTTGTGATCCTCGACGAGTAGTCGCTGACCGGTAGCCAGACAGCACCTAGTAGTTGCTAGGTCAATAGAAATGATGATTTTGCTCGGGCTGTTCGAAAATCGTTGGACTGTTTGAAGATAAATAAGCAAAACAATCGGACGGAACGAGGCGAAAAGCAAACGGACCCTGAGCAACATCAAAAGAAGACCCTCGGAATATTGGAAGAGACATGTTTGAGATAAAGCTGGCAATGGGGAACAATAGCAAGGTTTAAGAGCTCGAACAGTTCGGTGATGTGGTAGAGAGTACGCAGTGGGAAGAGAAGCTGCTTGAGGACTGTCAGAGTGCAACTGTCAAGAGGCGGCTTGGGCTCGTTGCAAGATTCGGAGCACTGACAAAGAGCAATCGGATCGGCTCTGCTTCTTCCAAACAAGAAATAGCTCTAGTTGCCTAACGCGACCGTGGCCACCAATCAACCCTTCTTGCCCCATAGTTATAGCGGCAGGATGTGTTGGAAACGACTGTGGCTGGCTTCAGGGCCTTTCCGATTGGATCTCGCTGTGGCATCTGTGTAACCCTCCAAAAACTGACCATACTGATCGATTGCCTTACAGCCTCCGGAAAGGGCATATTCTGCGAGACGAACTGGTTCGCAAAAGAAAGGAAGAGGCTGGGCCGTGTCGGGGTCAGAGCCATGCCCCTCCAAATCTGACCACTTTGAGCGATTTGTCCATTTTATGCTACATATAAGTATTTGTCCCACGATGAAGACTCCGCCTAATACCACAACACGATCGCAGAAGCTCAATTTGGCACCCGAGCCTTTGTTTGATGGTCCCCTCTCCTTCCCCAGAAACAAAATGGCGAAGCTCAGTTCCAAGGAGTTAACAAAGAGCGCTCACGCGAGCGAGGACATCACTCAACCTCTCGACAAGCAGGTTGAGGGCAAGCAAATTCACGACTCCGACGATTCAAGCCTGAGTAGTATCATGTCGACGCAATTCACCTCCGAGAAAGAAAGGCTTTCGCACCAGCCTCAGCAAGCAAATCAAGACAACACTGAATCGCAGTTGCTTCCCAACGATCCATCTGATGAAGAGTTATTCCGTACATTCTGCCAGAAATGGAATGATCGTCATATTTTTCTACCGAAGGTCTTCGATAAGCAAGGTCGTTTGCTTGTAGCATGTACTCATTTACAACCCAAGATTGACGCTGCCAAAAAACAGCGGAAACGCCAGGCCGCGGCGAACAAGCAGCTGGCTCGCTCACTGTTGGAAGCTCCGATCGGGGTCCCAGCCAGTTTTAATGTCCAAGCAGCATCGCAGGCAAACATCGAGCCCATGATACAGATGAGTACTGAAGAGCCTCGAATGTTATCTCAACCTGGTGTCCACCCGGCCGAGACCCTGGCTCTTCACGGCTCTCCATTTCAAGCCAGCAAAGGCTTGCCACCAATTGGGACATTGTCAACTCCGAGCACGAAGAAGATTTCCGATTTGAAGGCCTATGGCCGAGGTCGTAAACAGACCTCCGAAACACACCCAAAGAAAGCACAAGACGGCGCAGGATATAACCGCACCGGACGGAGCCTACGATCTGGTCTGCCTTCAAGACCATCCGAATATCAGGAAGCCTTCCAATCTTTACCGACAAGCAACCTCACAGCAGACCGGCGCAATGGCCAGCAACTTCTACCCCCCGTTTCAAAGGAGCTATCTTTTCTACCAGGCACTTCGTCTTCAACCTCGCCCGAGGAAAATAACGGAGCACAAATCCAGATATCTACCCCACCACAACCATCCCAAACAGAATGCCTGCTCCCATCTCCATCTGTTCGCGAACAAGCGGCGGCTGCGCGAGGTGTCCAAGACAAGATCCAGCAGCAACGGTCCCAGAGTTCCCAGTTGTGCAGCACCTGTCGCAAGAACAGTTGTTCCTGCACACCAACCCAACAACCGCCCGAGGAGATATTGTGTAGCGACAATGACTGCTTCAGGAGGAGGTGGGGAGCCGGTGACCTCTTGAGATTCTGCGGGATCAGGCTCTGCGATGCGCAAGAGACCAAGGGAAGATTCAATTGCTGGTTTTGCCCTGAGTGCGCGAACAAAGCTCGAGTTCTCCTCGAAGTTGGACCGACAAGTTCTTCGTCCTTCTCATCCTCCCATAATGCAACGATCATTGTCCCAGGAGGACCTGGAAATTCGGTTTCCGACCATGGTGCATGGCCTGAGGATGCAGAAATTCGGGAGCCATTGCAGGCCCTCACCGGAATTATGCAACAGTACACAGGGACCACTACCATGGCCCGCAACCAGTTGTCTCTGATAAATCCACAAACACCCATTCTTGATATTCCGTGCATCCGTGACGAGACTTTGCACTCAAATGGGACGGCCAACAATGCGATAAACATCCTACGCCAGCTACTGGATGTCTCGGAGGGAGTTCTGATCAAGCAGAAGGTAACAGAAGCAAATCTACAAGATACGACTTCCTCGGTTTGGATCCGCAGCATTCTTTCATTCCTCGTCACCAAGTTCGTTTTCTACTCTGGTTCGCCATTCGAGGATGCCACGCTCTGGAACAAGATCCTGACTACTTGTAAGCACTTCAATGTTCTGAATCATGTCGGAGCAACCATGATTCCATGCCTCGCTAACGCCTGCGAAGTCGGCCACACTTCCGAACATGCAGAAAACATCATACATGAGTACCGAATCCGACTTATGAAAGCATTCGAGGCATCCCCCGAGGATCCTGATATACCGCCAGAATTCCGAGATCGCTTGTCCGAGCGACGCCGAGCTTTCGTCGCGTTGCTCAACGTCACCATGCTGCCGCTTGTAGGTGGCAACACTGACGTCCAAGCACGCCATAGGAAGATGGCGAGCGTTGCCTCGGAGCTGAATTTGAAAGTTTTCGCGTACAAAGGCACATTCGAAGAAATCAGACCGCAGATGAACGAACAGTTCGATCCCCAGCGCCACGCAGAGGATACTCTAGAGCCCGGGTTTCTAGACTTGGCGGGACAGGCCATTCTCATGACCACGATGATGGGTGTCAGATTCAGGCATCCGGAGAAGGGTTGGAGGACGTGTTCTCCTGCGAAAGTAAAGGTATGGTCGGTCAACGATGCTTTGCGAGATCCCTACGCGAGAGTTAGATTGCCTGATATGGCTTGCGGAAATTCTCCGAAGCAGAAGACTCGAATCATACCACAGAAGCGCCGTGTCGGGGAGGTGAGCTGAGCTTGAACAATAACATAGGATGTCCACCGGTAGTACTCAATTATGAGCAGATCAAGCATTTCCTTCAATCTCAGAAATCGGTCAGTGTTTCATTCGCACCCAGCGGTCTGCGTTTTCATCGGCCACCCGTGCCAACCCCATTCATACAACAAAATACCATAGCTCCATCCCCGGATAAAATTCAACATTCTCCAGCTCCAGGTGGGGGGCCTCTCACATGTGACATTTGAACGAACTCGCTTCCCCACTGGATACATTCGGGCCGACTTCTCTGTCGATCCTGATTGATCTAAAATAAAGAGACTTTCCACCATCTTCATCTCCAGCTCCACGTCTCACAAATGACATGTGAACAAACTTGGATGTCCCCCAATCCCACCTTTTCAGCACCTCTCCGTTTCCACAATTCAACACCCTCGATCCACCCCGCGAACGACATCTCCTTCGCAACGTGAGACCACGCTGCAAATAGAAAACAAACACGAAAGCTTCAAGCAAACAAAGCACCATCCAGGAGAGTATAATCAAAAGAAAAAAGTAAAACCCTTAACGCAAAACAGCAAAAGAAACGGAAATGGTCTCGTCAAGAAAGGGAGGTCTTCAAAGTTTAAACAGCTGTATACACAACTAGTGACACAACACTGGAATCAAACGGCTTGCAGCCATGCATTGGTCGTTCATCTCATCTCTGCCATGCAATGTATGCAAGCAACTACTCAATAGATACACCATCCAATCTCCCTCTTCTGCCTCTATCTGCTCATCCTATCCACGTCCCCGTTCCTCTCAATCAATATCCATCCATGACCATCCGCCGACTATCCAGTGAGGATGTAATCTCTCCCCTCAAACCAAGCACGCAAGCAAGCAGGAAACGGGGGTATATACAAACGCATGCATGCCATCACAAACCCGGCGCCTATCCTGACTCCCTCCTGATTGATAATTCAATCCAGGGTAAAAGCCGAGCCAGGCCAAATCCTATATCACAAGACCGCGCCGATCCAATGAAACCAACCGGTGATCGAGCCAATGCCATGCCATGCCATTCCCCATATCACATCAATTCGCTCATCCCCAACCCAATCCTGTAACGCCGAAAGCAGACCGAACCCTCCCAAATGTAGTAAATCAACAAGCAGAAAGGAAGAGAAAGGAAAAAACATTGTGGATCTAGACAAGAATGTGAAGTTTGGTCAAATTTGTAGAGGAAAGCATGCAAGCAGACGAAACGCCGATGAATATGCTTCGCAATCATGCATTGCCGTTACCGCTGGCTGGAATCCGGCCCAGCTTCCCTGGGCAGTATCTCAAGGCCAAGCTTGCTGTCTGAAGCCGTCAGTCGTTAATTCCAATGAAGGAGGTTTTATCTAATGGGGTGGCGTATTCGCCACAGTGGGAGTTGTGCCACCGCTGTATGTGATGCTTGCGGGACGAGGAGACGAAGGCGGGAGAGACTGGTGTTTTGCGATAATGGCCATCTTCTTTCTGAGGGTCGAGAGGCGGGTACGGATCATTGAGACAACTGGAATGCATTAGATGTGGATTTTGAGAAAAGCCGATCCATATGACAACGAGATTGGAGTAAATGATTTGAAGAAAAAAATGGCAATATACCTTTCAATACCGCCTGCCGATCATCAAGATTGATGCCATTAACCATTCCCTCTTCGGGTCTCTGTTCCTTCTCATCTCTGAGACTTGACGATCGATTTCGCCTAGTTGGCGTTTCGTCGTCGTTCTCTAGAACTGCTTCCAACATGCGGATGGCTGTGATATATGAGATCTCACAACCTGGGAGATCCTCGTTGGCAATCTCATTGATCGCAGCAGAACGGCTCATCTCCAAAGCCCGGTCGTACATCAACTTCTCGGCTGTGATGCCTGAGCTCAAGACCACGCCGTCTGTCGATGAAGCGCCTGCTACTCTGGAGGCACTCGTGTGGTTGCTAGGATGTCCCGGGTGATCTTCAGGCAACTTCTTTTGGGCATCAATGAGCTTCAGTCTCACGAGCTCAGCCTTTTCCAAGACTTCGTTGAAGCGGTTTCGGACCCATTGTACCGCACTGTTGATCCGATTTCCCGCAGCGACGCTGGTAGTCGATTCTAGTCTTGGTGCATGTCCGCTGGTGATCTCGCCGCGGCTTCGACGGCTCCACCAGGCTCCAGCAATATCCATAGATTTAGCCAAGAGCGACAGTGCTTTCACGTATAAAACGAGAGCCTCTTCGGAAAGAGCTACTATAGCTTCCACGGTGAGTCCTTCGTCTTCGTGAATCGAATCCCCCGGTTTGTCGGGAGTTGGACCTCCGAGACCATGATCCATAGAAGGTGCTAAAGGAATGAGTTGTTTGTACTTCACTTCTGCAAATCCGTATACAACATCGCTCCGAGTGGCTGATTCTTCAATCACGTTGACAGCTCTTTGATCTTCATCGATTGGGCCGCTAGGCCGTCCGTCTCCAAGAAGTCCAGCTGTTCCGTGAGGAGTAGGGTAAGCGGGGAATGGAGCATACAAAGGCGGTGAGCTGCCATTGCCCTTGCCAATCAACTGCGGTGACCAATTGACACCAAACATCCTGACGCTTGCACCCTGAAGCGCCTTTGCAATTGCCGAAGTTGTCGAAGGACTTCCATAGGATCTGCCAAATGAGTTCTGTCGATGCGGTACCACATCAATTCGGGGTCTGCCCTGTGCAATCTGGACGGCTCTTGAGGGTGATGCTGGAACGGCTCCTGTTCCGGAAGTTGGCGTTCCTTGAGTTGTCGCTCTTCTCGCCATAGTTCCTGATCGAGCAGCGGGTTGCTTCGGAGAGTGTAGCCTAGGGTTTGCTGCCATTTCATCCGCGAAAGCATTCACTTCAACGGCTCGTTTCTCAACCAAAACGTATTCACGTGCATCTCGCACTGCCTGTTCGGCCTCTGCAATAGCTTCCCGAGTTTGTGAATCATCAACTGGCTTTTCTTCCGGTTTTGGAACATCATCCACAGAAGATTGACGTGATGGCGTTCGTCTCGCATCTCTCGACACTGGATTGAAAGTTCGGGTCGGGGTTCTGCCTGCTTGGATCATCTCAGCATTTGGAGCTGTGGCTGACGGCACTATTGACGGCCGTCTTTGCTGTTGTCGAGACTCCGGCCGGGGCTGGGGAGCCGCACGAGGCGGGGTTCCTGCAAGCTGTCTGACCGGGTCAACACCTTGCGGTCTGGGTGATGGGGGCAAAGGTCGCTCTCGCGGAGATGACGAGAAAGCTTGTGACTCAGTCTTCCCTCCCTCTCTGCGTTGACTCCTGCTTGAAGATGTCCGAACCATTGGCGTATCTTCTGATTTCGAAGACTGTCGAAGTTCCTTCGGTCTGTCTTCTCCTACTAAGCCGGGGATCGCGTCGACAATAACTGGATGCTTGAAAAAATCTTTAAAGGGTAACCTTTCGACAGGTGTTCGTTTCAACAAAGACTTTATAATATCCCTCATATCTGGACTGATGATTGCATCCTTGGGAAATTTGATGTGATCCTCCGCTTGCTCAATCTTGCGTAGCAATTCTACGTGATTGGTAGCACGGAACGGTGGCCTCCCAGTCATCATCTCAAACAGCACTGTCCCAACAGACCACAGATCCGCTTTGGCATCGTACTTTTCGTATCGTAGTATTTCCGGGGCCATGTAAAGCGGGGAACCGCACAATGTCTCGGCCAACGACGTCGATGGTAGCGATCGAGCAAAGCCAAAATCCGCGATCTTGAGCATTGGTAATGAGGTCAAGCCCACCATCGGAACCATTGCCTCATCACTCGCACTCATGACGAGCGGTCTGTCTCTAGACTTTGCCAAGAATTGTGGCGACGGGAGCAAAAGTAAGTTTTGAGGCTTGACGTCTCGATGGATGAAATTTCGCTCCCTCAAGAATTCCATAGCGCTCGCGAGTTGCTTCAGGAAATGTCGAACGATGACCTCGTTTAGGCCCCCAGCTACCGGCATGGGATATTTCCTGACCATATCTCTGAGTGCTGGATTATCTTGCAGCTTGTCCCGCTTCTTGATGAAATATGAAAGATCCCCAAGCTCGCAGTATTCCATCACCAAATGTATATGAGTCACCGATTCTCGACAGTCGATGAGGGCAACGATGTGTGGGTGATGGAGGCCTTTGAGGATCTCGATTTCAGAGTAGAGGTTCTCCTTCAGTTTCTTGTTGAGCTTCGAGAGATTGACAGATTTGATTGCTACGAGAGCTCCGGTAGCCTGAAAATGTAGCAATTAGAACTGATCATTCACGAGAATCTGCCATGATAACAGAAGATCATCGGAGATAGAATCGAAGGGGGAAAGCAGGGGTTGGCCGTCACGCAACCAGGCCGCTAGCTATCGTACCTTGTGCTGTCCTCTGTAGACAGTTGCAAAGCTTCCCTTGCCGATCTCATCTTCGATGCTGAAGGAACCGACCACTTTGTCACCCGTCCTCGATCGCCTGGAAGCAGACGATGAGGACGGGGGCGGTTGAGCCGCCATGGCAGCGGGTTCGGGCCCTTGACGAGTCCTGGGCTTGCCTCGAAGAGTTGAGCTCGAGTGCTACCGTGTAAAATGGGGATATAAGCTCGAAGTAAGTTCGTTCGTCATGTACACTCGTCGATGAAGAGAGATCGAAGCTTGGAGTTGTTGTGTTGTAAGAGGGTGTTGGTAGGCAGCGGTAGCGAGAGGATGAATGGTCAGGTCAGGTCACCTTGGAAAAAGAAAGACTCGCGATCGTGAATGGCCGAAGGTTGGAAAATAAAAGTGCCTGAACTCGTGGCTGCTAGGCAGAGCTCCGGGGGTGGCGGCTCACGTTGGTCAAGCAGGTCGACAAGGTGCCAGTTGCATGGCGAGGCTGCACCTGGTTGCAGCTTAACGAATGGGTGGGACTAAGGTACCGACCGAGTGTGCAAGTTAATGAAACTCGATGGGTCCGCGAAGCACGATGCAAATGGCGTGCAGAGGTGTTTGGGGATTGAGTCGGGAGTGAAAGGGAGAGGAAATGATGTTGGATGGGAGATGAGAGATGGGAGGCGGTAGATGGGAGTTGGGGACGTAGACTCACACCTGACTCCAACTCACTCCGAAGCTGGTCCTACGGCAGGCGCCAGCCACCTTTAGAGCAGAAGGACCGATGAGCGCTACGATAACAAAACGCTTACAGACGTAGAGTAGATAACCCGGCAGCCGTCTCGCGTGCTGGAGCGCGCTTGTTGGCCGTCAGGACTCAGGAGGTGTGACGAGGAGCAGCACCGTGAGCCGTGGAGAGTGGAGAGTGGAGTGTGGAGAGTTCTTGCACCACCGCTGGGCCTTTCCACGCTCCTGCGTTGATGGTCCTACGATACAGTACTGCCTGAGATACCTTGCAAGCTGCTACACGACGCTCCGTCTTGCATCTTTCTCAAGTCGTGTGAGGTGATACCAGCTGATCGCCCAGAGGCTGCCAGAGGCTGCCAAAGCCCCTCATGTCATCATCCAGTCTCCGGATTGCACAGTAATCCGCAACCCTCTGCCTTGAATGGCTTCGACAATACATTCGCCTCCTGCCCTCTTCCGAGTTCGGTAGTCCGTGCCGGCTCTCTCACTGAGCTCATCCACCTTCTTGTAACTCGGTGTGCTGCCTCGCCAGGGCCATTTCGTCAAAGGCGGACATGCAACACGCTTGCGGGTGATAGGAGGGAGACCTGGAGCTTGTGACTGACCCCGTAGTTCGACGTGACCTCTCTCAGTCAATTAACCAGTACCGGCCTCCTCATGCACGGCACCAAAAGCACTCCCCATCCATCTCCCGATTCCCCGATTCGATCCCACAAGCTGCCTCTTGCTCCTCGTTTCAGGGATTGAGATGTACGTACGTGGCAGATCCCCATCCCCAACTTGGCCTGCGGGCAACCTCTCGAGATGCCTCGATTGTGCATTGAGCTGCATTTCCGTGGTCCCTCACTTCAGGGTCCTGGCCTGCAGGTCATACGGCCTTGGACGAAACGATGCCAGCACGTGATCTAGTTCGGTGCACGGTTGTACTTGGTCTAGACCTGAGATAGACTGCAGGGCCGTTGAAGGTGTTACGAGATCTTCAAAGAGAGAGGCCCCGACCCTATGTGTTTCTTTGTTCTCTTCTTCAAGATTGCCGGTGTCGGTATCTACTCCAGACCACGTGATTAGTTGTTTTTATCCGTCGATCTGAAGAGCACAGATATGAAAGCGGGTCTGTGCTGACAACATGCGTGCTGAGGTGTTCGATTGGGTTTGAGAGAAGCCTTCGATGCAAGCTAGAGTGTGAAGAGTGGACGTTCCATTTTCTCGGTAAATTGGGTATTCCGGGGACTTTCGTTCATGCTCCACAAGGTTTCGTTTGGTTGGGAAGTTGAGATCTAGGCACGAGAGTATGCCTCTCAAGAGTCTGCTTCGTCTGAGATACAGTTCTATTAACCTGATGTCGTGCACACTCATCACACGTGATTTTGTAGCTGTCACGTGATATAAATTACAAACCCGATCGCTCTCTACGGTGAGCATACTCCGACGTTAATTTGCATTGGGTTGTAGTCAGACTCGCCGTACCCCATATTTTGGATGCCCAATAGTTCTTCGAAGCCCCTTGGAGCTGGAACTTAGGTGCGTTAATCTTCGAACGAGAAGCTGGACATCGAAGGTTATGTGTTTGGAATGTCCAAGAGTAGGTTGGGACATTTACAATCAGGACTTATAAATGTTCAAATTGATCTCAAGAGGGACCAAACTTTTTATAACTAAACATTTATGAGTGGGACCACTTATGTCTAGGTCTGTGGTCTAAGCATCCAAAATATCACCAGACCAGATTCTCTTGGAACCAATCTGTACTGCACATTCTTGGCCCATGTATCCCAAAACCTACGCCAAAACGGTTCAATCTGGAAAACAGATCCTGCCGCCTAAGCCGGGGTATCGTCTTTTAAATATCCAATCCGATATGAACGCCTTTTTCACTCTGGGGGATAATGTCATCTTGCTTCTCGCCCTTCAGATCTGGTAACTCGATAATTGCCTCTCCAATGATTCTCAAACATTGCCTGATTTGCTCCTCGCTGATAACCAAAGGAGGTGCCAATCTGATAATGTTTTCGTGAGTGGGTTTAGCCTATTTAGTGTTAGCGGTATCCTTCTCGATGTTGAAGACAAACATACCAGTAAACCCTTGCTCTTCAACAGCATACACAAATCCCAAGCAGAATGACCGCCAGTCTTGGTCTCATCAATGACAATAGCATTAAGCAAGCCCTTTCCTCGGACCAACTTGATCATGGGGGATTTCAGGTCCTCTAGACCTTGGCGCAAGACCTGGCCCAAGGTCTCAGCGCGGGCTGTCAGATCCTCCTCCTCCATGATTTCCAATGCACGGATAGAGACTGCGCAGCCCAAAGGATTGCCACCATATGTCGAGCCATGAGTTCCAGGCTCAATGGTGAGCATGATCTCCTTGGATCCCAAAACACAAGAGACGGGGTACATGCCACCAGAAATGGCCTTGCCCAGTGTAACCATATCTGGTTTAATACTTGCCCATTGCGAGCACAACATTTTCCCGGTGCGACCAATTCCTGTTTGGATCTCGTCGCAGATAAGAAGGACATTGTGCTTCTTGCAGAGTTCGTGGACTTTCGTCAAATAGTCGTCTGCTGGAACGACGACACCTGCCTCGCCTTGAATTGGTTCCACGATGAACGCTGCAGCCTCCTTGCCATGTGCCACCAATGCAGCCTCCAGGTCGGGAATATTGTTAAAACGGATCTTTCGGTTTGTAGAAGGGCAGATCGCACCAACGCCTGGGACGTATGGGCCATAGTTGTCGCGGGATTCGGGGTCTGTGGACATGGAGATCGCGGTCATCTGGAATGTCAAGGTCAGCAAAATTTTGTTACAGTACCAGAAGGGAGCATACTGTTCGGCCGTGGAAGTTCTCAGTAACAGCAAACACTAATGCCTTTCCCTGAGGGACACCCTTCACTTTGTATGCCCACTTTCTCGCAATTTTGATCGCCGTCTCGACTGCTTCCGCGCCAGTGTTCATGGGCAGAACCATATCATATCCAAACACGTTCTTGACCTTCTCCGCCCACTTCGGGAAAACATCGTTGTGGAAGGCGCGCGAGGAGAGTGTGAGCCGTTGTGCCTGTTCGCAGAGCGCCTTTACCAGCTCGGGATGGCAATGGCCTTGGTTGACTGCACTGTACGCTGACAAGCAGTCGATGTAGTGCTTTCCCTCTGGGTCCCAGACGCTGCAGCCTTGGGCGCGAGCAAAGACAATCGGGAGAGGATGGTAGTTGTGCGCCGCGTACTTGTGCTCGGCTTCGATTGCGGCACCGGTTGAGGTCGAGTGGTACCTGGATTCTGCAAGGGCGGCAACAGGCTGAAATGATGGAGCGGTGGGTTTGAGTGCGCTGCCATTGGTCTCAACGATTCCGTCTGCGTGGGGTGCCATGGTTGAAGGGAATATTCCTCTAAAATTAAGTTGGTCTCTGGGGGTCGTTTTGGTCTTTTGAAGTCTTTGTGGGTGGTTGGAAGGGAGTGTGAAATATGTGTGAGCGAGGGGTGGAGAGGGAGGCGTCATCCCAGACTTAAGTAGAAAGTGGCCATGAAAACCTTTGGTAGGAACTAGGCCTTTAAGTGCAAGTCCTCGCGATTCTCACTGTATCTATACGCATGACCAAAGTGTTTAGTCAAAGAAAAGGCGGGCAGGGCAAACCTGCCATTAGGGATCAAACTATCATGAGTTTCTCGACGACGACCGCTATGCGCAGGTGCAGGCGAGTGGTGGGGTCCAACGAAAGCCGGCGATATGCACAGCCCTATCAGCCCATCCGATTAGCAGAGCAGAAATGACAGGCGCAGTGATTGGATGAAAAAGTGCACGGAAGCGGGATGAAAACTGGTTGCCTTGTGGCCTTAAACTTGCGGCGGTATTCAAAGTTCGTTTAAGAATCTCAAAACACGTGGGGAGGATCTCATCTTTCCTTCAATGTGTTTATTTTTGCTGCCATAAATTTTCAAAACACGTACTCGCTTCTTCATTTCGCAAAATTGAGCGGCTTGTTAATGGAGTCATATTCAGAATGAGTTCAACTTCAGCATCGCCAGGTGCGAAAAAGATGGCATCAAAGGAGAAAGGGGTTCTGGCACCCCCGAAAGATGAAGCTACCAATCCTCTTGTTCAACGGCAAGCCTCCAGCGACACATGGATGATGCTCCTTGCCTTTCGTTTCACCAACGTTCTCTGTGTAGCAACATTCTTTCAGCCAGATGAATATTTCCAGTCCTTGGAGCCAGCATGGCAAATGGCGTTCGGGTCCCAAAGTGGAGCGTGGATTACATGGGTACGTAGTCGCTCCTTTTGGATGAGGATAGGTTCTGACAATTTCACAGGAATGGCAACATCAACTCCGTTCCTCTTTGCATCCTGTATCTTTTGCAGCTGTGTATTATCTCGCAGACAATTTTATGAGGCTCGTGAGCTGTTTCCCTCAGTTCCGGGCCATGATCTTGTCTATTCTTCCAAATGTGGTTCAGGGAATCTTCGCTGCTACAGGAGATTATTATACGTGGCAATTAGCAGAGAGAATGTATGGGATAGGGAGCAAGTCTACTTTGGCAGTCGTGAGTGGGAGAATGCTCGATGAGGGGAATTTTTGACTGACCTTCACCAGCTCTTGATGACCATGTTCAGTCCGTGGCAATGGTTCTGTTCTACAAGAACCTTTTCCAACTCTGTAGAGATGACATTGACGATCATGGCGCTGTATTATTGGCCTTGGAACATTTCCTCGGACACCATCTTAGGAGCAGGAAGTGACCCTTCTCTCAGAGACTCTGAGGGTCGCCCACTTCACGCCAAGCCATCTGAGTCGGGGGCTTTCGCTACGCCTGGATCTATCAAGCGGTATGTCTTTTCCACAACTGCGAATAGCTTTCTTTACTAATGCCCATAGTCTTCGCATCTCACTCATGCTTGCAGCGACTGCTTGTATCCTTCGCCCTAGTAATGGACTCATCTGGTTCTCCATTCTCATGCCAACTTTGACCCGCTACTTCTCAAAAGATGGTGCAGCTGCTTCAGACTACATCATTCTCCTCAGAGAAGCTATCATCTGCGGTTCTACCGTCATCGCTGTCTCTGCGGCGTCCGATTTCTACTACTATGGCGAATTGACCTTCCCGCCTTACCAATGGCTAAACTTCAACATCAGCCAAGACCTCGCTGTCTTCTACGGCCGCAATGACTGGCATTACTACATTTCCCAAGGACTACCGCTTCTCCTCACCACTTATCTACCCTTCACCTTCGTCGCTCTCTCTCACTCGACTTCATCCTCGACCTCCTCTATTCCCTTCATCCTCACCACCACAGTCCTGATCACCATAACCACACTGTCTCTAATCTCCCACAAAGAAGTCCGCTTCATCTACCCACTCCTCCCCCTCCTCCACATCCTCACCGGACCCACTATCTCCACCTTCTTCACCACCACAAGGACCATCACAACACGCCCACCACCCTTCCCCTCCACCTCAAAAACTTCAGTGATCTCCACCACAGGCCGCAAACCCCTCCTCTACACCCTCCTTTTCCTAAACACCCTCATCGCCTTCTACACAACGCAAATCCACCAACGAGGCCCCCTCTCCGTCACCAAATTCCTGCGCCACGAATACGAAGCGCTCGCTCTCGACAACCACGGCAATCTTCTCTCCTCACCAGAAGCGAACATGTACACCGAGGTCAACAAAACAACCGACTACTCTGACAGCGAAACTTTTGTCGGATTCTTAATGCCGTGTCACAGCACACCCTGGCGCTCACAGCTGGTGTACCCTGGGTTGAAAGCTTGGGCGCTGGGCTGTGAACCGCCACTACATCTTGCTGCACATTCTGTTGAGCGGGAGCAGTATAAGGATGAGGCGGATAGGTTCTATGATGACCCAGTTAAGTTCTTGAAGGGGGAGGTAGGGAAGAGGGAGAGGCCGTGGCCGAGATATATTGTGGGATTTGAGGGGATTGAGGGCGTGTTGAAAGAGTATTATGAAGGGGAGATGAAGGGGCATGTTGTGAAGGAGAGGTGGAGGGGGTTCAGTAGTCAGTGGCATGATGATGAGAGGCGGAAAGGGGACATCGTGGTCTGGGGCTTCGGGGACGGAAGTCAGGAGTGATTGTAGGGTTTGGGTGTGGTTAGCTGGTTGGAGTTGAGGTTTAAGTGTATACTACATAGACAAATTTGTAGATTCATATGCTGTAGATCCTAGCGCTTTCTCACGATCCGGCACCATGCGTTCAAGATTTCTCCAATATTTCCATAACAGATCTGCTCTTATATTAGCGGGAAATGTTGTCGAAAAGCTCCTAGAAGAGAGAAGCTACGGGGTGTTGCTGCACGTCGACCTGAGCTGGGTTGAGTCGAGGTGGGTCAGGTTAATCTTGGGATTATGTTCATCTCTGGACAACAGGGCAAATTCAAAGTCGAAGTCTTTACATTTACCTCATCCTTACAACCTACTTCTCCGGCCGTCTCTATATTTCCCCTTTCATTGTTTTTTTCTACTTCATTTCACTCGCACGGCTGTCGGATTAAAGCAGATATCGGTAATCTGGACTCATATCCTATCCACATGTCAGCACCTAATCTCATCTCCATTCCCAACGAAAAAGTTTGAAACAGAGTAGAACTTACCCCCAACTCCGTCTTCTCATACTCACTCAACCCGATATCCACAGGTGATCTATCCCTCTTCCGATTCGCACTTAGTATTTGTCAATGTATAAGTGGACTTGCCATACCTCAAAAAACCACAAGAAGAATCGAGTAGCTAAAAGACCAGAGTAGTTATGCACCAAACCCTGGCAGACAGTAACGAGTCCAAACATAAACATGCATCCTGAAAGCCAAACGTGGGGCTTGAGTTTCTTCATGAGCACGTTTGACGGGATCTCAAAAGCCACATAAGGGACGAAGAAGATCGTCAACGCGGTATTGTATTCAGTATTGATCAACCCGAGATCTTTGATCAGTCCAAAGGAGCGGGCATTCGCGATATTGACTCGATCGAGGAAGGCAAGGAGGTATAGGATACACAAGAAGGGGATCACGCGCAAATCGATCTTTGCCATGAGCTTTTTCTCCGTGGTATGGGGTGGGCACGCGACATGGAGTTCGTCATATTCGCCTCCGGTGCCATTTGCGCTGTTCGAAATGATATTCGGATCATAGAAGTTATTCGCCTCGTTTTTGACTCCCGGCTCAGCATCGTGGTCTGAAGTGGTAGGAGAGGCCCCAGCGTCGTCTGCGAGTCAATCATTAGGGAAAGGTGGGGTAATTTCGAGTTTTCGACACTCACTCTTTTTGCCAAACCCAAACATCTCGACGTCCCTATCCAATGCGATCTGGATGAGCGCCAGGTGAGTGTTTTGACCTTATATCTCAACTCCCCTCGCTCTGTGGCACGCGCTGACAGCTGGTTCTGCAAGATTATTCACGTAAATAGAAGAAGCTGCAGGAGGAGCTCTTTATTAAGTTACAGGTATATGGGCACTAAACCCCGTAGAATGTGAAGTGCCGATTGGACAGCTGTACGCATGTCCAATTGGAGAAAGAGAGGATGCTGGAGGTAAGACTGAAGACTGTAAGACGACCAACACAACCACACAACCACACAGCCCACACAACAGCACTGGCATGTTTCTTTATGTTGCTAGCCATCCAGTGACGATTATTAAGGCGGTCCAGCTCGGCCATTCGGCTTCGATAACCGAGTGAAAACTTACTAGACAAAGAAGATGGGTTGGCTAACTTGGGCCAAAAGCGTGAAAGTGGGAGAGTTGGAAAACTTTCGGCCCGCATCTCGGGGTGCAAGCTTTAAAGGAGGCAAGTCTCACGAAGATCTTGAGGATCTCGTAACTTCTCTTGGGGCTGACCCGCGCCACGCAGGCTCGTGATTGGAAGCTTGAGCTCACTGTTTTCCGATGGAGATGCGGGGGTAGACCTGGCAAAGCCCGCTTCGGCCGCGGCAGATGCAGCGGAAGAGCGGACACCGAGCCTGGCTTGTGGCATGCCTGGCGGGCCGCGTGAACAATAGGCCGTGTCCCGATAAACGAGTATCGTTTCGCTAGCACTGGATCCACTAACTGAGCGAAGAACTAATGGTTCCAAATGTTACTTTCCGCAAAATTATAAACCGACGATCAAAATCACAGCTACACACCACACCCCCTGTCCAAACATGGCACACCGCCTGCCAAGTGCGCAGCATTCTGCCATGAATCCCCCTCCAGTGACGGGCATTCGGATATTTGCAGGAAGCTGGGAAAATCCGTCGTTTTACAGAGACCACGATACGTTCTTGGGGTGTGGAAATAGAGAAATTTGGCGTTTCCTGGCCAAAGTTGGCACAGTGAATCCTGTCTATGGAGTCCTGCCACCTTCTCATCAATTCTTCCTCAATAATCATCTTGGAATCATCTTACAGTATGAGGAGGGTCAGAATTTCGCAACTGGCTCTAAAACTTCTTGTTGGGTGATAGCCTCAAGGTCGATCAAAATTGAATGCTGTAAGTAGAGAAGGAATCCCACCCGGATGGGCGTCAGGTGACGCAACGTCATGTGGTTTGCTATGTTTCGGAAACTTGAGATACATCGTGCTACCCTCAATCAAGGTTTCACCTTATATTGCCTTTTGAAAAACGGCTAGTAGCGGGCTTTTCTTTCAGTCAAGACTCCAGAAAAGACGCACACTAAAAACATCACGTGACCGTATCCTGAGTTGGAGAAATAATTGTAGTGGAAAGAGCGACAGAGGCCTTGTTGATAAGGGCCGGAAAGGCGCTCTCCTCTCCCAATTTAATTCAGGAGGACAGGTTATTGACCCGCCTGTCCCATCTCCGTTAATTTACCTAGGAATTCTCCAGCTGAGACCGGATGGAGAGCCGCCGAATAACTTCATAAGAGGGTTCAGGTAAATTTTTCTCATTACCAATTATTTGATCACCTTCAAAGGATGCGGCCAAACGGGTTCTTTCCATTCTGTCAGCTAGCTGGTATTCTGCCAATATTCTGCCAACGTTTGTGTCGCAAGAATCCAGGTCGAGATTCAGAAGGTTAGTGGCCAATTCCTGCTACTCTGAGTTCCAGTATACACTTCTCCCAATCTCTATATATCCGCTCTTTCAATCCCATTATTGACGATCTCTTCTCTTGAAGAAAGTCATTTATATTGCGCTCCTTCCTCAGTTGAACATTTCCAGTGCATTCCCATTCCCGAACAGGAAGCTGTGCCCTCATGATGATCTCCTTCTCGTTATCACCTGCAGGACCCCTCTTCCCTGGCCTTGCCTCCACCCCTTTCAATCTTCCACAAGGTAAGCTGTCGCAGAGACATGTTCCCACAGAGCAGACTTAACGTTGCAGAGCTGTCAAAATGCAGAGTGCACAGGCCCCGTCATGGAGGCAACGCTAAATCCGAAGTATTTTTAGACCACACAACCCTTGCAAATTTCCGCAGTCCAGATTCGAATGGATCCGGCTGTCGTTCGACAGAGTGCAGCGGCACAGAATTGCTGCGACTGCCAACCTCCAGACCAGCCTCATCGCCGGAACTACCACAGCACCTCATCGCACGACTCTGCTGCCCTTGACGGCCACGAGCAGCACTTCCACTACACGAACCACTCTCAACACCCCTCCGAAGGCCGTTGAATGCGAGACGCCAGCCCTTTAAGTCAGGTCTCCTTTGGCGGGGTGACCTTTCACCACACGACCACTCCTCGAGATCCTCCCTCGCTGCTACGAGGATGACCTCCCAGGCCCCTTCGAGAAGCCTTTTCATCGATCGCGATACTCCGTTGGATCTGACGACGGTGTTCCGGGATAGTGCCGGCCTGCGGATAGCCAGGTTCATCGTTAGAGAATATCTGAAGGAAGCCGAGAAGCCGAGATTTGCTGGGGACACAACCCCGTCTTTCGCCCAAGACACATTCTGTTCGGTATCCCCTTTACGATTTGACTCCAGCCCAGAAGTTAGGAGGATGTTGGAGGAGAGGCTGGTGTTCCGCGAGTCGGAACCTGTGACATCAGCGCAAGGACACTTTGGAAGAAGCGGGTTCTCTCGAATAAGCGGCGAAGGCTTCGATATGTCCAGAGAATGTGAGGCTCCCGTGGCTGGTGGTGTTGTTGGGCGACGTTGTGTTAGCAAAGGGCCGTACACTGACATCCCTTTCCTAGCAAATTTCGCCAGGGCAGAGCAAAATCACCAGCAAGCGAATTCGTTTGCCGATATTCAGACTACATCCCACATCTCCTACCCACAAAGACCCGCGTACTCCTCCTTCAGAACATCTCAGATCCAATCCGGTCCCTTATCACATCCACAATTTCGACCCACGAAGAGCCAAGCCGAACTCGATATTGATGCTCTCTTCGAGGAGCCAACTCCGCAGAACCAAGGGACCGAATCTCCATACAGGGTTGAGTCTCCGTCTGGGCGTGCTTCTGGCTTATCGTCTTTACAGCGTTCGCCTCAGCGTTGGAACGAGAACGAATCACTGGCTTCAAACCTTCCAAGCCTGGACAAGGACCATTTCCAACTCGACCGAACTTTATTCTCGAACTCGTCACCTCTTAATCATTCTACGCAACCTTCAGCACACCGTCAGAGCTATTTGTCGGACAGTGGGTATTTTAGTGAGGCACAAGCGCTGCCGCCGGCTTCACAATCACGGCGACATAACGACACTGCCTCCCACCACACCGGATCATCCACAATTCAACCTTCGCCCTCAATCAAGAGCTTCTTGCCTGTCAATAAAGCGACGGACAACGCTACCTCTTCTCATGCTGTAAAGAGTTCGGGGTTGTCATATTCACTCGGGTCTGATGAAGCCATTGTATCCCAAAACAGTCTAGCTTCAAATCTTTCAACTGGTCCCAACCACGACAATACCAGGCCAAATCACACTACCTTGCATCACAATACCTCGCAACGGCACAATACCACACAGTCCTCTTATTCCACTCAAACTCGCCCTCTTCGCCAACACTTTCCTTCCTCTTCAACGAACCATTTCGCAAACCACCAACAGTTCGATTTCGAGCAATTTCCTCACCCTAGTGAGAACCACGGAATCGAAATGGAGCACTCCACCTCAGCCTCTGCTTCCAAGAAGCGCAAAGCTAAGATGGACGACGCACCACGTGCGAAGAAAATAAAGACAGACAAGGCCGGCAAGCCCAAGCGAGTTCCGAAGGTGAAGGAAAAGAAGCCAGAACCAGTAAGTACCTCTTTCCCCTTGTGGCAACCGTTCTCACAGCATTGCAGGCAAAGTATCGCATTGGCCAAGACCTCTGGATGCGAATTCTTGAGTTCACCCCACCATCCTTCCTCAAGAAAGCTCGAGTCTTGAATAAGGAGTTCAAGGGCTGGGTCGACAACTTCAACTCCATCTACGTCAACCAACGCAAAGAAAATTATGGCCAAGATATGCCCCCTGCCCCAAATGGACTTACAGACCGTCAATACAACGACCTACTTGGTGGAAAGGGCTGTTTGGAACCCGGCTGCACCGATAAGCTGGCGTCACGAACCCATTGGTCGTGGGCACAACGCTGGTGCTGGGACTGCTGGAAGGCGAAAATTGAGAGAGAGGATCGCGTTCTGAAGCTTAACCACACCCCGCATGGTCGCAACCTCGTCGCAAAACTTCTCGAGTGTATTCCAGTGGGCATGCACGACTCTTTCCTGAAGCCACATGACTTCATCGAGGATCTCGAGTCCCGTCCTCGTGGAGCTCCAAGGCTATACCGATACTACTTGAAAGAAGATGTACAGAACATCATCGACAAATACGATGCTCTCACGCCAGCCCCGTTTGTGGAAGATCCAACGCAAACCCCTGAGGAACGCAACCGAGCTCGAGCAGAATGGCAGGAAGAAATGGATAAGTTAGATGATAAGAAGACGAAGTTTCTGGAAGATGGAAAGAAGGCGAATGATAAGCACATGGAGACAGTTCAGAAGATTGAATCGTTGGTGAAAAAGCGGAGAGATCTTGTCGCGCAGCCCTACAACAACAACCGACAGGCTCGCCGAGAGCTATTCACGAGACGTGCACGAGCGGACCTCCCACATATTCCAACATCCTTTGTCGAGAGTACCAAAGCTTACAAGGCTGCTACTCGCATCTTCCGAGATGGTGGTACCGAGCGTGGCTGGCAGACATTAAAGCCGAAGATCGAAAAGGAATTCGAGAAATCCCAGGCCACAAGCACCAATTCTGCAATCGCTGATCTTGATGAGGAGGAGACCACCGAGCAAGAAGGCGATGGCAATGGTACTCATTCTACGACACAGCCGGACCTCACCCGAACTACTATACAGACCAACCGTGCTACCTTGCAGGAGCTTCGTGAGCAGCAGGTGATGCAACGACGATACAATGCTGAGCAATTGCGTGCCCAACGAGACCTGATGTTCGGCCCAGGCTTTTCAAATGCGGCGTCAGGCTTGTCATTGTCCATGCAGTCTGGATTCTCCACAATACAGCGGCAAGCTCATCCACATCATCAACAATCTTTTGCTGGTGGTCTGGGCAAAGCTCCATCCCTGTATGACAACTTCGGCCCTACCCTGTTCCAGAGACAGCAGCAACTCATGAACCGATCTGGACCCCCAAGCAACTTCGACTCATACTCTTCATTCCAATCAATGGCCCAATCAATGTCGCAACCATCTTCGACACAGAACAATTCCAACGGTTTCCAGTCTTCCTCATCAGGCCAACTCCCCAGGATCTCGATTTCCTCCCTCCTTGGCGATGGTCCGTCAGCTCCACCTAAACCTAATCTGTACAATCGGTTCGAGTGATCGTCTAGATGTGGATCACCTTACATCGAATCCTACGGCTTCCTTCATCTCTCACATAAAGACTTCTGTTTCGACCTCCACTTCCGATCACCCTTGGAGAACACAGGCTACGATGGCAGTTGCGAAGTCGATATTAGCAACAGCACATAGCTCTGCGCTAGCGTTGCCTGAAACACCTCATATTTGTTTTTAGCGTTTCATTTCCTTTTCCTCTTCGAATGCATGCATCATCGCAACCGAACGAATATCCTATGGCTGGGCGGCGTTGGGATTGCAACAGTGAGGGACTCGGAGCATTACATTGGCGCAAGATACTGGAGTCACATTGGCATATTTCCTTTCTCACTTTACGATGGGCTGGCTGCTCTGTTTTTCTTGCACTAAATAGCGGGAAGCGGGAATACGTCCATGGTTTACAGGGCAAGTCACGGTTGGATTTATGCGCCATGAATGGCGAATGGCGAATTGTTTGCACATACCTAGGTTGAGCAAATACGCTGCATATGACATATCTCCTGTTCCGTCTCGCGTGAAGTTGAATCATCGTTCTCAGTAATAAACTAACAGTTTGTTGATCGTGAATCCACAAACGGAAGAGGAAAGGGGAAGGGTGTGCCGAAGGTCAAAATTTAAGGCAATCTAACTGGATAAGCATTGCCCATAAACGGCACACGGAGAAAGAGACCCGTGGTGCAGATTCCCATGACTGTTCGACATGCAACAGAGTCCGTTTGTGGTGATGGCTGAAATGTGACAGGTCAGGCTCAAGGATTGCGCCACCTTTTGGCGAGGTTCTTGACTCAGGTTTTGAAATTAGGAATTGGCAGTCAAAAGCACAGAGTAGTTGAGGATGTATTTATCACAATTATCACAGGCAATAAGAACGGAGATGTGGGGAGATTAGAACAAGTGGGCTTTGGGTTGGGTAGATATGTTTTTGCATTTTTTAGTTGGTTGATCTAGTGAGAATTCGAGGAAATCGTGACTTGCTACCATTGTTTAGGCTTTTGTGGATCAGCTGGATTCGCTCTGCTCAAAAGATTGGATCTAACGATACGCAGGACCGTACTTAGATAGAAGAAAGGAAATAGTTGTTGAATCGATGCTCTCGTTTCCGCTCCTCTCTCCGAGTCAGTGCTCAGCAGGGGGCAACCTCAATACCCATGGTATGGGCAGGGTGGAAATAAGGGGAACAGAGTAACAGTTCGGATCGGGAGTGGGGGACCGAGTTTTCGGTCACACTCGTCGAGCAATTCCCGCACCGATGCGTCCTTCAGGGTCTTCGGGGCGGGCTCCTCGTCGACCCTGTCCGTTCTCCAATCACCTTCGTCTCTTCTCGCGACTTCTCGTCCGCTGGACGAGCCGTGGCGAGAGTCGGCGTAGCTTCTTGAACCCGAAGAGGAGTAGGAGCGATGAGAAGAGCTGCGCGATACCTGCGAGGGGGCACGGCTGGAGCTACTGTTGCCTGTATAGGGGACCATCTGCATGTTGTTGCTCGCCTCACTATGTGCTCGTCCGCTCGAGGATCGTGGGTGAGCCGTTGGATCGTCGCTCCTGTGTGAGGAACGAGACACCGTGCTGCCTGGACCTCCATAATTGTTCATCTGCATGAACTCCTTTGCTCTAGAATCGCTGGTGGCAGCTGATCCAGATGACATTCTGCAGCTTGATGAGTGGCGAGACGAGGAGGATCGGTGGGATGATGCGTGCGATGGTGCTTGAGAGTGTCCCGAGGAGTGATGGCGTCGGCTGCTCCGAGAGCTGACGCTTGATCCGGGGTGGATTGTGGAGGAAGGCATCATGAGCGCTAGTTGCTTGCCTGCGTAAGTGAAGCCGTCGATCTGTATTTATCAAAATTTTAAGAGAGTTGTATGAGTTAGAACTATAAATATGCGTCGAGTGATGAGAGAAGGAAATTGGATTTAATCCGAAGATACGAAGGCATTTGTAGAAGATTGTACTTGCTGTTCATGTTTCCGCAAGGGCTCTTTGCATCGGAGAAGATGTTTTGAAGACATGAGACTGGTCACTTGTTGCGGCTATCTCTAAATTCTTGTTGATGGGGCAGTGTTAACAAAGGTGGAAAAGAATGCACATTGTATCCTTTATGTCAAAGGCACTTCGCTGCTTTGTTGAAGGTCGAAGTCCATTCTTCGGAGCTTTGTATTGGCTTGCCGAGTACTGTCAGGCCGGTAATAATGAAAGTCTAACGTGGATAGATTCATTGAAGGGCAAGAGCTGCACAAATTCTGCGAGAACAAAGAGGCGAGAGACAGAAGGCAGAGGGCATATAGCTCGGGCGCAGCCAGACTTATGGACCCTTTCTCGAGCACAGCTAACCTAGACAGAAAATTAGATGAAAAAGCACAGTTGTCGTGAGCATAATGGATCAGAGAGGCTCCACGAACTGAGAAGTTAAAGTGAAGGTGAAAGTGAAGGAAGTCATGATTACATTAGAAGAATAAAGGAGGTTGGATTTGTTCAGCCAACCACAGTGCTCGACTCAAAACAAAGAGGTTGGATTTTTTTTCGACCAATCAACACTCATTTTGTCTCCTTTCTTTCGGAGATTTTCCAGGATAAATTACATTTGAACACCAGGAACGCCATGAAGTTGTTTGGTGCTTACGTAATCCACAAGCTCTTTGCCAAAGATAAGCTGGCCGGTGACGGCAAACCATGGATACAACTGCCCCACCTGGATAGAGGGGTCGATGTCGAGATGTGCATAGTGAGCAAGATGATTGGTCGCCCTCTGGCAGTCGCGCAGAACGATGTCAGCACTCTATTTGACCTCGAGCGAGGTTTGGGGCATTGAAAGGGTTCGGAGTGGGATATCGAATATTCTGACATCCTCTCCTGAGAGGTCCTTGTAAGTTGATATTTCCTACGCTTCAGGTGCTTTGCTGTATCCTTCCCTGAAGAGCATCGTCATTTAGAGAGGCTCTTGGAAGCTGTACGGTCAAAGGTCCTTCACAGCTGGGACAATGTTTGGCCAAGAGTCTTTACTGCCTGGCATCAGCAACCAGCTTGCGCTTGGTGGCATTGTAATTGCAATTGCTCTGTATACTCTCTATCATGTACGTATATTCCCTTCTGCTTACTCCATTGATGCTAATAGTATTCAGATTTCCACGGCAACAGATATCCCATACATCAAAGGCATACCTGAGATCCCGGGCGCTCTACCAGTCACTGGCCACTTGCTCCAGCTCGGCGATGACCACGCGACCATCTGTGAGTCCTGGTGGCGCAAATACCGAACAAGCGTCTTCCAGATCCGTCTTGGGAATACCAGAGCTGTGGTTGTGAACTCATTCGACGATGCAAAGCGCATGCTGATCGGTCACCAATCCGCCGTTATCGACCGGCCAACCCTCTATACATTCCATGGGATCATAAGCAGTACGAAGGGGTTCACTATTGGTAGCAGTCCTTGGGATGAAAGCTGCAAGAATAAACGCAAGGCTGCTGGCCAAGCATTGGGAAGGCCGAAGCTCAAGGATTATTTCGATATGTTTGACTTGGAGTCATACTGCATTGTCCGAGACCTTGTGCGGGACTCAAACAATGGAGCAACTGAAATCTCTGTCCGGCCGTATATTCAGCGTTATGCCTTGAACACGACATTGACCCTTTGTTACGGCATTCGAATGGATCATGTTTATGACAGCATGTTGAGGGAAATTCTTGAGGTGGGCTCCGCCATCAGCTTGCTGAGGAGTGCGAGCGAGAATTACCAGGACTACATACCAATCCTGAGATATCTGCCGAATAACGAGAAAAATAGGAGAAGTAGAGAATTAAGAGATCGGAGGGACAAATACCTAAATGCCTTGCTGGATCAAGTCAGGGAAATGATCAAGAATGGGACGAACAAGCCTTGTATCTCAGCTGCGATTCTGAAAGACCAGGAGACAAAACTCACAGGAGTTGAAGTTTCCAGCATCTGTCTCTCGCTGGTATCTGGAGGGTTTGAAACGATACCTGGGACATTGACATCTTGCATCGGCTCACTTTCGACTCCAGAGGGCCAAATCTTTCAGGAGAAGGCGTACAAAGACATCAAACGCTTTTATCCTGACGTCAGAGATGCCTGGAGGAACAGCTTCCAAGACGAGAAAATCCCCTATGTCAATGCTATTATTAAGGAAGCTGCACGGTATTACACTGTCTCTGCCATGTCTCTTCCGAGGAAAACTGTCAGTGAGGTCATCTGGGATGGAGCAAAGATCCCTGCCAAAACAATGATTTTGATAAACGCCCAGGCGGCGAACCATGGTATGCACCGCTCCCTTGCTTCAGTAACGACTCTTGCTGATTCTTATTAGACGTTGATCACTTTGGTCTTGACGCTGCTACCTTTAATCCTGAGCAATGGCTCACTTCTGACGGTACAATCGACCCTGCTTCTGAGAAAGTCAGCTCAGGAATTCAGCACTTTTCGTTCGGTGCGGGATCTCGGGCTTGCTCAGGTCAACTCATTGCCTCACGCCTTCTGTACACAGCACTGGTTCGCCTTATTTGCAGCTACAGGATCGTGGCGAGTGAAGAGCAACCCCCAAATACAGACTACGTGGATTACAACCAATTTAAGTCAGCTCTCGTAGCTATTCCAAGAGATTTCAAGGTCAAGCTGATTCCACGGGATGGTATGGACAATGCATCTGAAATCGGCACATTGGAGAGATGTTTAGAGGAGGCAAGGATGCGAACTGAGGACTACTACAAGGAAGAACAGGGGGTCAGTATCTAGGGACAAGGCTGAGTTGAAGCATGTGGCAGCAGCATCACCCAACCTAGCCGCCCATGTCCCATATCAAAATCAGAAGAAAATGGAAAACTATTCCTGGCCAGCAAGTTTGCTGTAGCACTTTGCCAAACATCTGTAATTAATACTGCATTTTCTCTTACGGCAGGAATCATTCGCTCGCTTGACAAGTTCACGATCGGATCGATCGATGGGTCACGCCCTCCTAATTCTTCGACTAAGGCAAGCGGCACAGCTGAGCCCTCTGCGACAGCAGCCCAGATTAGCGTCTATAGCGCGATCTAAATGGACGCTAAATTCGCGAAATGCAACAGAAACTGAGTTCTGGTTCAAGGAACAAAGAAGTCGGAAGTATCCATGCACGATCGTGTTGGGGACAGCGAAGCGAGTTTATGTGTGTCGTGGTGGGTGACGTTTGCCCAAAATAGGGGTTTCCGCCCCCTTTTGCTCTTTTGCCGAAAGTCTGAACACGTGGAATTTGCAACCTTGGCAACTTGTTGAGTAATAAGGAACCGCGAAGGACTTCGAAAGTATTGCCCGAAATTTGAGCTTGATACTTGCATGGTTTTTGGCGGTTCTGGCCAAGTTTGCGTCCTCGAAAGCTCTCGGTCGTGCTTGCCATCTCTCAGCCTTGTCTCAAACAAAGACTTGGAAGAGATTAAAATAGAATCATGACTCTGATTTCATGCTCGAGTCTTTGTCTCACGTCGAGTAATGGACAAAAGAAACAATCCCCATCTTTCTTGGTTCAAGGGCATCAAGTGGCCCACCCTATTCAAACAAAGATACATTGCGGGATTGTTCTTTGACATTCCATTACTAACTCTCAACGAATACCAAAGGATACACCGAGCAGTCATCAACAATCAATCTATTGTTTTCAATTGCAGAGTCATATAAGTGCGTTGTTCCCATCCCTGCTTTTCGTCGGAGCCGGACTCTACTGACACAACACAAACACAACTCGCATCACAACTTGTACAACACAACTTACTTTTCTAAAACTCATTCTTATATTCACGCAGCTATGTCGATATTCAATTACCATCAACGAAGCGGAATGAAAATTGAACACATAACTTACGATGAGATGCACACTCGCAGGTCGATGGCGCGCCGTGCATCGGATGCATCTGTCAAAATAAAAAACTACTTCAGACGACTTTCTAGACACTCAGATGCGAGCCTACCATTTGAGAATTCTAAAGAAAGACCTTTTACAGTCTCGCCCCAGTATGGAAATGAGACCTTGGTTCCCGACGAACATTCTGAGATGACTGCCTACCTGACCCAGCATCACCGAGTCGAGAAAGCCGTACGAAGGGACGAGAAACTCGCTATCAGCGCAAACAGCAGTGGTAACTATTTGCCTCTTAAAGACAAATGTCGAGGTGTTGAAACGAAATATCCACCTTCGCCGACACTACGACGTAAAGCCAAGTTCATCAAACAAAACGGGAAGATAAAGTCAACGGCTTCGCACCCCCCGCGCCCTCGGACGGCAGATGACATGATCCAAATGGAGAGGTTTCAAAGGGTCCGGCAAGCCATGAAAGAAGGTAAATTGGAGCAAGTCGTTCCTCCAGGACAGCTATTGCGACCTGAAGGCCGACATGCTCCTCCGCCAACTCGCTTTGCTGACCCTCCACCCAGAGTCTCAGGTGAGTCTTCTCGAGGCCGTCCGTCCATTCGACACGACACTGCTTCTCACACTCGTCTCTCTTCTCGAAGTCGCAGGACGGAATCCTCCAGCAGGGTCAGAGAATACCTCCGCACCAGTGTGGGTTTCTTAGACGAAAAAAGAAAGGAAGTCCAGGGTAAATTCAAAGCTCCATTCGAGCACCTCAATTACCCTTCCTTCTCGTTTTCTCGACGAGATTCCGTCAGCTCCGAAGACTCCTTCTTCTGTGTAGGTGAGAACCAGGAGGAGCAGAGGTCAAACGCTCAAGCTATCCATACTCTCAGGTCCGGGCACTACGAGGCTGCAAATGAGAGCAGATTGAGCGGCGTCGGTGTATCTCCATGGGCGCAACATGCTCCCGATACTTGTAAGCTCTGCAATGCACTTACCATGACTGGTTTCCAGGGACTGTGCCAGCAATGCAGCGCCGATTTCTACCTCCGCAAGGCCGAGAATAAGGATCCGGATTCGGATTATGAGGACGATATAAGATTCACCCCACCGCTGAATGATGAGGACGATATAAGACCTACCCCGCCTTTGAAGGACGCGGGGATTCTCTCGATGAGAAAGCAGCGAGATACTCAGCGTTACTTCCAAGTCGAGACTGACAGCCTCGAAGACGTGAGAGCGACTGTCGCTCTCACGGATATGGGATCTCGGCCAATCTTCAACCCTGTTCCTGTGAGGCGGTTCTCTCACGAGGCCGTGTTTGTGGACGCGGATAATGAGTGGGAGGGAACTCAGATTCAGAGTACGGTTGAGCGGTGGTCTGCGAGGTATGAGAATGATGCTGCTTACGTTGAAAACAAGGACTCTACCCCTTTGCTGAGGAGAAAAGCCAAAGGATTGCAGCAGAGGGACACGGAATTCTATGGCTTTTATGATGATGTGTTGGACGGTCGTTGAGAGCGTCGATGGGAGCCCAAACATAATTGCATATCTATCTGCGTAAGGCGCTTTAATTTGACACCACAAATTACTTAATGATATCTCCATTGTGAAAGATTGATGATTTCTGCTTCGCAAGTGATTGAGATTTACTCTTCCATATAATTCCAGGTACAAAAGCAACACCACGTGACGATTCACTCAGGGTCTCCAACTCAGACTCGCTGCATGGAAATCTTGTCGCTTTGAACAGAGGCACCACGAATTACCTCGACTTTTCAGATCAAGAGTTGAAGAAGCTGTTCTTCGAGAAACGCAACCCGTTGAGGCCTCACTTCTTGCCAATCTGGAGAGCCTGGTTCGTGAATGTCAATGCCAGTTATCATCTGGGTATCGAGAGACGCAGTTAGATTTACAGCAATCAGAGGTGACACCAATGCTATCGCAGGATATGTAGAGAATCCTGCGATTCCAACAAATATCGCCAAGCACCTGAGCATCGTTCCAATCGAGAAGGACCAGCAACCATCTCCGGACTTCTTTGACGCTGTGCTACAACCTCTCCCTGATCAGGAAGAAGATTACGTCCCCGACTTCTCGGCCTCCGAAAAGCTATTCGGTGCCCGTCAACATACGCTATCCAGTGACCTTTCGGGTTCTGGATATGTAAGCGTTTCTCGTTGTACTTGCAAAGAACTCTGCGCGTGCTTCACATCGACGGTTGGTTTTGAGAATCAAGATATGTATATCAGTGACCCATCATCTGCTGGTCCTACTCCGGATTTGGAGGCATAAAACAAAGGCGTTCAGTGGCAGAATTGGCTTGAAAATCAAGACCGAAGGTGCGTTAATTCTTGAAATGATTGAAGCCAAGGTGCTGCAATAGTTGGTGCCAAAGGTTCATAAATCTACCCCTCTCGCGGTGAACATAAAAGGCGACACTGGTTTTCATTGTCCTTAGTCAAAGTTAGACAATGATCTAGACTTCAAGGACGTAGGACTTGAATTAGAGCTGCCGAGATTTTCAAAACTCTTTTAATGTCCAAGAGCTTAACGGAACATCAGGTGGGGGGGTAGTTGAAATGTCCCCTTAAAATTGGTGCAATTAGTCCGGCCTTTTATGCCCCTTTTGGTATCACAATCACAATAGTGGGCTCGCGCTTGGAGTGGTAGAAAAGGGGCTAGATATCGCCCAACCCTGATTTTATAGAGGCACCTCGGCTTGGCTATCCCGCTCCCCTGCCGCGTCTTCCTTGTTTCCCCGTCCCGCCAGACCTCGACTTCAGCTGAAAGTAAAACAGGATCTGCTAAGATCAGATAAGTGGCGAACCCATCATTATCAGATTGATTTGAGTGGAATCGCGGCTTTTGATGTACTTGTTGTTTCAGTTGCCGAAGCACCGCATACATAAAAGCTTGGCACTCCCCCCTTGGACTCTTCCCTCTTCAACCACTGTCCAAAGGCCCTATCAAGCCATCAATGGGGGCCCTGACTTCCACGATTTGACAAATATTCTTGCCTTTGCTGGCAATTAACAAGTTATCGTATCATTCGTTCATCTTGAGGTCCTGTTGCTCTTGAGTACGTCATTCCCTCGAGGCTTCCACGACTTCATTTCACGTGACTCTATGTGACATTTCATGGTTACTCGGTTCGCTGACCAGAACTTAGGCGACTTCAGCTTTGATCTATCATCTCAGCCATAGATGAGGGCTTGAACTTCATACCATCTCCTCACCGTTTTGACTATTGCATCACTACTGGCACGATGGCTTGGATAGCACGAGGCCAGGATGACAATGGATATGTCCAAGAGACTCCAAATGGGCAAACCCCTTCAGTACCAGCTTTGGCTACCCATAGAGGTGAACTATGGTGTCTTTGGAGCGACCCATCTGGTGGACTTTACTATGCCATTGGAGATAACAACACCTTCGGAACCCGACTCCCTTTTCCCGACAAAGGAATCCCAGTAATGGCTGGACTTCTAGGTATGCTCCATGCAATCATCATCAGAGAGACCGGAGATATGGTTCATTATGTCTTCGACAATGTCAACCAGACCTGGATTAGTCCCTCTGTCTTGGATCGGGAAAGTGGCTTTTCTTCTGGCACCACCCCAGCACTCGTCGCTTTCCACAACAAGCTATTCTTTGTTTATATCCAGGAATCCAAGCTTTTCTATTCCAGCTGGACTTTGAACCCACGGGACGAGACTGCAGAATGGAAACCCCCCCAAGAAGTTTCTGGCATCTCTCAGGTCGGAGGCATCCCGGCATTATTTGTTCTCAACGGGACTTTGCACGTCATCTGCGAGTCTGCCAATGAAAGTCGAGATATCCTAGGCTTTGCATATGCTTCCCTTGAAGATGTGTGGAACTCTTGCGAGGATGTCAGTGAGGGGAAAGCAGCATCTGGTGTCTCTGCGACCTCGTATGGTGACAGTGCTTTCCTCGCCTTCCAGGAGAATGGACCCAATGATACGTCTCATGTGATATACATCAGCGAGTACAAGGACGGGAAATGGCTGCCTCAAGAAGCTGTAGCAGGACAAGCATCTGCGAATCCTCCTCAACTGTCAATTTTGAACGGGAGGATCAACTGCATATTCAACTCCAACGATGAGACGAAGGATCTGAAATGGTATTCCCGATCACTTCTCGACTTCTCACTCAGTACTTGGATGTCAGATATCCCGGATGATACTTTGTTATCTAATATCACGCTTCCAGGGACTCACGATAGCTGTGCAGAATCCAACATCCCATTCGTCAGGACGCAATACCTTTCGATCACGAAGCAGTTGGAAGCCGGACTGCGGTTCTTGGATTTGCGCGTTCGAGTCCATTCGGATGGTCAGCTTTACATGTACCATGGAGGTGAGTCCCAACTTCCCGGAGTACAATCCCTCGGGGCAATATCCAACAACTACTGGAACATTCTGCTCCGGAGAATACCTCAAAGCAGTATGCTGACTCCGGTTTCTTGGAAAGGAATCCCGATCAATTACCCGATGTATCTCAAGTTCGACAAAGTGATGAACGAGGTTAGCAACTCTCATCTTATCTCCTCCGCTAGAGCCATCACCAAGAATCGTTCAAGGCTGACATCTCCAGGTCTTCACCTTCTTCCAAAAGAACTCAAAGACACCCACAGAAACAGTCCTCATCTCAATCAATAATGACGATACATCCGGAAAAGAGCCACCCGATATCTTCTACAACGCGATAAAAACTCACATCGAAGCCACGCCCCTTTACGAAGATGGCAGTCCCCGCTGGATCACTGCGAGAGAAACAGTCACCCTGGGAGAAGCTCGCGGTAAAGGGGTTCTCCTGCGACGCTACCAGCCCGACCAAGCTCTCCCTCCTAGTAGAAGAATGGGCATCGATCTCAGTGGCTGGTTGAACAACAACCCTGACTTTATCCTCGAGACCCCGGACGGCGTTACCGTGAATCTGCAAGACAAATGGCAGTACTCTGAAGTCATTCCCCTTGCCGAACTTGTGAAGTCAAAATTCGGGTTCGTGAGTAACCTGCTTGAGAAGGCTGCAGCCGGCCAGCCGGATCATTGGTTCCTCAACTTCATGAGTGCTGTAGGGGATCCGGTTGAGAAGGGAGAGATTGCGGAGAGCCGTTGGATTGCGGTTGGAGCCCATAGCAATATTATTGGGAAGTTCGTGCAGGGCATGAATCCGACGGTAAGGAAGGAGTTTAAGTGGGGGGTTAAGAAGAGGTATGGGGTAGTTGCGATGGATTATCCAGAACTACCGAAGGATAGCGATCTGATTTCTTGGTTGATTGGTACGAATATGTAGATGTAATATTGCTGTTGGGATCAGTATGAAGCACTTCAGTATGAAAAAAAAAAGTTTAGAGGCAAAGCGGGTGTCACCTGATGGTCGATGGTTCCAGCCCCCCAAATTTTGTGATATTCTCCTTTATTGTCTCCATCTCTCAATCTACCTTCTGTTTATTGGTGGAGTGGAGAAGCTGAAATATCTACTTACAAACAAGTGCGCAGATAAGTAAGAGGGAGAGATACTCAAACAGACACGTACCTCAATCTTCGAGAGACACGTAGAATATGGGTATGCCAATCACCAAAGTGGGATCTGGCTTCGGGGAAACATGAGAGGGAAAAACAGGAAATTATGGCCACCTTGGCCATCGACGCAAATCCGGGTATCGTGAGAAAATGAGAAACAAAAGCAAAACTGAACCATAACCACCGTCACGCTCAACTTGAGACCACTCAACTCTCCTTAGAAGTGGGCAAGCCACTTTCAGAAGAAGCGGGAGAGCTCTCACCTAGTCTCCATCCCGCAAATTTTCCATCCGGTTGCCCATCATACTCGCAGTCTCAAACGAAGTTCTCGAAGAAACACTCTCACCCTCAGTCATATCCATCATACTCTCAGTCTCGGACGAAGTGGAAGTCGAAGAAGCACTCTCACCCTCGGTTGTATCCATGATATTCGGAGTGTCGGGCGAAGAGGTAGAAGCAGCACTCTCGCCCTCGGTCAATAGGGGAGTGGTATCCAGAATACTCGCATTCTCGGACGAAGAAGTCGCCACACTCTCACCAGGAGTCGTATCCATCGGGCTCGCAGCTCCAGCAGGGGAAGTATCCGAAGCACCAACCGTCTCGTTCACCATTGTGTCTCCTTCCTCCATCTCTTCGACCCGTACTGGTTCCACCAAACTCTCCAAATATGGTCGCTTCCAATCCGAGATTGCACAACACATTCTCCACTCCCACTTCGGCGGCATCCACTCGTTCCCAAACATGAATGAATAGGTCTTTCCCTCCACCAAGTCTTGCTTCAGCTCACCAACAACCATCTTGGCATCATCCACAAGCAGATGGTCGTTCAACGGCATCTCGCTATTTTGACACTGCGCACAGCCCCACGTATGACGGAAGGTGAAGACAATTACGACTTTCTGCAGACTGCTGAAGTGCAAGAAGGTTGGGAGGGGCAGTGGTCGATATCTACGGGTGGTATCCAGCTCTCTCATCAGGGCTATGTGTGCGAATGCCATGTACTTGACGTTTCTGATGTCGGCTTCGACGGCTCGGTGGCTGAGCCATCGGGTACGTTGTCCATGCGTGGCCACAATACCATCAAGCGGACAATCCATTGCCCAGGATTGGAAGTCCAGAATATCTTGTTCGAAGTTGAAGAAACAACCATTGACGCTTTTCGGATGCTTGAATGCGTTACGTTTATAGCGTAGGAGGACGACTTCGCGGGCTTCGTGGCAGGTCCAAAGGAGTCTGGGAGCTACGAGGGTGGAGGAGAACTTGTAGGATTCCTTTCGGCCGTCCCTGCTGACATAGACTGTGACAATATTTGGGCCAGGGAGAAGGTACTTCCATATCATGTGTCGTAGTTCGGCGGGCAACCTCCTAAAAAGACCGAATTTGGCAAGTGGTCCACCTGGTCGGTTGGTGACCGTTGCCAAATTGGCGAGATGTGGTACCTTAAGACGAAATGGAATTGGCACGGAAGGAAGTTCCAAGGGGTTTGTGGGTGAGCGCGAGGTAGGAATTCCAGGGGTAAAGCGTTCGATGGGGCGTGTTTCTCTTGCTGGCCGACGGCCTCCTGCAGTAAGAGGGACTGCTTTGGCTTTTTGGTGAGGCGCCCCTTTTTCGCGAGGACCCGCCATTGTCTGGGGTCGTTGCTGGGTGGCCGACGCGATATCCCGATCTAGTTGATGTCAACAGATGTTCAGATGAGAGATACGCGATCTATCATGACTTACCAATTCACTTTTTTCTTCCGGCCGACCTCGAAAGCGAACGTCGAGCGCGTCGATTTTCTCGATCTCGAGATCTATGCACTCAATTCGTCAGCAGAGGCCAGAAACAAGAGAGCAAGTAACTTGTTTCGATGCTGTGCAGGCTCTGATGAAGGATGCAACTTCAACCAAGGGTGTTGAGTCGGAGTCGAAGTCGAAGTCGAAATCTTGATCGAAATTGTTGTTGACGAAAGAAGGAATTTCGTGACGCGATCTCGCATGGCAAGTAAATATACTCCCTCGCGTCCTGTTAGGGCAAGGCTGGGGAATCGCAGTTGGGAATTAAGCTCAAAGATCGAGCTCTTCGCTTTTCTTAAATTTGCCAGCCTCGTGAGCCGACGTAGTCAATAATTAATCGGCGTTTGTCGGGAAGACCTTGTCAACCTGAGTTGTAGGCACACAGCTTGGTGTAGGTAGAGGTTAAGGCGATTTATTCTGCATCACGCATCCAACTATGAGGCTGTGATTACAAGCTCTCCTATTATTCTCAAGAGATGGCGGGCGGGTAAAAGAGTGGCAATTCTTGGAATGGTTACTGATGTCACCTAGAGTGCTCTTTGAGTAAATCAGCGCTTTCTACTTATAGGAGGCCGTAACTGCCCATATTTTCTCTGTTAAGAACAAACGTAATAAGTCTTAATTATGTTTAAAAAGTTCTTCGTAACCTGGAAGTTCTTTAAGGGGTGATGAGGAAATGGGTCACGTGGCTTGAGCAACAGGGAGCTTCGGACTTGCAGGGCCAGTGTATCGAAAATATATCGCTCGAACCAATACACGCTGCTCATTGCTGAGACTCGGATCAATGGCCAGATGTTGAGCTCATTGATAATTGTTTTTGGATGTTGTTGTATTCTTAGTCGATAGATATTGTTATTTTGCTCTTGTCAACAAGAGTCGTCCTAAAATTCAAAGGAAGGACTGTTGAACCGGGGCCTTGCCCATTAAGAAGGGACAAGAATACAACCAAATAGCACAAAAACAAGGCAAAATTTCTATCAGTAATGCCGAATACTAGAAAGACTCAAGTGCTCTGTTAACAAGACAATTGCTCATGACCGAGGCTTTCGCAATGGGCATTTACAACATAGCCGCCGGAGAGGCATATGAATCTCCAACCTTACTGAGCACCGAACTGCGTCAAAATAAATTAAATCAGATGCAAGAAGGGTGCATGCATGAAATTCCAGCCTGCAAGCAAATACAATAGCAGAGCAGAGCAGAGCAAAGCTGACCCCACAATAGCAACCGACAAAAAGCAACGCCTAATTCCCCTCAACGAACATCGATTTACACAAGAACACCAGAAAACCAACGAGAATTCCTAGCCCAATGATGATACTCGGGCTACCCATAAGTATGAGTTCTCCACTTGCACAGACCAACCCATTGGCCAGAAATCAAGCACTTTCGATGTATTGCGAGAAGAAGACAAAGGGTTGAGACTGGCTTATTGGCAGCACGAGGCCCAAAGTGACACTAATGATCTTCGAAGCCAATACCCACAATGGCAGTGTTAAAGCTGTCAAGCTGCAGATCTTGGGCCGTGCCACAAATCAAAAACACTCCAGGTGACAGCTGCCAATTGATGTCAAACAAAATTCACCCGACGTTCTCAATCCAAGGGGGCTTTCTTGCATCAGCAATGACGCGGTCTAAGGGGGATTTCAAGGACATCAGGCTCTACTCCTAACCCCCAAGAACTCGAACAACATCAGAACCACCGCCGCTGTGCACTGCACCCTATTTGCAAATATTCTTATTCTCATCTCATCTATTATTCATTACAAAGAGTTTTAATGCGCCATGCTATTCCATATGCCAGTCCGTTACGCCTCTCTTCATCTATTAACTAACCTCAACCTTGGGAAGCTTCACGTCCGGTCTCAGTAAACCAGGGCAAATCATCTCGTCCGCATACGCCTTATACCTGTCTAGTGCATCCGTCCATCTAACGCCTTTCCCACCAAACGCCGTATACTGATTATTAAACGCAAAATGGACAGCCAGTGCTGTACCATCGATGATCACACGCCGTCGCAGCTGTTGTGGCCGTGTGCACACCAGGTAATCCTCATCGTCTTTTTGAGGGAAGGGGAACACGTCCATGACGTCTTTGCCGCGGATGGCGAGGAAGTTAATGGAGAGGCGCAAGTAGTTGAAATCCCAGGTGTCAAATTTGTACCGCCAGGTATCGCCTTGCTGGAGATGGTGGAGGAATGAATAGTGGGTTTGAGCTGCGGCGGTCCAGCTGCTGAGACCGGGTCCGAAGGGGTCATATGTTAGGAGACTTGCAGGTGAGAGGGACATATCGTAGGTTTTGTCTTGGGCGAGGCGGACGGGCAGCCAGCGGTGGCCTTGGAATGGGGCTGCGGTGGAGCCATTAATGGCGAAGCCTTCAGGCCCTTCAAGTGGCCCTTCGTAGGAGGGGAGCTGGGATGCTCGCCACGAATTTTTGGGGGGTGAGTGAGAGGGCTTGGTCATTTCCTAAATTGAGTAGCTGTTAGAGAGAAGCTTTGGCGACGCTGAGGTAATATACGTACAGGATAGTAGCCTTCATAAACGCCCATGTTGCGGTGTACCCATGAGAGAGCTGGATTGTTTACGATGTTTGCAGATATGGTGAAATATTGCGGATTCTCGAGCAACCGTTTGACGATGGCGGGGATCGCGTTGTCCTCGAAATATACCTGGTGGTATCAGCTTCGGCTTCATTGTATCACACTGTAATAATCTGACTGACCACATCGTCGTCGATTTTGAGGTAGATGGCATGAGGATCATCCACTGCCTCCCAAGAACCAATATACCAATCGTATTTCTTCGTGGCTTTGTGTTTCCTGTAATGCGGGCTTGACGCCACCAATTCCTCGAGGTACGCCAGATCATCTTCCATTTTAGTATTGACTGACCATATGACTTCATCCAGGAGACCTCCGTATGCTTTAAGATTCCTCTTCGAAGTTATTAGCGGGCCCGCATCAAAGCGAGGAAGGTCGTACCTTCAGATAGCAGTCCAGAACCTGGACCAGCTCTCTTCGTCCAAAGAACACCAGCCCAATGACCTTAACGCCCGCCGGAATGGTCACATCGGCCGCATGCGTGTAGGGGAAACCAAGGGGTTTTCCAGTTGCTTGACCTGGAGGCGATGGATGATGTGCGAAAGACGATTCCCCCAGCTGGCGGAAACCAAGCCGATCACGGTCTGTGCCTAGAAAGTAGCCAGTCCAAAGAACGCCGCACAGAACAATGACGAAAAGGAGTGTGTATGTCGAGCGCTGTTGCGGCCCCGAGAAATGCATTGCGAGGAAGATGGTGGGGTACATACACCACGCGCAGAAGGCTGAGATTCACGACCTAGTATGGTCGCGGTATTTTTGCTTGTCACCGCATGAGGCGGACTCGAAATCGGAGTGAATGTGAGAGAGAAAAAACTAAGATGCAGAAGAACACGGAGGAGAAGAGCAGGGAAGGGAAGAGACGTCTGGGAAAGATTGCTGCCCACGCTGGGCTTGGCTATTTGCAGAAAGCACACGGGGACCCGCCGCATCATGAGTACTTCCCAAGTTTACCTGCAGCGCACCCCCTAGCACCCTTGCAGGAGGCCGGTCCCGTGATTGGCTGAGGATGGCTCGGTTACCGTTAAGCGAGTGCCCCAACGGTTCTTTGGATTCTTCCACAGATTTGGCTTGTTACCTTTGGTCTTTTGGGCTCGTTGCTGATTGGCCCTTTGATTTTCCCTTCGACGCTTGGCTTCAAGACAACCTTTCGATGAGTGACCCTGGGTTGGCTGGCTGTAGTGCACGCCCGGCCAACGCGAGCTATACACCAACCTTAACGGTCTGACACCCCCCCCCCCCCCCCCCCCCCCCCTTTTTTTTTTTCGCCTCATCCAATCGCTTCGTTGGAGCCGGAGCATTTATTTTACATAGTCATCATATGTCTTGGAAAGTGCGTCCCTAATAAGAGGTAGGCACCCAAGTAAAGCGGCGCGCAACCCCTTTCCTTTTCTGTCGTGTGGTGACTGCATCTTTGCTGCCCACGACATAAGACTGCAACTAGCCGTCGAGGAGTCCAAATTCCGAGGTTTGTAGGGGAGGTGGCTGCTTTTATTGGGAATTCGCGAACCAACATGCGAAAGTAGTATTCGCGGGAGGGTTCGTTTCGGCTTCGTGCTCCCGGGTCAATGCATATTGTCGAAAGCATTCTAGGAAAAGACCGTAGTTAGCCAAGGGAAGTGGTTTCAAGATCGCTGACTTTGTACGGGCACTTTGAGTTGGGGCTCATAGTAAAAGTGGGCGCGCGCGACTTTGTCGTAAGCGCTAGGAAGGCGGCCCAAAGAAAGGAGTAAAAGAGCACCGGGGCTGGAGGTTTACCAAAAAATCAACAATCAAAATCAAAAATTGGTTTGTTGTAGTTTATAGTGCACTTAACAGGACACGAGGCTTTTTCGGGAAAGCGCCACATGTTGGAGTTACAGGAAGTCGAGATGAGGTCGTTTCGGGTAAGGCGTTTTAGTACGACGTCAGAGCCAGCCCCAACAAATGGTTTCCGGCTCACGCGAATGAGATATCGCAGTTTACTTCGTGCTATACTGCGTCATCTCTTGAAATTGGTATGAAGACAAGACTTCATCGAATTGCTCATTCTACGAGCGGGGAAGACATGGTGCTCTGCTGCAACTTAGTTGCCGGCTCAAGCGAATTGAGGATAGCACGATGGTACATTGCTCAAAGGTCTTCTCCTTGTAGCTATGTTATTTGGTCACACTGGTGCTATGGCAGTAGCTGCAAGGCGTGATAACGGATTTCCCACCGCCAAATGCTGGGGATCTGAAAGCTGGAGCGGGGATTATGAGAGCGCTGACGCTCTGAATGAGTGTCATATAATGGCGATGATGCGATGCTCTTGTCCAAACTTGTCCTTTCGAATTCGATAGTACTCTTCCTTTTTGGCATGGCATTTTGTGTTTTTCGCACATTCTTCGAAGTTTCGGAGGCATTGATCTCCTGTCAGGCGGAAGATGCCCACCCTTCGAAACTCCCCATCTTTACCCGTTGGCTCCAGGAACAATCCTATGACCCGCGAACCAGAATTGTAACCTCGGACAGGGAGGGCGTAGAAATTGTATAGTCGAGTTATTGGTTGGTTGGATTGGTCAAACGTCGTATGCATATCCTCGTAATCGAGTCCCATCTTCGTCTCAATGTCTGTTGCGTTGATAACCATGTAAAAGCCGTCCGCGGCGATCTTAACAGTCACGTGTATCAGTACCTCACAGCTAAGCCTAAGAATTCCGCTCTTGATTTCACCGAGAGGGTCGAGTCTAGACGGTTTGACATGAACTTGGATAATCTTGATATTCCAGCATCCTGGACCGTACTTCTCGATGTTGCGAAACTTGATCTGGGAATCAACCGACGCCCACGACCAACTCGGCGTTCTATACGGCGGAGTTGTTGCATTGAAGCGGTCAAAAGAGACCTCCCAGCAGAGTTGAAGCTCTAAGTCTTCCCGCCAGAGACCCGCCACGTACTGTTCTTTGGTTTGGAGCTGAAGGCTCCGAGCAAGTCCGGAGATGGCGACAAGCTTATCGCTGCTTTTCGTCAAGTGACATTCGGAGTACATCTCAACGAGGGACATCCACATCGACTTTGAAATAAAGCCTTTGCGAAATGAGTTGCGGCCGTACGGACGGTACAAGATCGCTGCTGGTAGTCCATCAGGGAAGGTTTCGCAGGCTGTTTTTTGAAGACATTCCCAGAAGACTTCCGTTGAAGTGAAGTGCAGAGTCCGCCGAGGCAGCACTCTCTCTTGTAACGCCCAACCACGCTTAGATAGCGGCATTCTGGCCAGACTGCGTTCATACATCAGTCTTGGTACAACGTCGTAAAGTACCTTCTCGCCGCAAACCGTCATCTCGACTTGGCACTTAAGGCTCCCTCCTCGCTGGAAAAAGCAACCAATGCGTCCATCTGATGCACCGGAAGCCGCTATATTGAGGGTTGAACTGCCATATACGCCAGCCATCGACGAAGCTTCTCTATCCCAGTCATCTGCGTCATCTTGCACAATGCAAAGCGAGTCGATCCAGAGATAGTCAATTCCAAATTCTTGAGTGATGCGAATAGCGTCAAGAAATGTTTTCAGCAATGCTTCTAGCGGAATTCTTTGTTTGAAGTTCTCTATGGTGGCCTTTGTCAACGTAAGATATTTGATTTGTCCCCCTAGGACGGTCATCAGTTCAAAGTTCTCGTATCATGTCAGGTCTCATAAAAGTAAAGACTAAAATTTTAGGATGCAAAGTAGAAGAAGCTGTACAGCTACCATAAAGTGTGTGGGAAGGAAATAAATGAGCCCAAGGTACTTACAGCAATGACTTAGGGTGGCATATTTCGGTTTGATCTTGAGTTGGCTGGTGAGGATTAGATAGGGGTGAGTGCCATTGACAGAGATGAGACGGGTAGGTAAGAAGTCATCAATGGGAGCATTGCAAAGTCTGTGAGTATTGCAGCAACGCCTCATCCACTGCTCAGCAAGTGGTAGAGCATCGCGCGAAGTCAAAAAGCATTCTTTAGATGGGGCGCGGAAGGCTGCTACATAATCAGCAATTTTGGAAAGGCAATAACTTGAGTTGGTTAAACTTACTAGGGCCGAGAGCTGGGACGATATCTACAAAAAAGTTTTGTACCCCATGGCCGAAGGACAAATGCAATATCCAGCAATGTTTTCGGTGAATGGGATTGACATCTTTTCTGTCGAACACAGCATTTTGAACTTTAATACGACCGCCAAGATCACCAATCCCATCGCCCTGTTTCTCCTGACGGCTTTGCCTACTATCTTCTAGCCGTTCCTGATCAACGCTCGCCAAGAACTGGGCACAGAGGGAACACCCTCGTTTTGCCGAAGACTCAAGAACAAAGCTACTGCCGCAGTGAGGAAAATCAATGTGATCATCTTCGAGCATTCGGGAGAGAATTGAAGACCAATTGTCACATATAAATTGGCACTTCACACACAAAACAGAAGGGGGCAGCCTCGATTGCCCAGAATCAAAGTCGAACAAGGACCCATCATCTCCATCAGACTCTCCACCACTGGTCTCTTCAAACACATTCTCTTTTGCACCTGCCACTTCGAGGGCATTACACTTCTTCCTCTTCCGCGGTGGGCCTGCTGAGCAAGAATCACTACCGTCTTCTCCCGGATCCATTTCTACGATCAAAATTTTGGGTTGGAAGTCTCGTAAGGATACGGTGGGGCGGTACCAGGAAGCAGCCTACCTGCCAAGCAAGCTCCGGGGCAGATCGATAGTTCGACGAAATGAGCACCAGATGAAGGATGCGTGCTCGGTTTCTCGTTTTCGAGGATCTGTTGCAGCCTCACGAAGCGTCAAAATGGATCAGCTAAAATGCAAGCTCGGCAAGCCACCCGGCTATAGCCGCAACTCCGATCGTGAAGTGGCTGGGTGACTTGCGTAAGGACAGATATCTAGAAAAATTCATGAGCACTCAAAGTAAAGAAATATGTATAATTGACCGAAATGGAAGGAGTGTGTCTTCCAAGAATGCCTTCAACCTTTAAGCTTGCTTAAAGTTAAAGGGTTTTTCGCACTTGGAACGATGCTGGAGCTTCCTGCTGCTTGTTAAATCACATGACTTTTGATTCGCTACCTCGCTAGTGTGGCTTTTTCTTGCTATTCTGATTGGCCGGCACTTTTGGTAGAGAACAACAACAAAAAAACATTTTTGGGGGACTAGTAGGGCCTAGAAGGTATAATTAGACTATCTTTATTTTAATAATTTAAAGCTAAAGAAGAGAAGAGGATCTCGAAGGGGCTTTAGAGTAAGGGGGAAAATTTACTTAAGCCTCAGGTATATATTTCGCTTAATTATTAGCCTGAGCTAGCTAAGCTAGGCTCCCTTACTAGTATAAACTATATCTCGCTGGATAAAGGAATACTAAGGAGTATTTAGCCTTACTCCTAAGCTTTTATAACCTTTATATTTCTTTTCTAGCAAATTCCGGAATTCTAGAAATCTCCTTTATATATCTAGCTAGTTCTAGTCTTAACCCTTGAGGCTGGAGTGGCTTAAGCACATAGAGATGGCGTATTTCTCCTAGTCTACAGTCGTATGTGACGGCAATTCTAGTATTTCAATCCATATATCCCAAAAAAATCAAAAGTCGGCTCCGTATAGAGTCTGCTGGTGGCAGAACCAGATCTGAGCTATTATAATTGGTTCTTTAAATCTCGGAACCGGATTTTCTTGTTACTGCTCTTTAGCAAACGATCACCAATCGAGAACGCGGAATCGAGGACGTGGATCTCAACAAACTGAACCAGCTGCTGCCTAAGTCTTTCCCACCTAGTATCCGACATAGCTACTGACAAAGCGGCTAGAACCCAGCACTAGTATGAGATAATCAATTAATCAACCAGATCAGAAAGAGCTACCTTTCAGCGGAACACCCGGTTGATCAAATTTTGGGACCCAAACTCTGCGATGTCCATTCGACCTTCCCATCTCCATTCCACGATCTCGATTCTCCGAAATCATTTCTGTTATTCAACGGAGCTTCTCCACCTCCTGCCTTTTCCCCACCGCGAGGCCGAATGCCTTTGTACACATCCCGCGGATGCAGAAGGCCTGACGTTCGTTCACCTTTTCCCTTCCTTCTCTATTGGCCCAGACCTCCATACTGAGATCCTCTCCAACCCATACTTGGTTGATCCCGCCCACTAGAACCCTAGTGCATACTGAAAAATCTTGAAAAGGCAGAGCTTGCCAGTTGGACATCATGTGCTTTGTCAGGCCTTCCTGATCAGGTTTAGTGCCGGGTTCTAGGTCTATATAATCTCCCTCGTCTTCCACACTTTATTCACTCTAGACTTCTACAAAATTCCATAATCTTTACCCTCAATTCTTAACCTATTCGCTCCATACGGACCTTCCCAGAGTGAAGCTGACAGAGCTTCCTTCTGACGAGTACTTCCCCACCTGTCCGCTCCGGCAACTCGCCAACCCGTCCGCCAATGCGAAAATTATCTCTTCCATCATCCAAGTCTCCCATACGCATGCGTAAGCGGCGTGCTTCTTGTCTAATCGCAGAATGTCATCGCCACCGCAAATCCTCGCCCACTCTTCAGAAGTCTCCACGACGACCTTCGTGAATCCTGCACCGGCTGCTGTGGAACTGGTACAGACGACTGTAGAGGTCTGGAGAGTCAACACTATTTGCTCTAGTTTGGACTCCTTGGTCTGAGAAGTGAAGAGCTTGTCTGACTTACCTTGGTGGTGGTCGCCGTAATCTTGCTGTTCTTTGCGTTGAATTTATATGGCATCGCTCCTAGTCGCAGATGATCATGGAGCGGACGTTTTTGTGTATTTGAATGTTGTCCAGGCTACAGCAGAATGCTGAAGAATGCCAAGTGATATAGATGTTCGAGTGAACTCGAACGTTCTTGAGTGTGCTTGTCAACGTTAACGGATGCTGACTGGATGTATGCTTTCGATTATGTCGGATGTGCTTAGACTTTTGAACCTGCTTCTGAAATTGCTTTGGAGAGCGCTTGTCTTGAGGTCTTATGAGTCGATAATGGGTTCTTGGACCGTGGAAGCTTCCAAAGAGCTGTGATGATATACTGAGCTCTGAGGGGGTGGGTTGTGGCTTGAGAATTCCTAGAAAACTGCGTCAACCTAAGCTGACGTCTTATACCTGTTGATTTGTACCCCAGCATGCCGGCGTCAAGGTCTGCTTCGGCACTTGCTTCAACAGTGCTCGGAATAGTCGTGGGGATTTGATTTTGGACTTTTTGGGACCGCAAAGGGATGGATCTTGCCCAGTGCGTATATGTCGTGTACCTCCGCAGAGGCGAAGTCCGTTTGGAAAGGGGTTTGTACAGTACCTTAATGCGCAATGATGAATGAGACTTCCATTGAAGTCGTGATGTCTGAGCCATGGGGAACAACGACTCGGATAAAGTCGTAAATCCTTGGGTCATATGGAGTAGGGCTGTGTCTTTGTCTGGGGGAGCAAGAACCGTTAATGGAGAAAGAAGACGTCGGCTTCGGTTTATTTCGGGTGTTCTTGCAAGCTCTGGGAGAATGGAGGCCGATGGTGTTGTTATATTGCTGTGATGTGAAGGAAGAGAGAGGGAGAGAAGGGAAGTTGGATGAGGCAGCTGCTCTGTTGTAACTGCCGTTCTGAGTGATGTAATGGGCAATGTGATGGGCAATGTGAAAATTCTAGGGCAGGTAAGTCCCAAAAGTTTCCGGACGTCGAGCTTGTCAAAAGAGGAAGTCGCGATGCACCACTTGTTTACGTGTGGTACTCAACCCTCAAGTCCTTTATTCATTTTTTCCGTCAGCCCACCTAGTATTTCCTGGCTATAGTTGTCTGACCAGAGAATGATGACTCCAGTTCTGCAGTTTGAAGTAGGCACGATAGGCATTAGAACTCCCCGGCCCAGTAAATATACGGCTTTAGGGGGTTGACAGAATACTATATCGCAACCAAAGTGACCGATCAAGACGCATTAGAACGGGGAGTCTTTTAGATCCTGGCGTTTATGTCATTACAGAGGGGGTTTGTTGTAGGTAGAAGAATTGTTTCTGGTTTTAGGAAAGCTCTTGAATCAGCGGCAAAAGATTATTCTTGTTCTTCGCTACGTATTCTTGAGCACATTATAGGAGTGTCCAGCGCTATATTGCTTTAATTTGAACTTTATACCTTAACAGTTGGTTTGCTTTGTTGGTTTGTAATTAGTGCGGCATATGCCCACCGTAATTGAAGTCGTTGCCCTTGTAGGAGCGATTAAACACTGAAACCCTCTCTCCTAGCCTCTCCAATCTAAGCACGTTCACACCCTAGCCCAAATAAATTGAAGCTTAACGCGGGGTATGGAAGCTCTAATACAGCAGTTGAGGCCCAGCTCGTCGCCAGAAAATTTTGATCGAACCTCTATCCCAGCATCAGCTCGCCAAGGGGTCTCAACCTATACTATTGGCAGCATTACTAAGGATGGCATACCCAGCCTCAGCATCTCTTACACTCGAAACGGAGGCAAAAAGAATGCTTTCTTTTCCTCCAGCCCAAGCGGTTTACGCAAAGCTCACATATTCTCTCTATACTGAAAGCCACGTCGGATACTCGGTGAAAAATAGACAATATGGCTCTCTATAAAGGCCAGGAGTCATTTTGATAATCGATAAGGGCGAATTCTCATTCCTTAAGGGATTGCCTTAGGCTATATTGGAGTCTGTAAAACACGTAATAGCAGGGTAATGCATAAGTAGTCAAAATAAGTAAGCCATATAGTAATGCTTGCAAGTGTAACTGATTTTCAAGAAGAAATTCAATAAAAGACTAATTAATGCCCCTTTTCAAAGCAACAAGTGTCTCCCTATATATTTCCTAGTGCTTAGCCAAGCATACGAAACCCTTTACTTGATTAGAAATATAATCCCGTATAATTCATATAATTCCGATATAAGCATTACTTAAAATAAGAAATTAGATTTATAATATCTAACATTTGCCCATATATTATTATATGTGCCTATTATATTAACTTCCCTTCTAGGCCCTTATTTTCAAGAGGCCTTAAAAAACTGCAAATAGCTTTATATATACTTCTCGAAACTTTTCCGGTTCTTGATTTCTCCTAAAAACTCTTTATATATACCTCATTATTATACTAGCTAATGAATTTAAGAATACGATTTACTAAACTTACTTATTTAACTTGCAAATTGCTTTTAGTAATTTCCTTTTATAAAGGTAATATAAATATAATATATATTATTAGCTATAAAGTTTATTTGATTTTCTAGTTAGTTTATAAATTCTATTTTAGTCTTTATTCGCAAATTAGTTATTTCCTTTTTAATTAAAAAGCTTAGAAAAATTAATTCGATTTTTTAGTGTATTTATAAATTCATTCTTTTAAATTTTCTGGGTTCTGGCCATCCCACGTGACAAGGGTGAGCAAACTTGACAAACAGCTATCATTTTCTCCAGATTTAACACCACAACCCCCAACTGAACGCACAAAAATCATGCCGGTAAGATTGCACCATTTGGCACACGTTTGAGATCATACTGACCCTTTCCCCACAGCTCATAATCCTCACCGGCTACCCCACATCCGGGAAAACCCATCGCGCAAAACAACTCCAAACCTACCTCCAGTCCCGAATCTCCTCTCTCCCCACCACCTCTCCCTCCTCCAGTCTGCGCGTGCACCTAATATCTGACCACACGCTGTCCATCCCGCGGAGCGTCTACAACCTCGAAACGAAATCCCAACACGAGCGCTCCAACAATGCCTCGGAGAAAGACGCAAGGGCCACGATCTATGCGGCTGTGAAGAGAGTGTTGAGTACCAAGGATGTGGTGATCCTGGATGGCGCAAATTATATCAAGGGGTGGAGATACCAGTTGTATTGTGAGTCAAAGGCGGTGAGGACGCCGCACTGTGTGGTTCATGTAGGCACGCCGGTGGAGAAGGCGAGGGAGGTGAATGATGAGCGGTTGACTGGGAGAACTGCCCTGGCTGGCGAAAATAGCGGAGAGGGAGAAAGTAGAGAGGAGGAACAGCCGTATGAGAGTGAATGTTGGGAGAACTTGGTTTATAGGTATGAAGAGCCGAATGCGATGGCGAGGTGGGATGCACCGTTGTTCACGGTACTGTGGGAGGATGAGATGCCGCCTTGTGAAGCGATTTGGGAAGCGTTGGTGGGGCCTGATGCTGAGGGCGGGAAGAAAGCCGTCAGACCGAATCAGGCTACCGTGTTGAAGGCGCCGAGTAGTGAGGATTACCTTTACGAACTGGATAAGAGCACACAGGCGATTCTGAATAAGATATTGGAGTGGGCGAAGGATCATCCTGGGGAAGGAGGTGGAGAGGTCGCCGTTGGAGATGGTGCTGATGAAGAGTTGGTGGTGGAGTTACCAGCAAACTCCGTTGGCCTACCAGCTTTGCAGAGATTGAGAAGGCAGTTTATAAGTCTGAATCGGCAGAATGCCGTGCCAGTCAAGAGGATACGAGAGAGTTTCGTCGGATACTTGAATGACTCCTTTGAGGCTGCATAGACACTGGATATGGATGGGCATTATAGGATACATTGTAGGATACATTGGAAAGATACCCCTCGGCGTTTAGGTAGGCAACATAGCTGATGTCTCTAGTCTAGGTTTCCTAGAGTTTTCCACTACTTGATCCCTGAATCCACTTCACAACATCCTGTCCCCATTTCTCCCCTTTCATATCGTTACTCAGAAGAGCCAGGGGGGGACTAATATGATTATGGCCCTCCATCTTCATGAAATCAAGCCCACATCCCCATGTTTTCTTCCATAAAGCAACAAAATCTTCTGTCGGCTGTCCGATCTCATTCTCGGGATCAAAATCTCCCAATAGGACCAACATCTTCGGCACACCTACCTCTTCTCTCGACTTTCCAGACTTAGCAATTGCTTCAAGTAACCCATAAGCGCAACGGTGGCTAACTTCCTCCATCGATCCATAATACAACTTCAACGTCACAAATCGATACTCATCTACATTTTTAAAATGCAGAGGCACAGACTGCTCAATAGCTCCTTTCAGCGTAATCGCCGAATTGCCAGAAATATAAGATCTCCTTTGCTCCAGAAATCTTGGCTCAAATAGAAACGTCGAGATATGCACACCACCGGCTGAATTCCCACAGATATAGACATCTCTCTTGCCGTCCCCAGCGTACGTCTCCAGCCACTTCAGCACGAGAGAGACATCTTCGCCACCAGAAGGGAAAACAGCATCCTCGCCTCCAGTCTCCGAGTTCACCCGTCGGTAGTCTGCAATCACTGTTGTAATTCCACGTGATGCGAAAAAAGCGCCAAGGTTCGCATAAACCAGACCCTCAGGAACCTCAGGGATAATCTTATCGCCTCGGATGAGACCACCGCCGTAGAAGAAAGCCAGAATTGGAGAGCTTTTAGAATCTTCTTTTGGGTGGTAGAGATCGAGTTTTTGCCGGGGATGAGAGCCGTACGGTTCAGTTTGGGGTGGGATGGCGTGGACTGCGGCTTTGTTCTTCATCAGGAGTGGGACGAATGTTTTAATGGTTGCTGGGAGGACGGCTGGGATTGCTTGGCCGACGGAGTCGTTGAGAGCTTTGATTTCGTCCATTTCGGATGGTCTTTGGTTGGTTGTTGATGGTGGACGTCTGGGACAGGGGTCTCTACAGCGCGTGGTGGGGCACGTGGTGGGGCACTCTCGCTTCTGGAAAGGGGCACGTTAGGGATTTCCCAACTTCAGCGGTGACAACCTCCCACCTTTATATATCCTAGAAAGTTGGTGAAATGTGCCGGCTCGTGGATACCAAAACTAAGTTTTCCTCGCGTTTTCGGCCGTTCAATCTCGGAACCCGCTCGGCCTTTCGCTCTTTCTTGTTCCGTCCACTTAATCCACCCCCGCATTGCGAGTTTCCGGCCACACTCCACCTTTTGGTTTCCAATCCAGACTCGGGCGACCACATCGGCAGTCAACCCGTTCAATATGTCCACTTCCATGGAGTCAAGACAATGGTATAAGACGACCAAGGAGATGGCAGGCTCCTTTTATTCAAGATTAAGCTGTGCGGATCGTGCCTCAAGAGCTCCAATATTTCCTGCCACCATAAAACCCCTCTAAAATGGCCCCAATCGAGCATCTCACGGCCCCGCCAGGGAAGTCGGATCTGGCTTACGTTCTTCCCTGCTACACCGGCGAGCTATGGACGATTCCCACCTCGAACTCGACGATGCGCCTGCTGGTTACGGGCAAAGAGACAGACAACGCCTTTGCTGTTGTAGGAACAGGAGGAACATTCGACAAACCGATCGGCTTCCACTACCACAAAGAAGCACATGACGTCTTCCTCTGTCTAAAAGGTAAGATTAACGTCTGGGCCAACGATAAAGCTCGCTCCTTGGGCCCAGGAGATTTTGCCAGTGTCCCTCCAGTACGTTCTCCCAACCCAAAGCAGAACTGCGAAAACTGACGTATAAACTCACAGGGCACAATCCACCAATATCAAATCGATTCAGCGCACACCGAATTCATCGGCCTGATCATCCCCGGCGGCTGGGAAGAATTCTTTCGCTTCATCGGCGAGCCCTACGTCGGACCCCTCTTCCCTACCAACGACCGCCGAAATCCCTTCGAAGTGCTGATCCCAAAGCTCATGGCTGCAACCGAGAAATTCGACATGATACCCGTGCGTGAGAAAGCGCAGTTTGATCCTCAGCCTTGGGACGGGACGGAGAATAAGCTGCCTGGTGTTTGTGAGGATGGCGGGTATTATTTGAAAGAGGGAATGGGCGAAAAGTGGGCAGTTGGTGGAACGGTGGTTAGACCGTTGGCTACGAGGAAGGAGACGAATGGGCGGTTTAGTATTTATAGTTTGGAGGGGAGCTCGTTGCAGGCTGGGAAGGGTTTGAGCAAACCTGTGGAGTTTAAGGAGACGCACCATGCGATATATACCGTGGATGGAGTTGTGAGGCTGCTTATTGATGGGAGTGAGGTCAAGACGACGGTTGGGGAGACGACTTTTGTCCCAGCTGGAGCCAAGTGGAGCTTTGAGGCTGAGAGTGTGTATGCGAGAGCTTACGTTTTTGCGAATGGCGGTGGCATTGGTGAGATCCTGCAGAGTTTGGGTTCGAAGTACGAATTCCTGTCGGTGCCGACCGATGCTGTGGCGTGGGATGAGAGCAAGTTGAAGGCGTTAGAGAGTGAGTTAAGGTTTGCTGTTATATAAGCTTGTATAAAGTATGACTTACGGATGATTCGCCCCTGATAAACTTTGCTTGTGGCTTCCAGCTCTGTCTTCCTCTCAATGCAAGTGCCTTGGATGCAGAATCTATGCAAAGCCTGACATTTCAGTAATCTTGCGACTTACTCTTTCATAATGTATGGAGAGTTCATTTGACTAATGCCCGTTTGTACAATACATCTCCCTTTTAAAGTGGAATGGTCATGGGTGAAGGAAGTCATGTGACTCAGCAGCTCGCAAATGACCCATTTTTTCACCCCTTCCCTTCACCCACTTCTCACTTCATCTTTCTCATGTGTCCGGATAACTCCCAATCCTTGCATTTGAAACGGCGACACTTGGGGAAGTGATTCAAGCTGAGAGGCAAGGCTCGCAGCCCTACGCCAGAAACGCTGCAATTGGCCGCCTATTTTTCTCGCCCCAGTGCCTCGATGAGGCTGAGCGGCTTAACATCACCTCTCCAATCAATATGGGCAAGAGATCGCCATTGGGCGATTCGAACCTTTGTCAGACTTTCATCCGCAATGGGCCTATTAAACATAACGACTGTTGTTGCCAACATCGTGGTCATACTCGTCAAGACCGGACAACAGTTCCACAAGATCTTTGAGCGCTTCCAAGAGGAACAGCACAGCCTTTCATGCTCCAGCCCGAATGCACTGTCCTTGCGGCTGCTTCATCTCAGGTTCAAGCCCTATTCCTGGGCGGGAGCTCTTAGAGGACAAGAAAAGTGCCGGAGGCTGTGGTCAATGCTTTGGAGCTATCTCTCACTGGCTGTACAACGACTCTCTCTGTATTGACTAAAGAGGTCGGGAAGGCAGTGAGGCATATTGAAATTGCATAGACTTTGAAAAGGAAGCAGAAGGCGAAAGAAGTTTGGAAGCAGGATACGGTGCCAAGCCTGGTTCAGCAGCTGAGAGGTCAGAGTGTGGCGTTATCCTTGATGAAGGCGACGGATAGATGAGCCTCCAAACTAAGACTCATAAGCTGAACTTTCCGACAGCACCTCGATGGAACGGATCTCGGCTATCCTGGAATCAGGAAGTCTGTGCTTCGACCATATCGTAGAAAACGCCGAACGTATACGACAGTCAAGAGCAAATAAGGCTTTTCCCGCCTCGATCGCGGAACTTTCACTTATTGATGGGACAAGTCTGTACGATTTGCTGGGGAACAAAGCATCGGACCGGAATTTCCCGGTTATGTCAAATGACGAGATGGGCTTGGAACAGTCGAACAGATACGAGCTCGCTTCAGGAACATCCACTACAGCTTCATCGACTTCGTACTCAAATTTTCTTCTTCTTAGAAGAATGATGTAGTCCTCACGTCAGCCACAGACAGTAGATTATCCGTCAAAATTCGGTCTCTATAACGGGTACTCTGGAAACATAGACCCTACTTACGCCGAGATCGACCCCAAAAGGATCGAAGACGATGCCGATGACGGCTTGGACAGACATCCCAATAGCGGTCCCTGTTAAACTTGAGCGACCATCCTGATAGGCAAAAGGATAGCTATGGTGTGGATTTTGGCCCCTCGAGGAATCCGTATGCAAATCTTTTTCCCATGCGGAAATAGAAGTTCGACTATTCCACCCCCGGCGACAGCAGTGAGTATGAGTTATTCTGTGGTTGAAATTGGAAGCAGATTCACATAGATCCTTTTAGATAGCGTGGATATCTCCGTTGTCTAGCTTCCCAGCCAGACACTTGCCTGGTTCTTTGGCGCTATACCATCATTGGAGGTTGCTTTACTCGAAACATACGATGGACCTGAACTCAGGGCTCGGAGGATTTGTTTACGTTTTATGGGGCTTCAACTCGCACGCTTTGAATATTATCCCGGAATTGACAATACAATTGAGATCAAGGATCTTCTAGTTCTGCAACGTATCCCTTATCCCTGGTTCAGCCTTTGGCTGTTCTCATCTCCACATTTGACCCCCTGTCTACTTTCTCGTTCACTGGCAACGGTACCTTACTCTCATGCTCCGTAGCCCGAGCAACCCCTTCGATCAATTGCTCTTGTACCGCAACGCCATCCAGAATCGCTGCGGTCTCCTCCAGAGAAGCACCTCTCGTTTCAACAAATAGAAAATATACCACAGCGAGTTCGACAAAAAGCCACACGTCGTATACAATGTAGTCTGGCAAGTGTTAGTACCTGCATGGGATTACGGGTGTGCAGCTTACATTTCCATTTGATATTCGTCATTGCGATTGGATTGGCATATTGGTTGAAGATAAGCGCAAGTGCGACGAAAAAATTGTATAATACCAGCCCCTGGTATCCAATTAGCAGATACACTTTTAGAAGAAATGTTTCGGGAGGACCTACTCTGGCACGGAGCTGATAAGGCAGGATCTCGACAACATAGGTGACTTGAAGCGGTCCCCATCCGACGGCGAAAAACGTATTGTACAAAACGATCATTGCGAGGACTGCTCTGCCAACGGTAGGGGAGCCACTCCCGGTCAGATCTGTCGCCTTTTCGTATGTGGCTTCAAGTGCAGTCCAGACTAAATTTGTCAGCTTCCATTCGAGGACGAGTGTCAGAGGTACTGACTGATAAATGTGACCAACATCCCAATCGTTGATGTCAAGAACATTGTTCTGCGTCCAAATTTGTTGACGAGAAGGGAGAAAAACACCGTGGTTACCAAGCCCCAGATTGTCAAGAGACCATTGATGAGATTTTGAGAAGCCTCTGTCTTATATCCGATGGAATCGAGTACGAGGGTGAGGTAATATGAAATCAACCCATTACCACTCCACTGAGAGAAGAAACCCACAGCCAAGATAATAAAAAATCGTCTCCGATTCCCTTTGGTGTGGAAAAATGTCAGATAAGACGTCGACGCGAGAGCTTCTTTCTCCAGTCTCAAGGCTTCTTTAATTTCTTCGAGTTCAATGAGGACCATGTAATCCTCGGGATTGCCGTTCGTGTGGTACTTGATGATGATTTCCTTAGCCTTTTCTTCTTGGCCTCGGTCAACGAGCCACCGAGGCGACTCAACAATGAAGAAGCAGGAAAGCAGTTGAACGGCGCTGGAGAGTCCTTGGAGGTATGAAGGGATTCTCCAGCCATTGTCGTTCGTGAGCCTAAATGTGCCATAAGTGATCCACGCAGCGGCGATGGCTCCTAAGGACCAGAGGGCGTTGTAAAGGCTGACCAGCGGAGCTCTCTGGGTCGGAAACGCAAGCTCTAGGATTAGGAGAGGTGCAGCGGTGATATTGAAGGCCAAGCCAAAACCGAGCAGACCACGAGCAGCGATGAACATCCCGTCTTGTACAGTCAGTCAATCACTTTCACTTGAAGGGAGATCCTGCTTACTATTCTGTGCTGACCCTTGTAGAATAGTACCAACGAGCATGATGAAAGCTCCAAAGAGAAGCGTAGCTCGACGACCAAATTTGTCACAGGCCAGGGCACAAAAGGGCAGTGCTACAAGCTGTCCCACATTTTGGATCGCATTCAGCCTGGAGCTGTCAGCCAGAGATTTTTGCTCGAATGAGCGGGGAAGGCTACATACAGTGCAAGAGTAGATGCGCTGGGAGTGTGAAAAAATGCATTCCAAGTGTCAAGTGTCTGAAGACCATCTATTCAAGTTAGAATCCGCTTGCTGGGTTTTCCCTTCATGGATTGGAGGACTTGCTCATCATCGAACCGTCGTAGCCAGTGGCATAACTCGAAATCAATGAAATGGCTAAGTTCAAGTTAAGCAAAATCATTCCACGATTGGCCAAGTACCCATTGCTGCGTCCAGCGAGGACCGCTTCCATCATCACAGGAGCTGTATTCGCCATCTCGTCCCAGCGTTTGAAGTTTTGAACACAAATAAAGACGTATATTTACGGGCCATTTGCCCGGTGCTTGGTTCCTTTAACAATTTCCTGTGTCTCCTCGATCCACGCTTGGCACTTATCAGCTCCCCGTCGTTGAAGATCATTGTTCATAGGTGTTGTGACGTCAGCGTCACATGACCTGGCCCTAGCGTGGCACCCTGTACTTAGCTCGAGCTCCCCGCTCCTCTCTTCTTTTCTCTCTTTAGACGTTACATATACACCCAAAAAGAGCTGTTTACCAGACCAGGTCTTTAGCCCAGGGACGTGATATGGTAGCAATACCCCAAGATTCTTGATTTGACCTCCTTTTTTCAAGAAGAAAGCTCAATTTCCGTATATGCAACCAGAATTCACGATTCCAATAAAACACCCCTCAATCCGCCTCCGCCATTAATTCGAATCCAGTCGCTAATCAAAGAATTACATAGTCTTTAGTAGCCATTATACGTACTAAGCTATAACGTCTCCTATAGATTAGCTAGATATCAATTAGAAAGCAGAAGAATCGAAAATACTCCAGATCTCGAGTATCTACCGGCCAATTTTAGAAGAAGTTACTAGAACCCTCTCTATTAGAAGCAGAACTCTCTTTAGCTTCCCCTACTTCGAACCCTCTTCCTATTCTCCCTATTACTCCAAATACCTTAACTATTCCTATTTCTCTTCCAAGAGCTTCTTAACCTATAAAAATGAGACCTTAAACTACTATACTACTTTCTTAAATTACTATACCTTCTTCTCAAGCTACTTCTTATCTAGCTATATCTTAACTTATTATATCTTATCCGGCTACTTGAAACTACCGAGAGCTTATATAAGACAAATCTCCTATTTCTAAAGACCTATTACTTAGATAGTATTTTTTATCTTATTAAAATCCTATATATTTATTACCTATTTACTTCTAATAATTATTACTAGTCTATCTAAATCTAAATCTTAAAAGCCTTTTTAAGTCTATTTTCTTCTTTAAAATCTTTTAAAAATACTAAAAAGAAAATCTATTAAAAATATTTATTTTAGAAATATTAGATAATATAATTATTTTAATAAAAAATAAAAAATATATTATAAAATAATAAACTAAGAATATAGCTTTTATTAAAATAGCTTAGAAATAAATTTATATAAATTATTTAAATCTTAAAATAGTAAAAGTCTTTAATAATACTAATAAGATAATAATTATAGCTATTATTTATATTATTAAACTAGAGATTTATATTCTAAACTATATTAGAGCTATATAGGATTTTATAAGTATAAATAATTACTTTAATAATATTAGCTAGTTTATAGCCTTTATAAAATAATTCCGAAATAATTCTATATATTTTAATTTACCTAGCTAAGAAAAATATTAGTAATAATAATAGTTATAATAGTAATAATACTAAAATATTTCTATAAAATAATTTAGAACTTATTATACTAATAAGCTTAAGGCTAATAACCTCTAGTATAATAATATTACTTAAATTATATTATATATTAATTATTTAAAATATATAGCTAAGCTATATAGTATAATATATATAGGATTATATATAACTTAAGAATATATAATAAACCTCGGATATTATAGGTATTAATTAGGGAGTTTAGTAGCCCTTTAATATCCTAACTAACTACTATTTATATTATATATATTAGGCTTATAAATTACTAATTATATATATACTATTAGGGCCTCTTATTTAGAGGGGGCTTCCCTGGACCTTATAAGAGAAATAGAGATTAGTTCTATACTAAATTTAATATTATAGTTTTATAATATACTAATTCATTCTATTATCTTATTATTTACTAATAAATACCTTATATATAATAAGAAAATAATTCTTAGTTTATTTCCTAGAGCTATAAAGAAAGTAATTTAATTATAGTTTAATAGTTTTTTTATTATTATTTAACTAGCTATAAATAACTTTCTAGAAATATAAATAATTAAGCTTATTATATAGTTCTAAATAAATATATTAACTATATTATAAGAAGCTAATTATATATAGTATTCTTTTAATAAGAAATCCAAATTCCTTATATAAGACTATTTATATAAGAAGCAGGCTTTATATATTAAAGCTAAAGAGATTAATAAGAACCTAATTATCTAATATCTCTATAAAGAACTTAATTTTATTTTTAGATTAGTAATTAAGCTTAATAATACTAATACTATTAAGTAATTTATAGCTAGTATTTATATATAGGAAATATTAGCTAGAAACTAATATATTTCTATTTATAAGATAATTAAGGAATTAAATATTAAGAGCTTTATTAATAATTCTAACTAGTATAGCTAGTATAACTAATATAATTTATATTAGAATTATTAAAATAATAGAAACTAGGGCTATTAAAACTAGAAAACTCTTATTTTATTAATTCTTTTTATTATATTTTATAAGAAGCTATAACTTAAATCCTTAGTAGCTTATACTAGTAATTGTTATGGGTACGGCATTCAGGGCTTGGAAAGCAAGGTAGAAGGTCCCTTACGAAGACGATTCAAAGCTAAAGAAGGGAAAACTAGAATACAGGAGGCTGCAAGGGAGTATATATACCCTATAGTATACTAGTCCCGAAGGGGCTAGCTTTCTAAATATCTCCAGTATATTCCAAGCATATTTCCCTAGCGAGGCGGCCGTATTACGTATGCCTAGGAGGCATCTGGGAATTATAACATTATCCCTCCCTTTATAATAAGCTCGTCCCCGAGCTTCGTATAAGCCATTAATCTATCCAATTTCGTACTATACTCCTTTCCAAAGTAAAACTAGCATCTCGGATATAGATATTATATACGAAAGGCCAGTGCCTTTACTATATAACCTAGGAGGGTTTATTATTATTTCCGTATAATTCTGGACAAGTATCATTTTTTGTATAGTCTAGCCAGTATTACAGGTTTTGTAGAGGTCCTGATATATCGATATTATTATTATGGAAACTCTGTAAAACCAGGGGGCTATTACTTAGTACCGAAGCTGGATACCATACTAGATCTTTATCCTAGCTAATCTACTAAATTCTATACTTTAGCCTATTTCTTACTAGCTTAACTATAATAACCCGTTTAATGCCGTACTCTTGTTCGCTATCCTCTAGTATTAATAGGGACGGTTCCGGGTTCGCTTAACCTGGCAAAGGATTCTGGGGATCTTTTTATAGCTTCTCTATATAGAAAACTAGGTATATCTTTATGGTTTCCGGCAGTTTCAGAAGAAACGAGTAGCTATACTATTCTAGAATCTCAAATAGGCCCTCTATTTAGTTCCCTAGCTTCCGGCTCGGATGATTGGACTTCTAGTACTTTATAGTAACCCATACTTTATCTCCTACTTTAAAATCGATTAGATAGTAGTATTTATTGGCTTATACTATATATTATTCCTATACTTGCTCTATATGGCCTTGGGCAAGTTACTATAATTCATATAATCGATTTACTAATACTTTAGCTTCATCCCTATTTAGCTTCTCTTTAGGTAAGTTAGCTTTAATAGGGAAGTTCTAGTCCAGAGAGATACAAGGCTCATAGCCCTTTTCAGTTATAAATAGGGACTAGCTAATAGTTTCATACCAAAGGGAGGCTTATTAATAATCGATTATAATAACCTATTTGTCTCAGTTATCCTGGTAATAGTTAATATACGGGTATAATCTCTAATTAAAGTACTAATTAATAATCTCCGTTTATCTGTCCGTTTAGAGGTAATTAGCTATAGAGAGCTTAAGCTTTATACCGATTCTCGTATAGAATTCGCTCCAAAAATCGGATATAAATTAGGGTCCCTAATCTAATATAATTATTTCTGGAATACCTACTTAGTATACTATATAAAGTAAAAACAGAGATACTAGCTACTTAGCTATAATTATATCTTATACAGGAATTGTAATTAGGCGCTTAGACAAGCGATCTACGAATATAATAACTATATTATAGCCCGATTTACTTTCTGGACAGCTCTTAAAGTCTATAGTAATATATTACCAGGGATAATTAGGAACTAGAAAGAAATAAAGCAAACCAGGCTTCTTATCTCTAGATATATATAATCTTCTATAGGTATAGTAATTACTATAGTATTAATTAATATCTTTGTCTATAGATAGCTAGTAATATTACTCCTTTAATAGCTATTAGAGCTTTATATATCCAGGATATCCAGAAAGAGGTTTATTATATGCTTTACGGATTAGGGCAGTCCGTAAAAGTAGTCCGGGAGTTATTTCGTTCTCTGTAATATAGAGTCTTCTATAGTATAAAAGGAGGCTATCTTATAGTATCCAGATATTATTTTCGGCTTAGGCTATTATATATAGCTCCTCTAGATCCGGTAATATATAATTATCCTATAGGATCTTATTTACAAGTTATAAACTACTATACTCGGCGGGAGCCTCTAATAGTGCTTTTATAGGGGCCACTATAGCAGAGTCTATTAGTAAAGCTTCTAAGAGAATACCTTTTTCTAGGGAGATTATACCTCTAATAGGGATATTTTCCTCCGGAAAATCTTTAGTATATACTTGGTTTTCAGGGCCAAATTCCGGGTCAAGTAAGCCGACCTTATAGAGTATTACTACGAGCTATAAATCATAGATAATCTCCGGATTAATCTTATTTTTAGAGAGAAGTACTTGAGTTTATAGCTTCTCCTTAATCTGGCCCTAAGTATTTACTTTATCTTATCTTTATAATAAAGTATCTGCTTACTCGTTTGATTTTCCAGAATAATATATAAGCTTAAAGTAATAATAAAATAAGAGCTTAGTCTATCTAGCTTATTAAGAAGAGAACTTCTAGTAATTATAAAGTATTCCAAGATACGGTAATTAGAATAGACCTTAAAGGAAGTATCCTAAAGGCCCTCTAGCTTAGCTCTCTATTCCTCTAGTACTCGAATTATAGTAAGTATCTCCTTGTTATATATATTATAATTAAGCTTTACCGGGAGTATGGTTTTGGAAAAATAAGCTATAGGATACCAAAGGCCTGTTTCTGAGTCTTATTAAGAGAGTAGGCTAGTAATTACTTCTTTAGAT